ACAGATATACAAAATTAAATTTTAAGTTCTTCGCCGGTTTGCCCGGCATGGTCAGAGACGGAGAAAAATTTCGCCTCTCTTCGTCTTCCCCCATGTGGGACTCATCCTTCCACTTAGAGTCACTTCGGGCCTACGGCCCTCGTCTTCCACACATTTGGGACTCATCCTTTCACTTAGAGTCACTTCAGGCCTTCGGCCCTCGTCTTCACCCCGTTGGGACTCATCCTTCCACTTAGAGTCACTTCGTGCCTCAAGTCCACGCCCTCCTTTTTAGATGGGTGTCAGCTCGGGCCTTCGGCCCTCGCCCTCCCTTTTGCATTCGGACTTATCCTTCCACTTAGAGGCAGGTTTATGTTGATAGACCTATGGAGCGTCGGCAAGGCGCTTGTGCAAAACCCCGCGCTTCGCGCGGGGTTTTGCGGCACGCGCCTTGCGGGTGTCAACGGTCGCTGGGTTCTACAACAGTAACATAAACCTAATCCTTTTTCCATCTTCAGCCTTGTTCTGCCGACCTATCCCCTTAGCTCACAAATCTGTTTGGACTCATGTAATTGGAATCATAAACAGTCATTTCACTTAGAGTCACTTCGGGCCTTCGGCCCTCGTGTTCCCCAGTGGGGACTCATCTTTCCACTTTGGTCAACTGAAAACCAAGTTTTAAAAGCTGAAGCAAATTTCTTCTTCATAGACCAAAATTTCACAAGTTGAATCAAATTTGCTTCAATAAGCAAAATTTGAAAACCTGAAGCAAATTTAATTTTAATTTTGCTTCAATTTTCAAAAATTTCGAAAATTGAAGCAAATTCCATTCAAGTTTAAAAATTCAAAAACTGAAGTAAATTTGCTTCAGGCTTCAAATTGCAAAACTTGAAGCAGTAGCATGGTTCTGCTTCGGATCCTACACTGGATCCTGCTTATAAACCCGCATATTTTCCCCAGATATACAAAATTCAGCCTTAAACTCTTCGCCGGTTTGCCCGGCATGGTCAGAGATGGAGTAAACTTTCTCCTCTCTTCCACTCATTTCAACTGTCAATCAAATTGGCACTCTCCCTCCTGTCATTCTCCGGATACGGTACTCCACCCCACAAATTTTCGAACCTCTGTATATTCGTCAAAATGTACCGAAAAAAAATCGAAAAAAATATTTTTAAACTTAGCTCGACGTGAGCTTTCGAATGATATATCATTCGCTATATCCATCTTGGTTTTTGAAATTATAATTTTTTGGCCGGAGATTTCGACCGAAAAAAATCACTTAAATTTTCAAAAAATCATAACTCGGCCAAAGTATACCTTTTTTGAAAAATTTAAAATCCTATCCGATTCAGAAAAATCTGCTTAATCAAGGAAAAATACATTCGGCCCGAACCACTGGCAAAAATACAGAAAAATTTCCAAAAAGCCGGAAAATTTTGAGTTTTTCTAAAATTGATCCCTACGGGGTCAGTTTAGAATTTTTTCGAAATTTTTTTACCTAAAAAAATTTCTAATTTTTTGCTAAATTTTATTAAGCAACCCGTATGCAAAAATCCATATCCCTTCCAAAGTTATTGCGATTTAAAAAATCCCGAAAATCCCCCAAAAGGGGTACCCCTTTTGAAAACTTCGAGGGGTCAAAAATTTTTAATTTTGACACAAAAAACGTGTTTTATAGTGTATTCGTACACGCTAAGTACGAATCCGTTATCGGAAAAATTCTAAAAAAATCCGTTATCGGAAAAATTCTAAACCAGCAGGAATGATACATGGAACAAAATTTTGTTATTACCCAGGAAATGAAATTTCTCTCCTAGTAAATGATAATGGAAATATAGCTTTGAAGGCTTGGGGTCGTGTAAAAATAAAAGTTAGGGGATTTCTTGAAAGAAAAGAAAATTTAAAATGTGAAAAATGTCATGTTGAATGTCACAAAGAGGGAGTAAAAATATTTTCACAAGAAGAGATAGGAAGTGTAGAGATATGTGTAAAAAATGATCGATGCGCGCTCTTTCCCCACCCAAAATTGGAAGAATTAATTCCATTATCAAAAGAAATATTGGTTTCAAATTATGAAATTAAAATTAAATTTTGGAGATACGGAGAATTAGTAAAAGAATCTGGGATAAATTGTGAAGCTAAAGTAATTTGTGAAATTATAAAATGTAATATTTGTATAGAATTGCTTAAAAATCCACAATGTGCTTCAAAAACTGCTATAATATTGTTCGCAATAATTTTCTATATATTCTTTTCAATAATAATGACTGTTTTTCGTGTGATTGTGTTTGGATTCAGAGGGGCATTTTGCTTATTAAATTTTAAATTTCGATTAATGCGATGGATTTATAGAAAATATAATATAAAGAGTAATCGGGGCAAAAATGAGGAAAGTGAACTAAAATTAATAAAAGCCAAAAGGGAAATAAATCCGATAAAATTAACAATAGTATTAATATTTTTGACCATTCCCGAAAGTCTTCAATTAACCACTATTACCGCTCAGGAAGAAAAATGTGTTGTAAATAAAAATAAAGAGCGGACATGCTTATTTGAAAAAGTGATTGAGTTAAATTTTCTACCTAGGGAACAAGAAATCAAAATATTATTTGAGGATCACGCTAACAGACCAGCAGGAATGATAAATTTAAAAATATTAAACGCGGAAGCACGCTGCGCAAAGAAAACAAAATTTTTTACAAGAGAATATGAAATGAATGTAATGAGTGTTAAGAGATGCCCAGAAACAGGAAGTTGTAAAGGTAATAAATGCGCGGAAATTAAAGTAAATGAAACAATATTAGAATTAGAAGCAGTCCAAAACTTTCCGGGGATTACAGGTTGTGTCGAAGGTATGAATAATTGGCCAATGACAGGATGTTTCTATGCTACAGCTCCATGCACTTTTTATAGGTACTATGCAAAACCTATAGGAAACGAAATTTTTGAAGTCTTTGAATGTGAAAAGTGGGATATCGCATTAAACTTAAATGTTTCATTAACTAAAAATGACGGAAAGGGAGAATTTATAAGCGAAAGTTTTGAAGTAAATTTAATACCCCAATTTATGAAAGAATGGAATAAATTAAAAATGGTTTTAAATGATTTAAACATCCCTCCCACTCCTACACTAGTCAAACCTTTTATAGCCAATAATCGCGCTACAGCCATTATCGATTTTGAAAAAGAGCATAATCTTAGGAAATTTTATTGTAAAACAGCGCAAGAGGCGAGAGAATTTATAAAATGTAGTATAGCGTATAAAACCTGCGATTGCCATTTGGCCAACGATATAGCCGCGTGTACTTGTCAAGATGGGAGAAAAATATCCCAATTATTAAGAGGGGACCAAACTTTACCCTTTGAACACAACGGTCTCGTTTTTAAAACAAAAAACTCTGAAGTAATTTTTAATCCTGACCTAGCTTCCGCAAAAATGGAAGTTAGAATTGAAGGAATGTTTTTGCGCACAGAAATTGAATTAAATAGTTGTAAAGTCCAATCCGCGTCAATAGAAGGCTGTTACAAATGCGTTAGAGGGGCAATATTAACATTACAATGCAAAACAGATTTTGGGAAAAACCTAGGGTATATAACATGTCCTAGCTTAAAAACTGTTGTGATTTGTGATCCTAAAGGAACCAAGAGAATTATTTCAGTCCATTTAGAACATTCTAATATCGATGAAAATTGTGAAATCCATTGTCCCAGTTCAAACTTTAATTTTCAGTTAGTTGGAACATTAGCCCTGGCGAGCGCGGAGAAAGCAGATATTTGGATAAAAACAAAAACAAATGAAACAAAATTCGGAGAAATAAATTTACCGAGCATATTGGACACGCTTTCTTTCTTTTTTAACCCTCTGCACATCTTAATTTTTATTGCAACAATAATTTCCTTACTTCTACTAATCAACTGCATCCTACCAATACTCTTTCGCTTAATTCTAATTTCTGTCTACAAATTTTGTTTCCGCCGGAGTGTCGGGACTGGCCCGACTTAATGATGTTTCATAATATTATATTTTTAATATTTTTTAACAAAATTCCAATTTCTATTTTTATTATTATTTCATAATCTTTCCGATGATTCTTTTCATGTTTCTTCCCAAATAATTCATATTTTTGATATTCCAACTTAATCATACTTTTAAAACAATTCTTGTTTTCACCCTTCTTTAAAAGCAAATTCTAATGCCCCAAAAATATCTTTTTCCTCTTCACTTTTAATTTTAAGAATAAAAATTTTTTTTTGCTACACATTTTGCTACACAGTTGTCTGTTGCATCGCAAGATGATGGAGTGTCTAGAGGAGTTCCATCAACGACAGTTTTATCGGAATCGCAGACTGAACCTGATTTAAACTTTCAAGATGACGATGAATTTGGCGATTATATTCCTCCGCATGCTTGCAAGTTTGTTTTATTTATTATTACATCAATCCTTGTTATTTTGAAGATATTGCGGCTTGTCAGACCCATCTTCTGTTGGACAATGTACTGTCTGTGGCAAATGGTTTTGTAATGGTAAAGGTAATACAGCTGGTAGTCATATTATAAACCATTTGGTTCGTGCACAACATAAAGAAGTTTCTCTTCACAAGGACGGTCCTCTTGGTGAAACTCAGGTATCTTCTGCATTTAGTCTTAAATATTCTTACAAATAATGTTTCAGCTAGAATGTTATCATTGTGGTTCAAGGTGTTTTTTTTATTTTTTACAACTTTAACTACAAATTTAGGAATGTTTTTCTTCTTGGTTTTATTCCTTCAAAGACTGATTCAGTGGTTGTAATACTTTGTCGTCAACCTTGTGCCCAACAGAATACTCTTAAAAATGCTAATTGGAGTGCTGAAGATTGGAAGCCTTTAATTCATGTTTTTTCAATAGAATTGATTTTCTTAATATTCGTTTTTTATAGGAACGTCAGGTTCTTTCCTGGCTCATTAAAATACCTTCGCAACAAGAACAACTCCGAGCACGTCAAATAACTGCTGCACTCATTAATCGTCTTGAAGAATTATGGAAAGATAATCCTGAAGCTACTGTTGATGATTTGGAACGTCCAGGAAAATATACTAGCGAGGCCGAGCATGTTTTGTTGCGTTATGATGATGCTTCTGTGTATAAGTTAGTTTTTTTTGATAATTTTTAAATAATTTTTATTATCTACCCTTGAGATTTAAATATTAATTTAATTAGGCGTATCTTCAATCCACTAATATCAATGGAAGCGGAATATGACAAGAAAATTAAAGAATCGATTAGTTGTCCTGTTGGTCAAGTTAAATGGGAGGTTAAATCAGCAACCAAGGTGCATGCAACTTTTCAATTGCCTGGATTTCGTGATGGAAGTTTGTGATTTATTTCACTATAATCTATTTTTTCGTATATTTTCAGATATGAAATTAATGATTGGAGATGATCTACGTTTAAAACATTACCAAACATTAGATGGTAAATAATTGTTTCATAGACTTTATATAATTTTTATTTTTAAGGAAGTGAGTGGAATTGTATGGGACGTCTAATTAAAATTCCTGACAGTAAGTCTATTTTTATTTAATTTCTCTTTGGTATGAAAAATTAACTGACTTGGAGACTGAATAGAAACATTGTAGAGAGGACGCATTCCATAGCACAACCGACTGTGACACCCTTCTAACCCGATTATGTGTCATTTTTGTTCGCACAACAATCACATTTATTACAGATCATAACGAAGACTTTTCTTTGGAAATGTTTGCAAGTAGCAATAAAATTCCTACTGATAGACGTACAAATTTTATATGTGAATATGTTTGGAATTCTACATCTTTTGATAGGTCTGAAAAATTTTTTGAATAAAATTTTAATTTTCTTAAATGTTTAAGAATGTTTGCTGCTCTTGGACGATTGGAATCTAAAGAGAATTGTGTTTCTCAATATATTTATCATAAATTAATGGGTCATGATGTTGATGATATTTTGTTTAAGGTTTAATATTGTAGTTTGATTTTTAATTGTTTTTTTCATTAAGCTGGTTATGCCAAAGAAATTTTCGGCTCCTGGACTTCCTGAATTAAACCACAGTCAAATTTCTGCAATTAAAGCTGCTCTGCAACGTCCGCTTTCATTAATTCAGGTTTATAAGTTGAAATTTGATTGTTTTGATGATCTTGTTTTCAGGGTCCTCCAGGAACAGGTAAAACAGTTACGTCGGCCACTCTTGTTTATCATCTTGTAAAACAAACAAGCGGTCAAGTTCTTGTCTGTGCACCTTCAAATATTGCTGTAGATCAATTAGCTGAAAAAATTCATAAAACTGGATTGAAGGTTATCCGTTTTTGTGCAAAAGGACGTGAAACTGTAGATAGTTCTGTTGCTTTTTTGGCTTTACACAATCAACTTAAAGCGCTTCAATCAGGAGAACTCTTTAAATTAATGAAATTAAAGGTAATTTTTTGATTTTTTCTTGTTTAAAATATTTTTCAATTTAAAGGAAGAAATTGGAGAACTCTCACAAGCTGATCAAAATCGTTTCATGTCGCTTAGACGTCAAAGAGAGAATGAATTATTATCGAAAGCAGATGTTATCTGTTCAACCTGTATTACTTCTGCAGATATTCGTTTAGCTAAAAAAGAATTTCGGTAACTTTTGATTTTTTAAATAGTTTATTTAATTGTATTCAGCTGTGTTTTAATTGATGAAAGCACACAAGCTACTGAACCTGAAGTAATGGTTTCTGTTGTGAAAGGTGCTCGTCAGCTTGTATTAGTTGGTGACCATTGTCAACTTGGTTGTTAAAATTAAAAATTTTTTTAATTTTAAAATTTATATAGGCCCAGTAATTATGTGCAAAAAATCGGCAAATTCTGGTCTTGGACAATCTCTTTTTGAACGTCTTGTGATCCTTGGAAATCGACCTTTACGATTACAAGTTCAATATAGAATGCATCCTGTTTTGTCATCCTTTCCTAGCAATGTATTTTATGAAGGTTCTTTGCAAAATGGAGTTGCCGAAAGTTTGTTAATTTAAAATCTTAAAATTTTTTTATAAATATATTCTAGTGGAACGAAAACTTGACACTTTTTCTTGGCAATTCCCTAATCCTGATAAACCAATGATGTTTTGGAATTGCAACGGACAGGAAGTAAAAATTTTAAATTTTAAAAAATGGAAGACATTTTAATTTAAAGGAACTTGGCTCTTCAGGAACTTCTTATTTGAATAGATCTGAAGCTGTGAATGTTGAAAAATTTGTTACTCGATTGCTACAGGCTGGATTTTCTCCCGAACAAATTGGAATTATTACTCCATATGAAGGTTTTATTTTCTCTAATTTTTATTTTAGAAATTTTGTGCTTACTTTTAATAGGTCAACGAGCATATGTTGTCCAATTTATGCAAACTCAAGGATCACTTCATAGCAAATTGTATTTGGATATTGAAGTAGAGAATGTTGACGCTTTTCAGGTTATTCATTGCTGATAATTTTCTAGAAACTAATTCTTTTCTATTTCTCAGGGTCGAGAAAAGGATATAATAATCGTTACTTGTGTTCGATCAAATGAGGCTGGTGGTATTGGTTTTCTTAACGATCCACGACGTTTAAATGTTGCTTTAACACGTGCAAAATATGGTTTAATTATAATTGGAAATGCAAAAGTTTTGAGTAGACAATCATTATGGCATCATTTGTTAGTGACATTTAAAGAGAATGACTGCCTTTTTGAAGGACCTTTAAATAATTTGAAGCCATCTCCAATAACTTTTCCTAAACCGAAACCTTTGACGGCACAACATATGCCTGTGAGTGTTAAGATTTTTGAGCATAATTTATAATAAATTTTATAATATTTAAGGGATCCCGTTATGTGAATCGAACTCTTGGTTTTACAATGAAAGAACTTGGTATTGGTCCATATGCTTCGATTCGTTCTGTTCCTGTTGTTCAACAGCATCCATTGCAACAATTTCAAGATCCACAAGGAATGATTTATCCCAATTTTCCTATGGGAGCTCGAGCATTGGGGTAATTTAAATTATTTTAAATTCATAAAAATTTATTTTTAAGTTCTCAACTACCTGTCCCTATTCATATGTTCTCTTCTTTTGTACCTGCGCCTCCACAAATGCCTCCAATGCCACCTCCACACCCAATTCCATTAAATTCAATTCATTTATCTGGAGTAAATAATGGAATAGGAGGAACAACGAGAAAGAAAATGTCTAAAAGATCTAATTCTCAACGAAGTTCAAATAGTACCAGTAGTACCAATATTATAAATAATTTCAACTCGCAAGCTTCACAAGAACAATTTCTTCCAGGAGTAGGATTTATTAGCCAAAATTCTCAACTTTCACAAGGAGGAATTTACAGTGATTACGGTTTTATTTTTTTAATATTATTTTTTAAAATATTTTTAAAAAGATGGCTCTCAACTAGGAGGAGCTTCACAATCACAACAATTTCCATTTCAACATCCAGCTCTTCCTTCAATGCAATTTAGTCAACAAAGAGATTTGGTTGAACAACAATTGCAAAATTTAATGCTTTCTCAGCAATCTGAAGCAGCCAGAAAGCATTGAAAGACTTTGGACAAATTAAAAATCAGTGCTGATTAATGAGTGCAAAAGGTTTTTACAATTTTTAAAAATTACAAAAAATTCTTTTTTTATATTTAAGGACTTTGGATTCAAGCTCCAATAACTAAAAATGAAACTAATGGATGGTTAATTTTTGATTATTGTTTAGAAGAAATAGAATTTTTGGGTGGATTTTAACAGTGAAAAAATAAGTCTTCAAATTTATAATTATCCCTTATTTCCCTAAATATTTGTGTGTGTGGATTTTATTAGATTATTAAAAGCTGTGATATATTTTACTAATTAAAAACGTTTTTATAAACCAAAATCTGTTAACCAAATCGTGCAGGTTTTTTGTAAAATCTTTAATCACAGCTTTACTTTCTTTATGGATTGGATAAATATTTTGTGTTGACTAAATTTTCTTGTTTTATTTTTGTTAAGAATACTATATTTACTTTATAATTTTAAAAATTATGTACTAGAATAATTACAAAATTTATTATAATAAATATGGAGAACAATAATGATGTTGATTGTCTTCCACTAGATGACGAGGAAAATGGTTTATCCCCTGCAAAGAAATTTCCTAAAAAATCTGGCCGAGAGAAGGTTCATTAAAATTTTTAATTTTGTTTATCATTTTTTTTTAATTTAGAAGGGGCAAGGTGTTCGCCAAAACTATGTTAGTCGAGAAATTATCCCAGTGAATGAAAAGCTTTTTTCTTTTTACCGTCAACAACGAATTATTCCAGAATCAGAATGGGACGATTTTGTAGCTGCTTTAAGGTTTGTTAGTCTACACTTAACCGAAAATGAAATGACATGTTTAAGGAGAGAATTGCCTGTATCTTTCCGAATTCAATGCTCGCTTCGGTAAATTAAAAAAATTTTTTAAATTATATTCTAATAAAGTAAATAATTTAGGGAAAGGGACTATTTAGATGAATATATTCAATCAAAATTCGTTAAAGAAATTGAAAATATAGCAAAGGATTCGCCTGAAATTGATCCTCCAAAAAGAGTCCCTTTTGTGCCATATGCTTATCAAACGAAAATGTCTAGAGCATCGATTCGAGGGCACCCAATTTTAAAAGATTTGCATGAATTTCTTATTAATGAAACTGAATTGGTTTGTTTTTTATTCATAAATATTTTAAATTTTTTAATCTTAATTAGGGTTATATAAGCCGTCAAGAAGTGTGTAGTATGATTCCACCTCTTTTTCTTGATATTCAACCACATCATTTGGTATTAGATGCATGTGCAGCTCCAGGAAGTAAAACAGCACAGTTAATTGAATTAATGCATGTTTTATCACCAAATCCAAGTATTTCTCTATAATTTTTTAATTTATTTAAAAATTTAAAGGTGGAATGGTTGTTGCAAATGATATCGATTATAAAAGGTTGGGTATTTTTTTAATTGTTTTTAATAGTGTATCCATTTAAGATGTTATTTACTTGTCCATCAAACATTAAAGAGAATGCCAACAGCTGGTGAGATTCTAAAATTTTATTGAATTACTAAATTAAATAATTAAGATGTTGTTGTTGTTAGTCATGATTCTGGCCAATTCCCAGTTATGCTAGATTCTAACAAGCAACCATTACTTTTTGATAGAATTTTATGCGATGTTATTTGCAGGTTTTTTTTATTTGCAATTAATTTGAAATTTAAAACGAATATTTTAGTGGTGATGGGACTTTTCGAAAAAATCCTGAATTGTGGAATAATTGGGAACCAATGAAAGGTTTTTATTTATTTAAAAAAATATTTTTAAATTTTAAGGAATTCATCTTCACAAATTACAATTACAAATTGCTCGTCGTTGTTTTGAACTTCTTAAACCTGGAGGTTTAATGTGTTATTCAACTTGTTCTTTAAATCCTTTGGAGGATGAAGCTGTAATTGCTCAATTATTAAGACATTTTAATAAGGAAATTGAATTGGTAGATATTTCTGGAAAAATTTTGGATTTAAAAAGAACAAAAGGAATTAGTCATTGGAAGGTTTTTTATGTTTGTCAGTTTAATTTCTAAATTTTTTTCTAAGGTTTTTAACAAAAATTTGGAAGAATATTCTTCCATAGAAGACGTACCGAAAGAAGCTTTACGTCATTTTAAGCCTTCAATGTTTCCTCCTAAAAGTGAAGAAATTGAAGCAATGCATTTGGATTATTGTTTTAGAATTTTACCACATCAACAAGATACTGGAGGATTTTTTGTTGCTATTTTAAGACGGAAAGAGATGGATAAATTAAATGTAGACAATAATTGCACAGATGAACAGCAGCAACAACTATTGAAACTTAACCAGCCAACAACGCTTATAAGGTTATAAATAGAATATTTAACAATTATATATTCCTAAGAGATCTCTTTGGTGTTTATTTATCAAAAGATCGACCTCAAGAGGTCAACACCCTAAAGGTAGTATTGAGCCTCTATATCCGTCCTAGTATTTGAGTTGATCTCCAGGGTCAGTTGATCACTAGGAGATGACTAGGATGTTAACCTCCTGCGAGTCTGGGGTGGGCCTTTTATCAAGAATATACCTAACTTAAAATTTTTAGAAAATCAACAGTTACAAGAAAAAGAAGAGGTTTTGTTCATAAAGAAGATCCATTTATTTTTCTTGCCAACCATAGTGATGAAAATGAATTGAGAGAGGCATTGAAGGAATATTTTGGCATTTTACCAGAAAATTTTTCTCATCAAAATTTACTTGTACGTTCAACAAATACTGAAAGGAAAAAAGAAGTTTATTATGTGAATGATTCTCTAAAAGAATTTTTAATAAATAATGATGGACGTTTCAAAATTGTAAATGCTGGAATGGGAATTTTAAAGAAAATTATCAATGATAAAGTATCGCCTTGTCCTTACAGAATTAAACAGGATGTAAGTTATTATGGGAGCAAGCCGCTAGTCTAATGTACCGCTTAGCTATAACCGTTCAAGATTATTGAATCCGAGAGAATCGAACCGTGCACGGGCGTCACGGATTCGATAATTTTGAATGAATTTGTAGCTCGGCGATACTGGACTCGGCGGTACGTTGGGGTGTACTTGTAATTATTTAAGAATTGAAAATAAATATTTCTTTGATTTTTAGGGATTGCCTATTCTTATACCTTGGATTACTAAACGAATTATTGATATACCTACCTCACTTTTCATTCGGATTTTGCATGGTGGTCAAACTAATTTAAAAGAAAAAGAAACATCACAATATTTACCTTTAATTGAACTTGGAGAAGAGGAACATTTTTTATTTAAAGGTTTTTTAAATTTTACTTTTTAATATTTATTTCTTAGAGATCATCCCAAAATGTCCCCCAATATATTTGGAGTTGACTTTTAGGTTCATTTGATCAATAAGGAGTTGACTTTTTGTGTTAGACCTCTGACATAAGTGATGATTTTCTGGGGTGGACCAAGTTTTTAGAAATTCCTTCGCTTTTCTAAAGTTTCTTTTTATCAGTGCTGGGTATTGGACGTTTTGTGGCTCCGGCTCTGACTTCAAATCTTGGACCGGCTCCATCTTAAAAAAGGCCCAGGGCTATATCCAGCACTGATGTTTATTCTCTAATTTTTAGGTCTAGAACCAGGCACAATAATTCTCCGTCTTCTTGAACCTTTTCCAAAAGAAGTTTGTGCTTGGATCGGTGCTAATTCAATAAGTGCTTTTGTTTCACGTGAAGAACGTTTTCATTTATTGTGCATATTGGGTGAAGATATTATTAAATTAAAAAGGAAAACTGTTACATGTCGACAGGTTTATTAATTTAAATTTTAAAATTTTCCTTCAAAAAAAATTTTTTAGGAAAAAGCAGCAGCCAAATTAAATAAAGAAAAAGATTTAATAAATGATTTGGAGGAAAGTAAGGAGGTTTAAATAAATTTGTTTTTATTATATTTTTGGTCCTTTGTTATACCTTCCCCTATTCGAGTCTATGATTAATTTTCCTTTTTTGTAATCATATATTTTCCAATACAAAATGTTAAGGTGCCATACAGAGAAACTCTGCAAGTTTCTCAATCTGGAGTTGGCTCCGCAGAGTTTCTCAATGTAGAGTTGGCTCCGCAGAGTTTTCTCAATGTGGAGTTGGCTCCGCAGAGTTTTCTCAATGTGGAGTTGGCTCCACAGAGTTTTCTCAATGTGGAGTTGGCTCCGCAGAGTTTCTCAATGTAGAGTTGGCTCCGCAGAGTTTTCTCAATGTGGAGTTGGCTCCGCAGAGTTTCTCAATGTAGAGTTGGCTCTGCAGAGTTTTCTCAATGTGGAGTTGGCTCCGCAGAGTTTCTCAATGTGGAGTTGGCTTCACAGAGTTTCTCAATGTAGAGTTGGCTCCGCAGAGTTTTCTCAATGTGGAGTTGGCTCCGCAGAGTTTCTCAATGTGGAGTTGGCTTCACAGAGTTTCTCAATGTAGAGTTGGCTCCGCAGAGTTTTCTCAATGTGGAGTTGGCTCTGCAGGTGTTTCTCAATGTAGAGTTGGCTCCACAGAGTTTTCTCAATGTGGAGTTGGCTCCGCAGAGTTTCTCAATGTAGAGTTGGCTCTGCAGAGTTTTCTCAATGTGGAGTTGGCTCCGCAGAGTTTCTCAATGTGGAGTTGGCTTCACAGAGTTTCTCAATGTAGAGTTGGCTCCGCAGAGTTTTCTCAATGTGGAGTTGGCTCTGCAGGTGTTTCTCAATGTAGAGTTGGCTCCGCAGTTTTCTCAATGTAGAGTTGGCTCCGCAGAGTTTTCTCAATGTGGAGTTGGCTCTGCAGAGTTTCTCAATGTAGAGTTGGCTCTGCAGAGTTTTCTCAATGTGGAGTTGGCTCCGCAGAGTTTCTCGATGTACTCCGCGTGAGAAACGTCCCCGGGGCTTTTAAAATTTTGGGTTATACAATTCATAAAATCTTAGACTCAAATATGGAGGGGGATATAAACAAAGAACTTCTTGGTTTTTGTTTTTTAATAAATATAATTTTAATTTAAAAAATTTTTATTTTCAAATTAATGTTTTTTTCTATTATTTTATACGTTTTTTAAATTTAAAATTCATTTTTATATAATTATTTTAGTTATTTTATTTTAAATGTCATCAACAGGTGCTCGTGCCGTTGGTACAGATGGAACAGATTTTAAACATCGTCAACGGGTTGCAGCTTCAATTAAATTGAGGTTTTAATATTTTTAAATTGGAAGGGCTTATTGTTTTTTAGGGGGGGGGGGTGATGTTTGATGTCATATTTGGATGAAGATTCTAGGTGATTGATTTGGTTAACATGGACGAGCTTTTATCCGGCTTATACACAGGCCATTGTTAGAAATTAATTAAGCTGTTTTCCTCTATCTTCCCTCGGTTTATAAGCATTTTACGGGCTTTTTCTAGTTTTTCATGGATCACGCCCTTAACCCCTGCAATATTTAAATTTTACTTTTAAAATAGTGTTCAATACAAATTTTATTTGAAATTGCTTTTTGCTCTTCACTTTTTAATTCTTCTACCGTTATGGGCAAAAGTTGGTGGTGAATTAATTTTTGATCAATTTAAATTAATGAAACAACCAAAACTTTGGAGAAGATTGGATCTTCCAAATGCTTATCCTTGGGTTTATTTTAAATTTATTTTTTAATTTTAACTGTTTTTAAAGGAATATATTTGGTGCCTATCTTTTATTCCAATTATTTTGGCAATTCCTTCATTTCAGAAAAATAGGGTTTGATGTTTTTTTTAATATTTTTTTAAATTTTATTTTTAAGCTTCTTTTGCTCAAACTTAGTTATTATTCACAATTTTTGTTTGGAATAACACCCTGCGCAATAGTAAAAAAAAATTTTAATTTTAGAGTTTAACCTTGAAGACCAACCTATTCCTAAATGACTATTGATTCTAAAAACTTAAATTTTTGAAAGGGAATATCAAGGGGATTAGTACCCAACACTCTGGAAGTAATTACCCAGTATTCTAGAACATATGGTCCCCTCACTCACATCTTTAACCAAATCTGTTTTTTTGAGCAATAGTAAACTTCTTTTTTGGTCTTCAGGGTTGACTCTCTAATTTAATGTTTAATTTTAAAATTATTATTTTTTTCGTTTTTAGGGCTTGGGCAGCCAATTTCCTGAATTAATAGACTATATTCGTTTTGGAGAGCAAAGTAAAGTGCCAACATTTAGTGGAAGTTTTCCAATGGTATTTAATAATAATTTTATTTTTTTAAATTAAATTTTAAAAGGTTATTCTTTGGTATTTATTTTTTCTTGCAGTCTTTCAAGTAAAAAATTCTTTAAAAAAATCTTTTAAAATTTTGTTTTTAGATTCAAGGATTTTCAATGTATTTCACTTTTAATTTGTTAAATGCTTGGAGAAGGGATCCAGTAATTTTAAAACAATCAGCAGACAAAACACAAAATATTGACAAAAAAGATGAATAGATTGGTTGAAGTTATTTTTGAAAAAGATATTTTAAATGTAGTTTTTTATTTATATGTGTTATAAATGTTATCGATTGATATCGATTTATTGATTTTTTATCGATTTTTTGAAAAATTAAAAAATAAATTATCGATTGCTATCTATTTATTGATTTTTTATCGATTTTTTGAAAAATTAAAATTTTAAAAAATAAATTATCGATTGATATTGATTTATTGATTTGTTATCGATTTTTTGAAAACTACAACTTTTACAAATTTTGGAATATCGATTTTATCGATTGATATCGATTTATTGATTTTTTAAAATATTTTTCTCAACTTCACTCAATTGTTGCACTTAATGTTACAAGACTCTAAAGACTGGTACTCTACTGTCCGTTAAATTTTAGTGGATTAAATGTCACTTATTGGACAAATTTTACATTACGCCAAAATTGGGCAATTTTTAAACCTAAAATGCTGAATTTAAATCGCACGATGAAAGCCCAAGAACAATCACTCATTCAACTTCATTTTCTTAAGTTTTGTTAAAAAAACACGACAATTAAAACATTTTAATCAAGTTTTTTTAATCAGCATTAAAATTTTATTATTTTTATAAATTAATCTGCTTCATAATCTTCCAAAACATGTTCTAAATGTACATTATGAACTTTCTGAGTTGCTTTCTTTGGTTGTTTTCTTTTTGGTGCTGTTCCCTCACCAATATTTCTTCTTGGCGCCAAATCCCTCGCAGTTTCAAGTCCATGCTTTTGCAAATATTCTTCAATTTTTGTTTCATCTAAATGTTCGACGCCTGCTGAACGCCAAAGTTGAACAAATTCATCATCAAGTTGGTAATCTGTATCTTCGTCATTTAAGAAGAGAACTGTGTCTTTTCTTTTGTTTATCTGAAAAATTGAAAATCACATATAAAATGGTACTGCTGCAGGAATACGCCCATCATTGTCCCATCAATACGCCCATCATTTGTAATGCTGTTCCAAAACATTTTGGCCTAAGCTTATGGGAAGCCCTTAGTTGTCAGTGGAAACTTATAAACTTGCAAAAATAATTCAAATGCTCCCTTCTTCATTGCATGTTTTAAAAAATAATTCTAATTCTAATCAACCTAACAGAAACTAGCCGCTAACTCCAAGTTAAAAAGTAGACTTAAAAACTCGAAAAAACTAAACAGCGCACGGATACTATTTTCCTTCTAAAAACTTGTAAAATAAGGTTATGAGACAGGTGAGGTGGAAGACCCCGCATCATTACCCGCAATTCTTAATAAAATTATTTTTACAAACCTGTGTCGGTAAAGCAATACATTGTGATCCAAGTGCTTTAATTAAAGCTTCAGGATTTGACACACAATCACCCAATTCTGAAAGCAATATCCCTCCCTTTCCATCAGAATGTTGCTTCTTTAAAAGGGCAAACAAGGTTGCCTTTAGATTTGAAAAATTTTGAAATAAAAAAATATTAAAAAGAAAACCTTATTTTTAACTTTATGTGGCGGTTTATAAATTAATTTGTTTTCATTATCAGAGTCCAATCGGGGATTTTGTTTAAGCGCTTCTTGTAACCAAAGAATTGTTTTCTTATTTAAATCGTAGACCTTTAAAATAAATTTATAAAAATACTTTTTTGTGAAATAAACCTGCATTTCATCAAGTATTTCATTTAAAGTCAATCCCCATTGTTGTACATTTAAATGTCGTTTACGCATATAATCCACTATTTTTGCCATCATACTGTGAGAAAAAAGGTTATTGTTCAGTTTATATACCCACGGAGATGGTATAATATCATAATACCACGCCGAAATACCAAAACCACCAAAGAAAAAAAAACCACCAACCACCAAAGAGAAATACCAAAACCACTAAGAAAAATGTGGATTGTTAACACCCCCTTCAACGTAATCGGAACCATGTGTTTGTATTTTTCCAAAGCTTGATATTTTGACAGCTTTTACAATTAGGTGTTTGGTATTTCCGCGTTTGGTATTACGACCTGCTCCGATGGAGATTTCTGCGTCCTAAGGACTTGTAAACTGGATATTCTTGGGTCTGAGTTAGTTTTTGTTTAAAACCTATCATCGCTGTTTATACGGGACGCATAAATCTAGCTCAAACCGGACAGGAGATAAAAAGAAAATAGCCCAAGAAATAAAATCCAAACCTAAAATTTGCTGCATTTTGTATAGCATTATTATTATTAGCCCCAGTAGACGAAGATGCAGCGGTTTTTGAATCTTTCGAAGCAACCACTCTTTTCCTTTTACTTTTTTGTTGGGATGTTGAAGACGACGATGTTGCTCCTCCACTTCCATCTTTCTTAATTTGTTGTAATGTATCCATTGAACTAATTGCATGTCTCATAAAATCTTGTCGAGCTTTTAAAAGTGCTGGATCCATTTTTGTTTTCAAATAAATTTCGTAAAAAAATAAAAATCTAAAAATTCTTTAAATATCAGAAACGATTATATTTAAAAAATAACTAGAAAAATGATTAGGCAAAACAAAAAAGCCATCAACAAAAAGTTAAAAAATAAAAACGCAGCGATAAAAATAGAACGAAAGTCTTGGGATGCCCAAAGAGGCGCAGGCCAAAAGGGCGCAACCGAGAAGGCGCAAGGCCAAAACGGCGTTCTGAATTCTAACAAAAGATTGGAGTTCTTCAGTCATTTTTTCTGTTGATTCTTGTTCTTCTAAAGCATAACCATCAAAAAGACGTCTTCCCGCAATAATTCACCGGCCTAAAAAATAATCTTGAATCCATAGTAAATAATTAAAAACAACCTCTTTAAAATTTGTACAGCTTCTGGACACTCTCTCAAAGCTGAAAATTAAGCTATTGAAAAACTCTTAAAAATAAAAACAACCTATCAAAAGATCAACCATTCAAACCAAACAAATCATTGCATCTAACCAATGGAACATCTGCTGTACGTCTTCTCATTTGACAAGAACTTGGCCACCGATTAATTGGCTTTACATTAACATTAATGATAAACTTATTTAGGGGAGAAACCTTGCGGACAAAACTTGCGAATTTAATAAAGTAAAAAGCTAACCATGTAGACGAGAGCATTGGAGTTTAATCGTTGCAATGTTGTAGTGAAGCCATCGCCCATATTTCGCCGAAGCTAACATGGGGCTTGTGCCCATATTTCGCCGAAGCTAACATGGGGCTTGTGCCCATATTTCGCCGAAGCTAACATGGGGCTTGTGCCCATATTTCGCCGAAGCTAACATGGGGCTTGTGCCCATATTTCGCCGAAGCTAACATGGGGCTTGTGCCCATATTTCGCCGAAGCTAACATGGGGCTTATGCCCATATTTCGCCGAAGCTAACATGGGGCTTGTGCCCATATTTCGCCGAAGCTAACATGGGGCTTGTGCCCAAATATGGGACTTTTGTTGTTGTTGCTGCTGAAGTTTTGTTGTTGTTGCTGCTGCTGAAGTTTTGTTGTTGTTGCTGCTGCTGAAGTTTTGTTGTTGTTGCTGCTGCTGAAGTTTTGTTGTTGTTGCTGCTGCTGAAGTACTGAAAAATTGGATTCATTTTTCAAAAATTGAAAGAAAGCAAGTCTTGTCCGCAACACAATACTACCCTCCCCCCTAAAAAGGTTAATTCCCAAAAAAGGAATAACCTCTCCCTCAAATAACCTCCACCCTCTTGGCCGAATCAATCTTTTTAACCAATCGATCTTTAGAGGGGACACGGACAAAGCTAAACCGAAAAATGGCCGCCAGAAAAACCTTGACTTTTTCTCTTTTTCTTTTCCTCTACTATTTCGCTATCGATTTTTTCAAAATGTAAAAAAGCCGTTTGAACGCTAAGCATTAAACAAGCCGTTTTAACGCCCTAAGAAGAAGACGCGCGAAAGTATGCAAGATAAATAAGGAAAAGATTTATACAAAAAAAGAGTACAGGAAAACTTTTTATTGTACTGTCTCACTCTTTTTATGGCCGCGTTTTTATTGTTAGAAGGCTTGTTAACTTTTTGTTTATGGCTTTGTTTGTTTGGCCCAATCTTTTTTTATAATCATCTTTACTTTATAATCATTTCCAATACTTTAAACAAATTTTTATCTTTTTTTTTGTATTTTACCTGTTATGTGTTCACTTTTTTGTATCACGTTTTTTTCCTTTTTGGCTCATTTTCCTTTCCTATTTGTTGCTTTTATTGAACCTCTATTTATGATTTTAACAATTTTATAGATTTTTAATCAAAATTTCTAAAAGAATTTACTACCAAGTATAAAAAAATGAGCGACGGAAGTAACAGCGCAAGTACAAAACCTATGTTGGAGCTGTATGTTAAGGCAAGTAAAATTTTAAAAAATAACTATAAAGTGAATATTTTAGGCATCAGGTATTGATAGCCGTAGAATTGGCGCGTGTCTCTTTTGCCAAGAATTTTGGATGGAATTGTATGCTCTCTATGAGGTTGGATGTGTTCGTGTGGAGGTTTCTTAAAGCTTTAAATTTATTTTATTAAGTAATTTAAAGGTAAAGACTGTAAATGTCAATTCAGAAGGATTCAAACGCAACTTTTCTGGAGCTCAACCTCCTATTATGGTGGAAGAAGAAAAGTTTGAATTTCATAGATTTTTAAATTTAAAATATTTAGAGGGACAACTTATGCTGATAACAGTGAAATTGAACGTCGAATCTTCCATCTCTGTCAAGGTTTTCATGTTCCGCTTTTTGAGAAGGATTTGCAAGTTGAGAAAACTATCCAGAATCTTTATCGGGTTTGTTTTTATTGAATAACTTGCTTTCATTGAAAATTTTTTTAGAATTTCAAAATCTTTCTGCAAGCAAAGGCAACTCATGATAAAGGTAAAAGACATCCTAGTGCAATAGAAGAAGGCCTTCCTCCGCAAGTGACATCTTCACATAATAAATTATTGGAGCAATTGGCTAATATTGACCAGGTTTTCCGTTAAATTTTTATTCAGAATTGTGTTCCTTTCCGTTTTAGTTACTGGCTGATCGTTCTTCTCGTTATCTTCTAAGTGAATCAATGACTGAATATGACTGTGAGATTATGCCACGTTTGCATCACATTCGTATCATTGGAGAACGCCTTCTGAATTTTTACATTCCACGTCAATTCACACATTTATGGGCATATATATTAACTGCATATCGAACAGCTGCTTTTATTGAATCCTGTCCGGCTGATCAAGATATTTTGCATCATTATAAGGTATATTTACTTTTTAAAAATAAGTAAACCTTGTGAACTGGGTAAAATTGTCATTAGCTTGCTCCTTTTTTCTTCCCCAAGTCTTCCCCTCCCATCTTTGTATTTTGCCAACGAGCGATCAGAAACGATTAATTTTTATTCTGCTTTGGGATAGGAAAAAACTTGGGGAGAAAAGGGGCCCTTAATCGATAATTTTACCGTGAAATTTTAAGTACTTGTTTCGTTTGTGTCCGCAATATTTTATATTTTGCCAAAAATTTTAGGAACAATTAAATTTGGCAATTGATATGCGAGTGACACTTGAAGCACCAACAAAGACATTAACCATTCCTGAAGGTAACGATTATTTGTAGATAATGTAGCTATATTTATTTTTCTAGATGTTCTTCAAGATATACGCCGGCTCAATAATGGAATTCAAACAGGAGAAGGAAGTAGACAAAATAATTAGACGATAAATAAAAGGCAATAAGAGTAAATGAAGACTTAAGAAGGAAATTACTACAAATAAAAATAATTTTTTGGAAAAAAGGATTGGGCGAAAAATTTTAAGGTTTTGAGGGAAAGAAAAATAATTTTAAAAATTTGCCCAATCCTTTTATTAAATTAAATAAAAACTTGCCTATTTAATTTATATATTTAACACAAAAACCGATGCATATCTATCTGAAAATATTTAACATTCTCTTTCTTGATATTTTTAGTGTATTTTTCTTAAATAAAAATATTGCCTTTGTTTAGAGAAGTTTTTCTTTTATTGGGACTCTTGATCCCTAACTCATATTTCTATTCACAACTGTTTTTGTTTTTCTTTTTTTAATTCCTAGGGCTATTTTTAGTCTAAAAATGATGAAATTTCTTTTATTTGATTTTTCAGTGATTATTTGATTTAATATTAAAATACAAAATGGCCACAATTCCTTATTTTACAACAAATCGTCGACAACGCAGCCATTCGCAGTTACAACAGGTTTCTAAGATTATTTTATTGTCACTGGGAGGGTCGGACGTATCGGGATGTTTCAATGCCGAACAGTTACCCTAATTTTGGAACTAAAGCCTCAGCCATTGGGTCATGGATATGGCCACTGGGTCAGGGATGCAAGAGGTTATTTTTCTCATATCAATTCCGATATGTCCTCACTTATATTCTCCCACCATTTTTTAATATTAGTATTTTAAAAATATTTTTGAAGCTAATTCCATTATCTTCACAACAACAGCCAAACACCTCAACTACTACTTGGCCACCAATTCAATTAAAACAACAAAATTTAAATAAAAGGGAGGAAAATACAAGACTTTCAATACTGGGAAGTGAATGTTCTTTATCTTCTTATTATCGTTTACCTGGAATTCCACATGAAAATAATGGAGAGAGTGATCAAAGAGAGGATGGAATAAGGTTTTTAATTTTTAGAAATTTTTAATTTTTAGAGGTTCTTAAATTTTAGAAGGAATACTTTAAGGACTCCATCTTTTAGTGTCGATTCCTGTGGAATCTTCAGGACGGTTCCTTCTTCGGGGGTATTCCAACTCCAGGTTAGGGAGTCTAGGACGGTAATCGAGGTCCAGGACGGGTAGTGTTTGGGAGTATTGCCTTCCGGGTCAGGAACATATGACCAGACTTGGTCTTGACTATCCATTCATTTAAATTTTTAAATTAAAAATTCCAGGAGCCGTTGCTTGCAAATGTTTGAGGAGAATTTAAAACTTCTACTTGGCTCTTTAGCTTTGGCAGTTTTTGGAACTGCTCTAATAATATTCAGTTTTTGCATAACTTTTCTACCTAACGACATGGGTAATTTTTTAATTTTTAAAAATTTTTTCCTTTAAATAAATTAAAGATATTCATGGCTGGATTTTCCTCGTTGTTGGTATATTATTTGCAATTCCAGGCTTTTATCATTTAATATATATTTGTTGTGCTCTTTGTGGCCGGCCAGGTTATTCATTCGATCAATTACCTACACTCAATAAAAACAGAAAATCTTTGATTAATTATTGATGTTTGGGGTAGGGTTGGCGATTCCGGATATTTGGAACAAAACTATCCGGAGAGTTCCCAGGTCCGATTTTCAGTAATCCCCAGTATCTGGAGATTTCCCAGATAATCTCCTGTGGAACCGCCAACCCTCGTCTGGAGGACCAGCTTTGATTTTTACTCTCATAATATACTTTTTTAAATCACTCATAATACAATAACTTTTTCCACGTATTCCATTCATTTTTAAACTTAAATTCCACAATAATCTCAAATTGTAAAAAAAACTGTTTCTAAAAATTTAAATATTAATAAAGACAATTTTTCAATATATTTATATCTCTAGTACTAATTAAAAAGTAGTTTAATTGAGCAAATAATAAATTAGAGATCGGAAATTTAAAGAATCCTTGATTTTGGTTGAAGACCTTGACCAGATTCTTGGAACACTAAAAAATGCTTTGATCTTGACTCTGGGACCCAGGAAAAATCAAGGTCTTTATCCAAATCCAGGTCGATCTCTACAATAAATAATGTGTAAATTATTTTTATTTAAACAATAACATCTTTCCCAGAACCAAATTCCCCACTTTCCTCTGGATTTTGTTCGATTACACCCCCACTGCTTGATTCTGCAATTGTTGAAAGCCTTTTTTGAGAAGAATCCGTACATTCTTGACTTATGGAATGGGAGGTTCCCTTTAAAATTAAAAATTTTCAAAGAATTTTTTAAAAATTTATTTACTTGTTCAATCTGATCATAACTTTTTGTTAAATCTTCCTCATCATCCATCCCCTCAGCAACCCAAGCCATTCCTCTCCATACTTGGTGCATTATATGAACGGCTGGGGCAAGCATTGCTACTGTTGCTCTCGATTCTTGCCTTAAAATAGAATTTTGACCTTATGTCATCTTAAGGAAAACTCAAGAATCAAACGGAAGGGGATGTCCAAAAAGTACCATTTAATCTTCTATCTCTCTCCCCACAAATGGGGATTATTTCTTTTAATTTTCTAAAATACCTTAACGTTAATCTTCCCCCTTCACCACTACTTGAGGTTGGTTGTTGTTGTTGTTCTCCTCCCATTTGATTCACATTTACTCCATAATGTGCCATCATTCTAGAACGAAGACCATTCATTTCAGGTGAAGCGATGGCTGCTTTAACTGAATCTTCTGGACTTGGATACATTTCCTTTGATAAATTATTAAATTTTTAATTTCAATAATCTCCCTACTTGAAGCATTAAACAAAAATTGGAGTACCATCCAGGATTTGGGCATGCATTTGGGTTAGCCACACATAAAGCACATGCAAGCATTGTACCTTTCAATTTAAAAATAATTTTTGACAAAAACTTTTTTTCAAAATTATTCGAATTTTTCCTACCTACCAACAATGCAAAGCAAAACAATATAAAGACCAAAATTATAAGTTTCCAGATCAATTATAGACAAACAAACACAAGCCAATGAAATTAATAATAGTAAAAGAATTGAAAGGCACGCATAAAACATTTTTTCTTTAAAACTTGCTTCTAAAAAATAAAAAAAAAATTAATTATTTTAAGTGAATTATTAGAAAAATTTTTTTATCCTAAAAATATTTTTTTATTCAAAGCCCATTAGTCAATAATACCATAAAAAATTTTTTTAATGAGAGAAAGTATTAAAGTCAGCTTTGGCTCTATTAATGGTCCTTTTGCTTTTACATAAAAAAAGTATAGAATTTTTTTATCTTCAAAAAGAAAATGAGGAGCACACATCGCGCGCCATTAGTGCCACAGTTTTTTTTAACCATGTCAGACCAGTATCATCCTCAACTATAGTATATACATGTTTTTTCGTTAATGTGTGGCACACTACGTCAATTATTTATTTTTAGGATGGAAAAAACTTAGAAGAATGGTTGTAAAAGATTAAGAGGATAAGAACAAATGAGAGATTTTAATTCTGGGTGGGATTGTAAGATAAATCAGAAAAGTATATAATTTCTAACCTTAGAAATCTTGAAAAAGGTGTGCGGACTAAGGTTGGCGGTTCTTGGGAGATCTTCGGTATCGGGGGATTTTTGGATTAAGTTATCTAGGGTTTTAAGTTGGTTCGAAAACACTCTTTTCTTCAATAGGGCAATGTACTATCTGTGATCCAGTGGCCATAGGTCCCAAAATTATTAGGGCAATTGTTCGTACATAAAAATATCCCGATATGTCCGCATGCCGAAAAAATATTTGGAATTATACACATAATTGTGTAAATTATTTTTATTTATAAGTAATATACTAATCTGATTTTCCTTTCTAAAATATGCCAACTTGTGCGCATGCAGTTGACATATTTTTATGGAAAAAAGTTTTTATTTATTTTTCTATCCACCACACATTGTTATCTCTCTCAGATTGTTAATTAGAAGAAAAAAACAGGAAGAGGAGAAAGGAAGAGTGCCAAAAAATTCATTCCCCATTTTTTCTGTTTTTAACTTAACTAATCAAAATGGCTTTTTTTTCTTTCTTTTTTAAAGTCTCGCAATTTACAAATTAGAAAAAGCCCTAACCATTTTTCTCCCTTCTTTTTTATTTGCCGGCTGGAAGAAATTTTTTAAAGAGAGAAGTACACATTTTTTATCACTTACATACATCCTCTCAACTAATTGTGTAACTAAAAAATCCAACATAAAAGTTAGACTAATTGTAAAGTAAAAGTAAAGAATAAGGGAGAAAGATCTGAGATAAAAACTGGTCAGAAAAAATGAAAGTAAGGATAAAAATAACGTATGATGTTAACTCTGGGACTCAAACTAAGGGGAGGAGGCAGGATATCCATAAAGTAGTTAGAATTTTTGCTATAAAATTAAAATATGTAAATATTAAAACCAACCTATCTACACATATCCTCTTACGAGCCAACTTTTGACTCTTCTTTACATGTTTCTTCTTCTTTTATTATTCATCAACCAATCTTTGGAATATAAATCGTTGTTTGTTTCAAATTCTTCTTCATTTTCTTCTTTTGTATCTGGAGATGAAGTTGCCCTTTCTGTTCTCTTAAAATTCATAGATGTTGAAAATTGGTTAAAATAATTATTTTTGTTGTTCTTCTCTTCAAATTCTTCCTTTTCCCAATCCGGATCAGTTAATTCTCTAACACTTTTGGGACGTGGCCGAGGTTGTCTTCTTGTACTTTTTTGTGTTTTTAAAAGATTTTCAGTTGTTTTAAGACGTTTAGAAGAAACAGGAGAATTAATATTGGGTGGAGATAATGGGGAAGGTTTAAGATGTGAATCCCAAGGTTCTCTGTTGGTTATACAACCTTTAAAAATTCATTGAAATAAAATCTAAAAAATCTAAAACCTGAATGAACTAAAGACTCAATTCTCTCCGGAGAACGTTCAGCACTTGTAATAGGCTCAGTTATTAAAGGAGGCAGCAATTTACTGGAAGTTTCGGTACGTGGATTAGAATTCCATGGTTGTCGACCAGAAAGAATACAACCAGAATGGACCTTTTAATTTTTTTGATTAAAAATTTTTTATTTAAAAAATAAACCCTTTGTTCAATATCTTCTTCAATTTGTGGAAGATGTAAATGCTTTTGTACAAAATGTTGTTGATGATAATTTGAAGTTGAAGGCAAATCAGGATCAAAAATAGGCTCTTCCACAAATTGTTCATCACAAGAAGATTCAATTATTGGATGTTGTGCTCTCAATTTGAGTAGACGTTCTCTTCGTTGCCTTAAAAAATTAAAAGTCATTGCCTCCCCACTCAACACATGCCACTTGTTAAAGTGCTTTACAGGGCCTACATAAAACAGCCACAAATTGCCGCCAGGCATCGAACCTGAGGCCCCCATTAAGTCCCCACTAATTAAAAAAATGTATACTTAATTATTGGTTGAACATCCTTCTTCAATTCCGTTCTTTTCTTCTCATTTAATTCAATCTTTTGTTGCTTCTGTTTTGACAATATTCTTTTTTCTTCTTTTTGTTTATCCTCTCTTCTTATAGAAAATAAAGGATTAGGTGTTTTCCTTTCATGTCCATCAAAAACTCGATGTCCTTTAACTAAAACAAAAACTTCTTTTTCATCCTTTTTAGACTTATCTTCTTTTGTTGTTTTTTCAATTCTATCTAATCTTGGAATTTCTTTTTTTGTTTTAATTAAAGTTGAAGATGAAGGATGTTGCCTGGTGCATTTTCTGATGTCCAAAGGAGGAATTGATGGAAGTTTTTGTTGTTTTTCTAAATGTTGTTTTTTGAACTCCCCAATTTTCTTTGTAGACAATTTCCCTTCCTTTCGATTTCCTATTTTTGGTAAAATTTCAAAACCTTTTTTAATATCTCTTCCTAATTTTATCTTTTCTTCTTTTACTTCCTTTTCTTCTTTAACATCTCTTCCAGTTTTTTCTTCAGTTAATCCAGCTTTAACATCAACCAATGTTGTATCCTTCTTATCTTCCAAAACCTTGCCCTCCTCCCCCTTCTCTTCTTCCTCTTCTTTTACAATTCCTTCTTCCTCATCCTCCTTCTCTTCCTCATCTTCAAACCTTTCCTCATCTTTTTCTTCATTCAATTCTTCAATAAGAACTTCATGTTTTTCAATTATTGGTAGTTGCTTCTCTATTGTATCCATTTTAATTAAAATATCGTCTAAAGAATCTCTTCTTTCTTTAAAAATAAAAAATTTTTTTAAAATATATTTAAAAAATAAACCTGTAGCCAAAGCAATTTGATCATCAGCTCCCGAATATTGTTCACCTAAAACTCGAAATTGATCCCAAATTGTCGGAGTTCCAGGTCTAGAAGTTGCACTTGAAGAACGTGGCAATTCTTCCTCTTCAATTGTTTTTTCTTTTGGCAATAATGTAGGTAATTGAAGAGATGCATCAACAACTTCATTGCTTTTTTCTTCCTTTTCTTCTTCTGTTTTTGTTTCAACAATAGTTAATGTCCCTTCTGTAATTGTACTCGATTTTTGTAATTCTATTGTTGGTTTTTGCTCTTCCTCCTTCTGTTTTTCTTCTTCAACTTCTTCTTTCTTCTCTTCTGTTATTGTAGTTGTGGTTGTTGTTTTTGTTGTTGTTGTATCTTTCTTCTCAAAAGTTTTAGCTTTATCCAAAAATGTTGTAATTGAAGATTGTCTTCGTATTAAATCTGTTCCTACAAAATTTATTTTATTAAAAAAAATTTTAAATAAAAAACCTCCAATTTCTTCTTCTTCACATTCCTCCATAATTAAATAATCTTCAGAGTCATCAAAAGCTTTTGACGGTTTATGATGTTGTTGTTGCCAAGCTTGTGCTAAACTTGCAATTCTTCCAACTTCACCAATTGTTGGAATCTTTAAAAAAATTTTAATAAAAAAATTCATTCAAAATTTTAAAAAAATTTTAAAAATTCACTACAAAAAAATTTCCAAACCTTTAAAGTATTTTCTTGCTCTGCTACAGAAAAACCACCACATCTTGTTGACTCTTCAACCGATTCAGATATAACACTAATACCACTTTCTTGTGGAATAACCACTTTTGTTGGTACAGTAGAAGCTGCTAATGCTGTTGTTGCTGCAATTGTAGGTAATAAAGCTGATTGAGTTTGCTTTCCTCCCTTCGAAAAAAATTTTTTTGTAATTATTTTTAAATAAATTCTAACCATTTTAAGTTTTATATTTCGCCATCTTCGTCTAAATATTGTAAAGAAATTTGAACGTCTTTGCTTTGAAGAACAACACCACCAAAATAGTGGAAGAAGTAAACAACAAAGGCAGAATAAAAATAAAAGTAAGAACAACCACAACCAACTATTAAAAAAATTCTTATTAATACTGAGGGGAGGGGGGGGGGGGTGAAAGAATTTTCATTGTCAGCTTAATTTTCCTCTCTCATTTTAATAAGTTAACTGAACAGAAATTATGAAGAAAATAATAGGCGGCAAGGGAAAAAGGAAATATGAAAAAAGAAAATTTGACCATTACAAGGCAGAAATAATTAAATGGAGATTAATGGAGACTTAAGTATGGGGGAAGTATCAGAAATCCATAAAATTTGAAAAAAATTCAACCTTTTCTCTTTCTCATTTTCTTCGTCGGACTTGCTAGTTGTTAATAATTCATCTGATTTTGTAGTCTCAACATTAATAGCAATTGATTTAGTTGACAAAAGCTCCACATTTTCAATTTCTTTCGTAGTAGATTCTGTTGCTAATGTTGTTATACTAATAAACTGAAAATTTAAATTTTAAAAATTCTACAATTTTTTTAGAAAAATATTTATTTACATTATTTATTGCAGGCACTGTTGTTGTAGTTTCTCCTTCAAAACTTTTTGTTATTGCTGTAGAAGTCTCTGTTATTGCCGTTTGTTTTTCAGTCATTTTAGGCTCCGAAATTTCAATATTTTTTGATTTTTCTACTTGTAATTTTGATTCCTCTTCACTTTTCCCAGCAAATTTTCTATCATCCTCGACATTCAATTCTGTTGATTTTGATGAGGAAGTAAATATTTTTTCAAAAGGATAAGTTGGAGTTGTCACAAAAATATTTTCTCTAAGTTTTTGTTGTTGTGATGGTTCAACATTATTATTTGTGTTTTTTATAGGATTTAAAATTTTTCCACGTTGAGGCCACACAAGTTGATGAATATTGGTGAAACTATTGCTAGTATACCCGACAATTGCTTTTGTACTAGTTGAATGAGTTGTTAATCTTTCTAGATTATTAGAGGTAGCTGACAATGACAAAAATGGACGGTCAAAGCTTGTATTGAACAAACCCTTAAAAATAATTTTTTTCTTAAATAATATTTAAAAAATACCACATAACCCGGATCCTCATCAGAACCGTCCAAACAATCCTTTTTCCCATCCATAAGCCATCTGGTTAATATACATTGACCATACCCTCTGCAAGCAATTGAGTTATGTAAATGACAAAGACGACGGCGAGTTGATGCTGTAAAAAATTTTTTTAATGAAAATTATTTGCTTTTTACCATTTAAAAATTCACAAAAGGAAGGAATAGATCCAACACCTTCCATTTTATTTTTTGAAGTACAGTTTGAATTTGAACTCAAAAGAAGACAATCAACCAGATGAATGGAATCTGCACAAAATTGACTGCCACATTCAATTTGACCAGGAAGACAAACTAAAAATTAATGTTTACTTTTTGAAGATTTTAATTTTAAAAATTTCCTTACATTCATCACTTCCATCCATACAATCCTTCTGACCTTAAAACAATATTTATTTTCAAATTTTTATTTATACCGACCATCATGAAAGCGTGAAATAGAAACACATTTTCCATCTCCACAATCAAATTCTGATTTTAAACAGCAGCCAGAAAAGCGTTGCTCAGCGGCTTAAATTAAATTTTTTGATTAAAACCTTAAAATTAAAAATTGCCTTGAAGTGATCCCCAATAACCTGCCACCACAAAACGAGGAAAAAGAGTTATTATAACCAGTAATAAATAATAAAAATTAATTTTAAGGCAATATTGAATTTTAAGAGTTATTATTTTTTTCAAGAAAAAATTTTCTTTTTTAATGATAAAGGCCAACATATTTTTCTGCCAAGTAGCAGTTAACGTTCTATAAGGATATAATATATTTTCTTTTTCAAAAAATTTTTTAAGGAAAAAAAGGGAAAGAAGAAAAAAAAGTGGACAATATAATTTAGTTGTAGCTAATGGCTAAACTAAAAAATGGACAAAACATAAAAATTTTTTCAAAAAAGGAAAGGAAATGTGTGTTTTTGTTAGCTCTGTCCAGCAGTGTGTAGTAACTAACAAAAAGTACTCACCACCCCCAAAAAATCTTAATACATTTCCTTTTGCGGCAAAAAAGAGAAGAATTTTTATATATTCCTAGTTTAATAGTCTCAAAATTCTTAAAAAATCGAAAAAACAAAAAAATTCTTTAAATTTATATTTTTATAAAAATTTTTTTTAACTTACAAAATTCAAAAAATAACAAAAAAATTCAACAACTAATCTCAAAAAAATTCAAAAAAATTCTAGAATTTTGCCTGAATCAAAAACGGAGCATAAACGTAAGTGGAAGGTGGAAGTGCTTAAAATTAATTTAATTAAAAATATACTTATATTTTAATCACTTGAACAATGCTGAAGCCATTTATTTAACAAAGATTGCATACTGAAAAAATACTTTGTTTAAAAATAAAAAACTTTAAAAAAACCTTTCAGTGTCCATTTTAGCATAATTAAGTTTACGAATGTAAAGGTGCTAGAAAAAAATAAAAATTAAATTTGTAGTTGTCAAAAAAATTTTTTTAACAATATTTATTATCAAAAATGGAAAAAATCGAACTTTAATGGTCATAGGAAAAACGAGATTTCGAAAAAAATCTCAAGAAAAATTTTGTTCAAGATCAATAACCCAAAATTTTTGACTGACTCATCTCTGTCCGGGATTTAATCAAAACGAATTACCAATTGTAATTGAGTAACATTTAATCCTTTGAGCTCCTTCTCCGTATCTTCAGACATTTTTCTGTCCAATAATTGCAAAATTAAAACGCGCTCCATTAATGATTTAGTGCCAAGAGAGAATGGAGAAACTTTGTGAAGACGTTTTAGATGATACTTTAAAAATTTTAAATTTAACATGAAAAATATTAAAAAACATACTAATTGTGAAGAAGACAATTCTTCTAGTTTTGGAAGATTAACAGTTGTTGACGGCAATTGATATAATTTGACTGGTAATTGAGTTGATAACTAAAATAAATAAATAATGTTAATCTCGAAAATGAAATTAATGAAACTGGGTGAGATAGGCGGAAGTGTAATTTATGAGAAAATAGTGAAAATCCTGGCCAAAGATGCTCATGTCAGAACCCCAAGAAAAATAGAGAAAAGCACTTGAGTCAGCTAGGATCGAGTCGAAAAGCTAGCTGATTATCATTTCAGCTTACAATTAGCTCTATTTCCATGTTTTCAAGCGGTCCGTTAACACTACAACGCTGTCACCGCCTCTGGAAAACGACAACCCCGTCCATTTCCACATTTTTAAATAGGACGGGCCCACTATTTAACCAAAAAATTTATATTTAAATATTCTTACATTTTTATTTTTCTCCGATAATTGTTGCAAAATACATGGGAAATTAACATCTTGAATTTTTTTCAATTCGTTTAATTGAACTGAAGTAGTTTGTTGAGGTGTCCAAAAATGTCTTGTTAAAACAAGTTGAGGGCGAAAAATCCTTAAGTAAAAAACTTAAAAATAATTTTAAAGAATTCTCTAATGTGAGTGTAAATATTTTAAAAATTCACAAAAATTTAAAAATGTCAAAACCCCCAAATAAAGTCAAAACCCAATAATTTTTGCCCAACCTAATATAATAACAAAAATAAAATCACACATTGTTAAAATAACCAAGGGAAGACCAAGAGGGACTACAAAACTGACAAACAATAAGGAGACCATCTTTGCTATATTCTCTTTTGTCTAAAAAATAATTTTGAAAAAATTGAAAAATTATTTTAAAAATTCCTTGAGAATTGGAGGGCTTCCTTAGAGGGAGCGAAACTTAAAAACTTTTTCCAAATAACCCAAAGTGATTATAAAAATAAAACATTAAATTCCTCTTACCCTAATGCAATAATTATTTCTCCAACAATTGGGATTTGAAGTAAAAACACAAGAAGGCAAATATGGACCAATTCAGCAGGGAACTTTTAAACAATTTTTTAAACTTTTAAATTAAAAAAATAACCTGCAAATAAATTAAAAGCTCTGGGATTGAGAAATCGGAAAATTTGCGTTCTTTCAAAAGAATTTGCTTGCGAAGTTTAAAATAAATTTTTGTATCGGAAAGGCATGCTTTACTTCCTGAAATTGATAAAATTTACTGGTTAACTCATTTTCTCCCCCACTCAATTTTCTTTAAAAAGTACATAATGGTCAGGCATTTGTCCTTCCAAGGAAACCCTTTCTCATGTATAGAGTTACAAATCAGAAGAAGATTGACTGATTGAATAATGCTACAGGCAAACATGAAAGGAATCCATGGAAGGAAAAATGTATAACCAATTTGTACGTTTAAAGAAAAGTTGAGTGGGGGAGGGAAACGACACAAGCACTCAAAATTTAAATTTAATCAAATAATTGTTAAAAAACCTGATAAAGACATAACATAATAAGAATAAACTTTTGGATGTTTTGTAGCAAAATGCTGCTCAATTTTATTAAATAGAGATGAATTTAAATTGCTTGAAGAAGATGCTTGTCGTTTTAAAAGCAATATATTCGCATATTTTAATGTCTGATTATTCAAAATGAAGGAATAAGCAAATTTTTTATTCAAAATTGACAAAAACATTCCTGAAAAATCAAATCAATATTTAAAAATCAAACTTTAAAAATAAAAATTTTAAAAAACTTAAAATTTTTGCACGGCCTAATGGCATATTTTCCACTATTTACCAAAATGAAAAATTATTTAATTTTGGCATATTGAAATTTTTAGTTTACACTTTGAAATTTACATTTTTAAACTTTGCGCGTCTTGTCTCTTTGTTTGAAATGTGGCTTGGATTTCTCCAAAAATTTTAGAAAATTTTTAGATAAAGAATGCCGAAAAATGCTTTACGGTTTTTTGTTTGTTTATTTTTATTAAAATTATTTTTTAGACTTTACATTCCTCGTTAATATCAAAAAATGGAGCTGCTACAATTATGGAAAATAATCAAATTCATCACTTTCAAAGGCCATTTCTTCATGAATTTCTGAACAATTAATTGCTTAAACTCCAACTTCTACATTTATATATACCTTTAAATGAAGGTATTCAATCAGGTTTCTGCTTTTAATTTAAAACTAGGCTTAAGTTCAATAAGTTTTCCTTTGTTGCCCCCTCTTTTCCCTTTTTTAATAGTTAACCACAAATCTGATCATCAATTCTAAATTACATAGTTTTTTACTCTCCGGTTTTTCCTTAATTTTTCTTCAAACCATCTTACTGTTCATACTCTTTTAGTCTTTCCGATTCTTAACTTTTCAATTCTTTCTTTAAATTTTTCGTCAATCTCATACGTTTTTGTTGTTCAATTTAAAAATAAAGATAACTTTAAACAAAAAGTTATTTGTATTTTTTTCTTTAAATTTGTTTATATCACTTTTAACATTCCATAGATTCCAAAGTTTTTAAAAAATTTCTTTCATTTAAAACTTAAGTTCTATATTGTCAGTTTTATTTAAAATCTCTTTATTTAAACGCGCTCTTAGATCAAACAAAACCAATTAAGTAACATTCCTCTCCTTTTCTCTTTCCGGTAACCTTTAAAAAAGAAAATTTTCTTTGCGTTTTTTATTAGCTAGTTGAATTTTCTGTAAAATTAAATTAAAGAAGAAAAATGTCCAAAAAACCCCAATATATAAAACACGCAATGAAACTATACCAACATTTAAAATTTGTCAAATATTCCACTTTCAAGACTCATTCTCTCTCCCCATTTTTGTCAAATTCCCACGCTTTTTTGCACATTAAAACAAGACAAATTCCATTCATTTAATTGACAGAAAAATTGTTTTCCGTCCACAAAAGTATCTCTCAAAAATATATTTATTCCCTCTTAAAATTCCTTTCCACAAGGTTTTAGCCTTGTCCTCTTTATTTTTTAAGAGAGAAGAATTTACATAAATATAAGTAAAATCAACCAATTTTTTCACTTAACCTATTTTTCTTTTTATTTTCTCTTTTAAAAATTCACAAAAATTTTAATCAATTTACTTAATAATCATGTATTATTGAAGATTATAGCGCCCTTTTCCCACTGATTTTTTCATTTTAGATGTACAAGATGGTCAGTCTTTTTTCCTCAATTTCGCTCTATCTGAGAGACATCATTAAAGATCAGTAAATAGTGAAGTCTGACCATTTTGTACATCTAAAGGAAAAAACCTGGGGAGGAAAAGAAGGTCTATAAGCTTCAATATTACCAATAATCTTTTATCAGTTTCATGCAAAATACATTTTTATCGATACAATTTACTACTTTTTTTTAGCAAATTCCATTGCTTCCTTCTCCTTTATTTTTAACAATTCCCAACTATTTTATTTATTTTCCCCCAAATAACCGTCAACTCTATCAAGTAAAAAATCGATTTGTTCGCTCCAATCGGTAACGACTTTTTTCCCTTTCACATTTTTTAGTAGTACATTTTTAATGTTTATTATAATAGATTGAGCTTGAGAATTTATTAAGTAGAATTTATTTTACAAGATCTGTGGATATCCTCCTAAATATTTTTAAGACTCAATTAAATTTTTTGGGGAAACGATTAGAGAATTTTCGGTCAAAGTGTTGATCTCAAGTGATTTGATCTTTTAGAAATTTTGAAAGAATGTGTGGCGGAAGACTGGCGATTGACATCGATAGGCTTTTTGAGGAGTGTCTCTCCCCCTTCCCCTGTTTTTTATTCTTTGTCTCGAGGAAAGAAACTACTAAAAATTCCTCTTTCCCCCATTTTTATCATTAAAAGAGTTTTTGAGAGAGGAAAGAAAGGAATGCATTGTAGAAAGGGGGCAACGCGTTTTGGGGTTTTGGTGGTTGTGGGGGTGAAGTAGTTGTACAATAAGAATATTTTTTTCTTTTTCTTTACACTAAGGGGAGAAGGAGTCTTTCCCCCTTCAAATTTTGATGCCTTAAAAGTGATTCACCATAAAGTGTGTTGCCGATAGTTAGCGGCGTTCTCTCACACCCACTCCCTTATTTGTCTTTCTCCTTTGCTTTTACAAAACCAAAAACAATTTCCGTTTGATTTCGCAAACTAAAAAAATTTTAAATTTTAACTAATCAATTTTTAAAATTATTTCAAAATTTTATTTTTTCAGTTTTCCTGTCTAGAAATGTCTCAACCACAACAAAATAATAATATTAATAATCGGCAGCAACAATTAAATGCAATTCGTTCTTCACTTTTGCCATTCCAACAGCAACAACAAAAATTGCCACAAAAATTGGAGAATGGTTTAAATGAAGAAAAATTTGAAAATAAAGACGAAGATAACAGGTTACTGGATGTTAAAAAATTGGAAATGGTTAGGTCTATTGTGGATGCTGGATATGATCAGGTAAATTTTTATTATGTTATTTTGATACTCTTGGGTTATCCACCTCATTTTATCGTCTCCTCCTAATTTCCGTTTCTTTTCTCCAAAGAAGTCCACATGGGGCAGACGTTGGGTCCCAGCAACATTTTTGGAAAAAGGAAAAGACATAAAATAGTGGGGGATAACCCAAGAATATTAATATTTTTTATTAAATTTTTTAAATTTAAAAATTATAGGAAAGTGCTTTCTATGCACTAAAGTTGGTCAATTTTAGATCGGCTGCGGATGCTTTGCGTGTGTTGCATACAATTAAAACTGTAAGGTAAAAAATGTTTTTAAATACCCTATCTTATTTTTAGGATATAATTCAACAACATTCTAACAACCTTAACAATTCTTCTCATTTACCAATTGTCACAGTTACTACAACTCCAATTTGTAGTTTTGTTCCAACAACTTCCCCCTCGTCTTCAAGAAAACCCCAAAACAATGCTTTGCCGTTTACAAATCGACCAATTCACAGAACTCCAACACTTGCACATAGGCCTACTCCAATAACACAAACACTGTAAACTTTTATTTATTTTTTTAATTCTAACAATTTTGCTTTTTTAGTCGTCAAAGTCAATCTTTTGGGCCTTCCGATGCTCATATTGCAACTGCTGCTGCTGTGGCTGCTACAAAAATAAATCCTCCCCCTCCTTTTAATGCCCATCATCAGCCTTTGAATACTTCTGGAGGGGGTGGTACAGTTATTCGAATAGAAAGAAACCAAACACAACAACCATTATTAATAAAAAATGATAAAACATCAACAAATTTTCCCCCAAATTTTCCTTCCAAAAATATTGATGAATCAACAAAACCTTCTACCTCTTTATTATCATCTCAAAAGCATTCAATTGTGCCACAACAACCGCCACAATGTGTTCAAAGAATTTATATTGACCCAAAAGTTGCCAACAACAACATTTCAAATAATGCCATACAAACACAAGACAACAGAAGAAGACATACAGAGGAGGTTTAAAAATTTTTAAATTTTTTTATTTGATTTTTACAGTTAAACCGTAAATTTGTTGTTGTTTCTTCATCCTCTGCTGCTACTACAACTAATAATTCATCTTCCTCCTCTTCCACACAATTTCAATCTTTTCCATCTCAACAACAACAAATTAAGCGTTCTACGTCTCCATTGCCTGAATCTGTAGCTAAACGTTTAAAGTCTGGAACTTATGAAAGAGGATGCAAACCGTATGTTTTTAAAAAAAATATTTTTTTATAAATATTTAATTTTTTCAGTTGTCGGCCTTCCATGTTTCGGTTTGTTTTTCGAAATATTTTTTTGAAAACAAAAATATTTTTAATTTTTTTAAAGATTTTTTATGGAACAACATATTGAAAAATTAACTCAACAATTTCATGAAAGAAGAAAGCGTGCTCGCCAGTTAAGCCATGAAATGGAAGCTGCTGGTTTAGCTGATAATGTTAAAGATAATATGCTAAGACTTTTAAAGTTTGTTGTTTTAATAAATTTTAAAATTTATTTAAAAATTTTAGAAATAAAGAATCAAAATATTTGCGTTTACAACGACAGAAAATGAATAGAAGAATGTTTAGAGTAAACTTTAAAAAATTATTTTCTAAAATTAATTTTAACTTTTTTTAAGCTTATACGCCATATTGGAATTGGTGCCTTTGGTAAAGTCACTTTGGTGAGAAAAAAGGATACTGACCAAGTTTATGCGATGAAAACATTGATTAAAGCGGATGTTATTCAGGTTTAAGATTTTAAATGAAAATTTATTTTTACAACAAAATTTAATTCTAGAAACAACAAGCAGCTCATGTCAAAGCAGAAAGGGACATACTTGCTGAAGCTAACAGTCCGTGGATTGTAAAGTTGTTCTTTTCGTTCCAAGATGCACAAAATCTTTATTTTATTATGGAATATGTACCAGGTGGAGATATGGTAATCTAATTATTTTTAGAAATTTTAAATACTTCCTAAATATTTTAGATGCAACTACTTATAAATATGGGTATTTTTCCAGAGAGTTTGGCGAGGTCATTAATTATTTTAAATTTATTTTTTAATAAATTTTTTTTATTTTAGATTCTACATTGCTGAACTAACATTGGCTTTGGAGTATGTACATTCTTTAGGATTTATTCATAGGTTTCTTTTATGTTGATTCTTTTTTAATTTTATTTTTTTATAGAGACATAAAACCCGACAACATACTGATCGATAAGGGAGGACATATTAAACTTACCGATTTTGGTCTTTGTACAGGACTTCGATGGACACACGATAAAAGGCACTATGTTGTTTATGATAATCATGAAGATGGAGCTACACATTTACGTGAAGATTCCTTTTCATTGCCTCCTGGATTTGATCAACGTTGGAAAGTTTTGGAAATGAGACATCATCATAAAAGGTAATTTTTATTTAAAAATTATCAAAAAAAATAAAAATAGAAATCGCGCTCATTCTGTTGTTGGAACGGGAAACTATATGGCTCCAGAAGTAATTCAGCGGACTGGTAATATTTTTTAAAGCTTTAAAAGTGTAATTACATTTTATAGGACATACTCAACTCTGTGATTGGTGGAGTGTTGGAGTAATTCTATATGAAATGGTTTTTGGACGTAATTTTTTTATTTTTCAAATTTTGAACAAAAAATATTTTAAGGTCCTCCATTCATGAGTCGTGTTGATGACCCCGCAGAAACTCAATACATGATTGTACATTGGTATCGTTTTCTTGACTTGAAAAACCCGATGGGTGCACGTCTTTCACGTCAATGCATAGAATGTATTGCCCGTTTATGCTGTGATCAAGGCATTCGTTTAGGCCATAGACAAGGAGCTAAAGATATTAAAGAACATGTTTGGTTTAAGGTAAAATTAATTTTTTAAGTTTAAGAAAATTTTTTTCAATTTTTAAGGGTATAGACTTTTTTACTTTACGAAACATTACGCCTGAACATGTTCCACGTGTACGCCATCCTGAGGATACCTCCAATTTTGATACATTTGAAGTTTGTCGTACAGATGAGGAAGAAGATGATGAAGATAATGAAATAAATAGAATAAATGAAGACAAAAATATTAAACAAATGGCAGCCATAACTCCTTCGAATGTTTTGCGTGAAAACAAAGAAAATGGAAAGAAGCACTCTTCAAATATTCAACAACAACAACTTCCTCCAAATTTTATAGATTTTACTTTTCGACACTTTTTTTCTGATGGAATTGGTGGAAGCACTAGTGGTAAATTTTATTTATATTTAGTTTGAGTGTTAAGCAGGGATTTGGTCGGAGTTTTGACTTTTCCTTTGTGGTATAATGTCGTCTGTATTTCTGAGTTACGATTTCCGACATCTTTGTCATTTCCGACCGATCCCTGATGTTTAGAGAGGAAACCTACAAAAGATTTTAAATTTTAAGGCATTCCCCACTCAGCAATTAGACCAGGTGGTCATCACGGTCCCTTACGACCAAGTTTAGCCCCTTTAATGGAATCTGCTGAAAGACAAGCTGCTGCAATGAAAAAGGCTAACGAAACCAAAACAACCAATTCAAAGAATAAAATGGTACAATCACCTACAATTCCTATTTTGTCATCACCATCATCTTCAAATAATCAAACAACAATTTTGCAAATTGGAGGTTTGATTATTAAAAATTCAAAAAATTTTATTTTTTATTTCAGAATTTCCTAGAAAAGAAGATTCAAAATTAAAAGAGGAAGAAGAAAAATTGTTAATTGGGCAGCGTAAAAAATTCCAAGTAAATTTTAAAAAAGGTTTAAATTTTCAAAAATAATTTTTTAGGCACTGAGGCTAGCTGACAATAATGATAATTGGTCTACAAGTAATGAAGAGGAGGAAGAGGAAGAAAATGAATGGTCAACAGCGGCAAGTCGTTGCTAAAGGAACATATTTACGTATTTTTTTAAGTTTTAATATTGTAATTTTGTAAAAATAATAATAAATACTTATAAATGTATTTATATTATTACTAAATAAAAATATTATATAATTTATTTTAGACATCTGTTCATACAAATTAGGGGAAAAATTAAAATGTTTTTTGCTGGGAGAGAAGTGAAGAGGTCTCCTTTCCTCTTATAAATTCTCTCATTTCCCTCACATTTCCTCATTTCATGGACGCCCTTAAAGTCAAAAAATCTCGCGTGAATAATCGATTATTATTTTACGTTGATCGAACGGCTAAAGAAAAATAAAAGGGATAAAGCATTATTTTTAGCCGAGAAAATCTCTGAATGATTTAATAAATACGTGTTTATAGCTTCCCTTTTTTCCTCTTGTTTTTCTAGTTATTTTGATGTAAAATCACTGTGTGTGTGGTTAACACTTTTATTTAAATGCTCGAACACGTTTTTCCTTCTTTTTTACACTTTTTTCAAGTTCCCTTTTTCCCCGATTGAATTTCCTCCTGTGTTTTTATTGAAATACTTTTGTAAAACAAAACAAACATTCAAAATTAATTTAAAAGTTTGTTTTTAAGACTAAGTTTAAGTTTAGAAAAATTTGTTTGTTTTGAATAAAACCTGAAATGTTTTTGATAAGTATGCCTAATCTAATTATATTTTTATTCTTGTTTTTTCGTCAAAACAAGAAAAAGAGTATTATACTAAATATTATTAAAGGCCGTTTATAATAGTAAAGTGCGCGAGAGAAGAATTAAAGCAAAAAAAAAGAAAAAAAGAATTTTTGCATGAAACTATTGCATGAAAGTATTGCAACAATACAAAATGTCCTTTATTTTGAGGGGGTTTTAGTTGTTTTGTAAATTATTTTTATAAGTCTTAGAATCCCGGATGACTCATACCGGTCATTTTTAAATCGTTTCCCTTTCTCCTCCTAACATCTTTACTCTCAATTTTATGTCCCAAATTTTATTTTTTAATCATAGTGCATACATATAACCCACCCCCAACAATTCCCGTCTAAAATATTTTTCTTCTTTTTGTCTTACCGCAAGTAAAAATAAAAAATGTGTAACTGATTTGTCGCTTTGTTTTTGTACGTTTTTTTCAATGCAAGTTTTCGATTATTTTCAACCTTCCGTTTTCTCTTTTATTTTTTAAATTTTTTTCAATCTCCTCTTTTTTTAATTTGCCAAAGAAAGTAGTAAAAAAGAAAGAAAATAACACCCGAACAATTGTGCGCGTTAAGATTTCAAAATCGTTTAAAATTACGTGATCAATTTAGGGCGGAAATTGGTATTTTGTTTTGAAAATGGCTGATAAAATTTTTAAATTTAAATTGATAATAAAAAATATACCCAACCTGAGTCATAGTTTATTGTTAAAATTAAAATAAAAAAAGGCTGGCAGACAAATGGATTCGAACCTTGTGATTAATTGTCATATGTTTTAGTACGTTATACCACTTAACCACGTGTAACATAAATTGTTTTCGTTGTTTATTTTGTATGGTCTACAAACTTAAGTTTACAACATCTGGTTTTACAAACCTAAAAAAACTTTCCAAGCTTTAAATAAATTTTATTCAATCCAAACTCTAGGCATAAACTCAAAACATGCTCAATACTGGGTTTTCCCTTACTCTATTTTTTTCATGGAAAAATCTGGGAAGGAGGAAAGAAACTGAAAAACATATGTTTTTCTGAACTTTGAGTTTAAAAATAACTAAATTTATTTTTATAATTTCTTCATGAAAAGTTTGTTTTTTTAGTTTTATTTGAGATAAGCTTTGAGTTTTTAATTCAAAAATAAAAATATTAAGAACATGTGTAATTAAATGTGTTCGTTCACCTCCTAATGAGTTAAACTGCATAAAAGATGCCCTATATTTACCTTTTTAATCCCCTTTTTACAATTTTTTAATTCTCCATTTTCTATTTATATTTCCTCACTGAAAATAAAATCAATCCGCGCTTAACTAAAATAAATATAAATTTATGTTCTCAATTTCTACATATTCATTTCATTTTTGGAGGCTAAAAAATTATTTATTTTAGCTAAAATGCCATTTTATTTTTATTTAGTTTAATAATTTTTAAAAATTATTTTAGAATTTTAAATGGCGGATCCAAATAATTTACCGCCTAGGCCACCCCAAAGTGTAACGCCTAGAACAGGTTTGAGATTTAATTAATTTAAATATCGTATAAATTATAAAAGGTGTTCCACAATGGTCAATTACACGGAGAGAACGAACTGAAATGACTCCTCCAGGTACATTTATCCCTCAAAAAATTATTTCTCTTCTTGTTTCCCCCCTTAATAGGTCGTAGCAGTAGTCGGAGTGGAACAGAGGGAGGAGATTCCGACTCTGACAGTGGTGGAGGAATTTACAGAGCTAGAACTGTTACAAGTACAGAAAGAGTTCAAATAGTACAAATGCCAATGGAATTGAGCCAAGTTAGCTCAGAGCAGCTGGAAATGATATCCTTATCGCCAGAAACTGAAGCGAGCAGAGAAGTAAAAAGAATAAATTTTTAAAAATTAATTTTTATTCATAAGGTTTGTACAACTACAACAACTATCGAGGCTGGAGCTGTGCCTATTGTTGGAGGTTTAACTAGTTCTGGGGTGAATTTTTCACATTTTTGTTTTTTTCACATTCCGGAAAAGTTTTACAATTTTTAAAATATTTTATCAAATTCCGGAAAAGTTTTTACAATTTGTAAAATATTTTATTATATTCCGGAAAAGTTTTTACAATTTGTAAAACATTTTATTAAATTCCGGAAAAGTTTTTACAATTTGTAAAACATTTTATTAAATTCCGGAAAAGTTTTTACAATTTGTAAAATATTTTATTATATCCGGAAAAGTTTTTACAATTTGTAAAATACTTTATTATATTCCGGAAAAGTTTTTACAATTTGTAAAATATTTTGTTAAAGTTTTTACAATTTGTAAAATATTTTATTGAATTCCGAAAAGTTTTTACAATTTGTAAAATGTATTATTAAATTCCGGAAAAGTTTTTACAATTTGTAAAATGTATTATTAAATTCCGGAAAAGTTTTTACAATTTGTAAAATTACTCAAGGATATATAATTATTTTTTCTCAGGTCCCTATAGTCAGCGGCATTTATTTAAATAGAGAATCACGTCGAACTACAACAATAATCACAACAACCAAAACAACATATAAAATATTGGAAGATACAAGTGATGATGATTTGGAGTTTGTCCAAATGCCAGAATCTACAATATCAACATCCACAGCCACTACAATAAAAGAAAAAGACGATTTTCTAATAATTAATAAAACAGATAGTTCAATAACTTCAACAAGTGAAGATGATGATAATTATGATTTAAAATCTTCAACATCCTCACTTTTATTAAAACAAATTCCTTTAAAAACTAAAAAGGACGAAGATGATGAAGAAACTGTAATAACTACAACTAATACAACAATTGATAAGTTAAATGAAAATAAAAAGAAGGAAGAGGAAGAAATTATTGTTACTTCGTCTAATATTGTTGTGAGTTTATTTTTTGTACTAAAAAAGTTAGTACTTTTCCGTTAAATTCGTTGGCTTTACTTTTGCCAGTGGCCGGTTCCAAAGCCTTTCGATTGATATATCTTTCTTCTTATGATCGGAAATGTCAGCGGATCGAGTTTAAGGAGACTAGATCACCTTGATTCGATGATTGTGAACAAAATTATGATTAACTGAATCATAGTGTGAGAAAATTTGTGGGTAATAGAAAAGTACTAAAAAAACTTGCAAGAGCAACAAAAAATAAAAATTTTGCACAAAAATAATCCTTTTTCATTCCCACTTTTTAAAGGTAATCCCCTCGGAAATCCGCTCACCGCCATATTCTCCACATTCTTTTGCAAATACATCTACATTTTCCTCTCCAAATAGTGAAGGTATTATGCACACATTTGATGATGAAGAATTTTGTGCTCAATTGGCAAAAGCAGCTGAAGCTTCAATATCACCCTCTTTTAAGACGACAACAACAAAGCCCGTTAGGGAAATTAGTGAAGAACCTTTAGAACATTGGGTTATGTTGCCGGACAGTCAGCAACAATTAAAGGAATGTAGTACACAAACAACAACAGAAGAAATTGAAGAGAATAATCCTTCAACTAGTTGTTGGAATGAGGCAAAAAGTGTTGAAATTGATAATTATGTTAATGTTTATTCTAATGGATACTATTCAAAATTAATTGAAGAAGATGAGGGAATATTAAATGGGACTAAAAGAGGTGAATTAAAAAAGATTGCAAGATTCCCCTCCACTCCCTCCCCAGTGGAGGGAAGAACCCCCTAAAGAACACCTCCCCTCCACGTGTAAGGGCATAAAAAGCCTTTGTGGGTGATTTAATTAACCAAAAAATTAATTTTGATTCTCTTTTAGAATCACCTCTGGCTAATTTGTTTGAAACTACTCAACAATCACAATTAGAAGAATCTCAACTTGATAGACACGTTAATGTATATTCTTCAGGATATTCAGATGAAATTAAACCAAAAACTTCAAAAATGAGAGAATATCCAATTGAAGAACCATTTATTGGAAATATTTATGTATTGGAAAGGAATGAGTTGAAAGATTTACCTTTAGAAGTGGAAAAAAAACATGCTGGATTCTATGATGTTTTACCTTCAACTTCAATGGGTGAAACAGAAAAGAAGATTGGAACATTTGAGAAGCTAACGAACATGTTTAAAGGTTGGGTGCTATCATATAATCAGAAATTTAATCAGAATTTTTAAAGGCAGCAAAGTTGTCGACGATTTTCCAGTCGATTTCGAGCCGTTCACTGGTCCAATCTTTAACACTAACTTAATTTCTGAAGCACCAAACGAGTATATCCTTTCATCTGTTAATGTTTATTCAACAGGGCGTTCTGACGAGAAAACAACAGTGCTGACACCCTCAGAATTTCCAAAAAATGAAGTTCCATTTATTGGCACTTTTTCCGAAACAAATAAATCTGAGTTGGAAACCATTCCATTGGAAGTAGAAAGGAGGCATATTGGCTTTTACAAAAATTTGGAAGAAGAAGATAAGAAGCCTGGAGCATTGGAAAAACTAACTCAAATTTTCAAAGAAAGCAAGAAAATCGAGGAATATCCAGTTAAATCTGATCCATTTACTGGCCAAGTTGCCAGTACTAGTGTCATGATTGAAGCTAAAAACGAGCCAATCCATTCAATGGTTAGTATCTATTCTTCTGGACGTTCGGATGAAGCTCCGACAACGAAGACTACAGAATTTCCTGTTAATGAATCTCCATTCACTGGAAATGTTTCTGAATCAAATCGACAGTTAGAACTTACTCCAATACTTTTGGAGATTGAACAACTACATCTTGGGTATTATGATCACTTGCCTTCAACAATTATAGATGAAGAGAAGAAGCCTGGAGCGCTAGAAAAATTAACCCAGATTTTCAAAAGGCCCAAAACAGAGGGAGATTATCCTGTTGATTCCGAACCTTATACTGGACCTTTATCGTCATTAAATATAAATTCTGAAGCTAGAGAAGAACCAATCCATTCACTGGTTAGTGTCTACTCTTCTGGGAGATATGACGAAATTCCAACAACAACAAAAATGAATGAATTTCCTATAAATGAAGCTCCGTATATTGGCATTGTTCCGGAGCCTAGGATAGTACCGGAATTGGAAAGAATACCATTAAAGCTTGAAAAACAGTTTGACTTGCCTAGAGAGCTTCCAACAGAATTAACAGAGTATCCTAACTTTGAGGAAATATTTATTGGCCATATTCATGAATTACAAAGAAATGAAGTAGAAAATGTGCCATTGGAAGTTGAGAAGAAACACATTGGATTTTATGAAGGGACCCCTTCAACATCAAATGAAGAGAAAAAGCATGGAACTCTAGAAAAACTAACAAGAATTTTTAAAGGAAGCAAGAAAAGCGAAGAATTTCCTGTTGATTCTGAGCCATTTGCAGGCTTAATTGCCACTACTAGTTCCATGCCTGAAGCTCAAACAGAACCGATTCGTTCCTTAGTAAGTGTCTACTCTTCTGGACATTCTAATGAACAACCATTAACAAAACCAACAGAATATCCACAAATTGAAGAACAATTTACTGGACATATCACAGAGTCAATAAAAGAGGCTGAATTAGGTGTACAACCTTTGGAGCTCGAGAGGTTACATACCGGCTTTGATCAAAATCTGCCTACAATTCATTCTGAAATGGAACATATGCCTATTGGATTTGAAAAGAAGCACATAGGGTATTATGAACATCTGCCCTCAACATCAACAAAAACATCAGAATATCCCAGACATGAAGAACCATTTATTGGCCACATTCATGATTTACATCAAAATGAAATTGATAGTGTGCCAATAGAGGTTGAAAATAAACACGTTGGATATTACGAACATCTTCCTTCAACAACTAGCAAAGAAGAAAAAAAGCCGGGAACTTTAGAAAAATTAACTAGCCTCTTCAAAGGAAGTAAAACAGAAGGAGAATTCCCGGTCAATGCTGAACCTTATTCTGGCCCTATCACATTGACTAACACCGATACTGATCTGACAACTGAACCAATCCATTCTATGGTCAGTATATACTCTTCAGGACGTTCTGATGAGATTCACCAATCAAAATCAACAGAATTTCCAATTAATGAAACTCCATTTGTTGATTATGTCCCAGAGTCAAAACTTCATTCTGGAATGGAACATATACCTTTGGATTTGGAAAAGAAGTATATAGGGTATTATGAGGAGTTGCCTTCAACATCAACAAAAACCACAGAACATCCAGAACCTGAACAACCATTTATTGGCCACATTCATTCTTTACAATGGAATGAGGTAGAAGTTATGACATTGGAAGTAGAGAACAACTATATTGGATTCTATGATCATTTACCTTCAACAACTCTCAAAGAAGAAAAGAAGCCTGGAACACTTGAAAAACTGACTAAAATTTTTAAAGGAGGCAAACATCTTGAAGAGTATCCTGTCGATTTGAAGCCATATTCTGGCTGGATTGCCAGTACAAGTACAACGCCTGAATCCAAAATGGAACCACTCCATTCTTTGGTTAGTGTTTATTCTTCTGGACGTTCTGATGAAGCTCCTTTATCAACAAAAATACCTGAATATTCAAAAGAACAACAATACTTAGGGCATGTCCCAGATTCTTCTAGACAGAATGAATTACATGAAATCCCTCTCGAAGTTGAAAGGAGACATGTTGGTTATTATGAACATCTTCCTTCACATCCCAAAGAAGACTCAAAGCATCATGGGGCACTCGAAAGTTTAACACATTTTTTCAAAAGTGAACCAAAGCATGATACTTACCCCAAAGATATCGGTGAGTCTTTCAGTGAAATTCTTTCTTAATCTCCCTAATTTTAGATCCATTTTCTGGACATTTATATGAAACCTCACGACCTTTAGAATTAACTGAAGCACCAATAGATAATCAAGTTGCTGTTTACTCTTCTGGACGTTCTGATGAAATTCCAACAAAAATAATAAAAATATCAGAATTTCCAATTAATGAAGATCCGTTTATTGGGAATACTTTTGAAGCAAATAAACTTGAAGAAATTGAAGGAGTTCCTTTGGAAGTTGAAGGAAAACATGTTGGTTATTATGAACATCTGCCTCCTACAACAACAAAAACATCAGAATATCCAAAAATTCAACAACCATTTATTGGTCACATTCATTCTTTGCAACGAAGTGGGGTGGAAGATATGCCAATGGAAGTTGATAATAAGCATGCGGGATATTACGAGCATCTTCCGTCTTTAACTGTCAAAGAAGAAAAGAAGCCTGGAGCACTGGAAAAACTTACTCATATATTTAAAGGAAGTAAAACTACCGAAGAGTTCCCTGAGGCCACTGAACCGTATATGGGCTCCCTTACAAGCACCAATGTAGCTCCCGAGGTAAAACATCAACCAATACTTTCAATGGTCGGAGTTTATTCTTCTGGAATTTTTGAAGAAAATGAAGCAAGAAAAGAATCAGAATATCCAATAAACGAAGAACCATTTGCGGGGAATATTTATACATTACAAAAGGAAGAGCTTGATGAGAAACTTCTAGAAGTCGAGAAAAAGCATATTGGGTTTTACGAGGGGACCCCTTCAACATCAAGCGAAGAGAAAAAGCATGGAACACTTGAAAAACTAACAAGAATTTTTAAAGGAAGCAAAAAAAGCGAAGAATATCTTGTAGATTCTGAGCCATTTACCGGCATAATTGCCACTACTAGTTCCGTACCTGAAGCTCAGACAGAACCGATTCATTCTTTTGTTACTGTCTACTCTTCTGGCCGTTCTGAACAACCACCAGTAAAAACTACAGAATTTCTTGAAGAAATAGCTAGCAATTTACCTGAAACGAAGGTGCATTCTGAGATGGAACATATGCCTATTGAAGTTGAAAGGAGGCACATAGGATATTATGAGCAACTACCCTCAATCCCAACAAAAACATCAGAATATCCAGAAATAGAGCAACCATTTATTGGCCATATTCATTCCATACGAAGAAATGAAAGTGAAGATTTTCCGATGAATATTGAAAACAAGCATATTGGATTCTACGAACATCATCTTTCTAAAAATCAAGAAGAGAAGAAGACTGGGGCTCTGGAAAAATTAACTAGCCTCTTCATAGGAAGCAAAACAGAAGGAGACTTCCCTGTCGATTCTGAACCTTATTCTGGCCCTATCACATTAACTAACACCGATACTGATTTGACAACTGAACCAATCCATTCAATGGTTAGTATCTACTCTTCCGGACGATATGATGAGGGACAAACAACAAAACATTCAGAATTCCCTATTAATGAAGCTCCATTTGTTGATTATGTCCCAGAGTCAAAACTTCATTCTGGAATGGAACATATACCTCTGGATTTGGAAAAGAAGTATATAGGGTATTATGAGCAGCTGCCTTCAACATCATCGAAAACCTCACATCCAGAACCTGAACAACCATTTATTGGCCATATTCATTATTTACAACGAAATGAGATGGAAGATATGCCAATGGACATTGAAAACAAGCATATTGGGTTCTACGAGCATCTTCCGTCTTTTGCTGTCAAGGAAGAAAAGAAGCCTGGAGCTCTAGAAAAACTAACAAAACTTTTCAAAGGGGGCAAAACATTAGGAGAGTATCCTGTCGATTCAGAGCCATTTTCTGGCCAAATTGCTAGTACAAGTTTAATGACTGAATCAAGAATGGAGCCAATCAGTTCTCTTGTCAGTGTTTATTCTTCTGGACGTTCTGATGAAACTCCAACAACAAAAATTACAGAATTTCCCAAAATAGAAGCTCCATTTATTGGAAATATCCCAGAGACTAAACTTGGATTTGAATTGAATTCATTGCCAATTGAAATTGACAAGAAGCATATCGGGTTCTATGAAAAATCGCCTCCACCATTAAAAAAGGAAGAAACTAAATATCCCAAAATGGAAGTCATAGGTACTTAGTTAATGCTTGATACAAGTTAACATTCCTTTTATTTCAGAGGATTATTCGGAACCATTTACTGGAACATTTTCTGAAATTACCCGACACTTAGAATTGACTGAAGCACCAATAGATAACCAAGTTGCCGTTTATTCTTCTGGACGTTCTGATGAAATTCCAACAAAAATAATAAAAATATCAGAATTTCCAATTAATGAAGATCCATTTATTGGGAATATTTTTGAAGCAAATAAACTTGAAGAAATTGAAGGAGTTCCTTTGGAAGTTGAAGGAAAACATGTTGGTTATTATGAAAGTTTGCCTTCTACAACAAGTGAAGAAGAGAAGAAGCCTGGTGCATTAGAAAAGCTTTCTCATCTTTTCAAGAGTGGAGAGTCAAAAGATGCTTATCCCAAAATTACCGGTAATTAATAATTATTTTCCCCCAAAATCTCGATTTCTTTCAGCTCCATATTCTGGACATGTATTTGAATCTATTCATACTGAATTTACTGAATCGCCTTTAGAGCACCATGTTAGTGTTTATTCTTCTGGTGAAACTTTAGAACCACCAAAAATATTAAAAACAACAGAATATCCAATAAACGAAGAGCCATATTTCAGTTACGTTCCGGATTCAAGACGTAAAAATGAATTGAATGAAGTCCCCTTGGAACTGGAGAACAGACATGTTGGGTACTATGAACATCTACCTTCTACAACAACCGATGGAGAAGAAAAGAAGCCTGGAGGAACATTAGCAAAATTGACTCAATTATTTAAAGGAAGCAGAATTTCAGAAGATTTCCCTATTGATAAAGAAGCTTATACAGGGCATGTTTCAGTGACTGGCACAACAAATGAAGCAACAAACGTGCCAATTCATTCTTTGGTTAATATTTACTCTTCTGGAATTTCTGACGAACATTTAACAACAAAAATGGCAGAATTCCCTAAACTTGAGGAACCATTTATTGGCTATATTTCTGAAACTAAACGACTGTCTGATCTAGATCCAGCTAATTTTGACGTGGAAATGAAGAATATTGGCTACTATGAACATTTGCCTACTTCATTAATTGAAGAGAAACATGGAAAATTAGATAAACTTACTCAATTCTTCAAACGAACCAAAAACGTTGGGGACTTTCCTTTGGATTCAGAGCCATATTCTGGCCAAATTGCTAGTACAAGCACAATGCCTGAATCTAAAATGGAGCCAATCCATTCTCTCGTCAATGTTTGTTCTTCTGGGCGTTCTGATGAAATCTCTTCAGAAATTCCACCAAAGATTATAAAGCAAACAGAAATCGAAACTCAATTCGCTACTAAAGTCCAAGCTGAATTAGAAGGCATACCTTTAGACATTGAAAAAAAGCATGTTGGCTATTATGATCAACTTTCCCTAGCATCGAGTATGGATGAGAAAAAAAAGCCTGGAAGATTAGAAAAATTGACAAAACTCTTTAAAAGAAGTAAAAACGAGGGAGAGTTTCCTTTCGATTCCGAACCTTTTGTTGGAGAAATTAAAGGCACACAAAAAATGTCCGAATTGGCAACAGAGCCAATCCATTCAATGGTTAGTATCTACTCTTCCGGAAGGTCTGATGAAGTTCGAACAACAAAAATAACTGAATTTCCCATTAATGAAGCTCCATTTGTTGGAAATGTTCATAAAGTAATTCGACATTCAGAGATTGAAACTTCACCACTTGAAGTTGAAGCGCAGCATGTAGGGTATTATGAACAGCTACCCTCAACATCAACAAAAGCCTCAGAATATCCAAAACTTGAAGAATCATTTATTGGTCATGTTCATGAGAATAGACTCCAGTCTGAATTGAACGAATTACCTCTTGATGTCGAGAAGAAGCATTTAGGCTATTATGAATCACTAACAGAAACATCAAAATATCCCAAACTTGAACAACCATTTATTGGCCACATTCATGATTTACAACAAAATGAAATTGAAAATGTGCCAATCGAGGTTGAAAATAAGCACGTTGGGTATTACGAACATCATCCCTCTTCAACGATTAGCAAAGAAGAGAAAAAGCCTGGAGCAATAGAAAAACTGACTAAACTCTTCAAAGGAAGTAAAACGGAAGAATTCCCTGCTGATTCAGAGCCATTTGATGGATATATTGCAAATACTAATGTAGCAACTGAAGCTCAATTCGAGCCAATTCATCCCTTTGTTAGCATCTACTCTTCTGGACGGTCTGATGATGTTCCAACAAAAATGCCAGAATATCCAAAAATTGAAGTTCCGTTTATTGGACATGTTCACGAGTCGTTTAGACAGAGTGATTTAAATTCAACTCCTATTGAAGTTGAAAAAAGACATGTTGGTTATTATGAACAACTACCTTCAAAGGTAGTTGAAACTCCATCATCAAAAATGACAGATTTTCCCAATATTGAGGCACAATTTATTGGAAATGTCCCGGAGACATCGAAACGTTATGACATTCATCCTGTGCCATTTGAAGTTGAAAATAATTACATAGGTTACTACGAACATCTTCCTCTCAAAATTCAAGAAGAGAAAAAGCCTGGAGCTTTAGAAAAACTTACTAACCTCTTCAAAGGAAGTAAAAAGGAAGGAGAATTTCCTACCGATTCCGAGCCTTATTTTGGACCGCTTAAAGAGACTAAAGTCGTTTCAGAGGCAACAGGAGAACCGATTCATTCATTAATTAGTGTTTACTCTTCTGGAAGGTCTGATAAAATTCCAACAGCGAGAATACCGACAGAATCGGTAGAAGGTAGCTAAACATTTCTCAATATTCTTTAAATTTTATTCCTTTTAAGAGTCATCTGCGCAATATTTATTCGAGACTGAAAGAAATTCTGAGTTGCCTGAACAGCAATTAAATAATATCGTTAATGTTTATTCTTCCGGACAATCTGATGATGTTCCAACAACAAAATTAACAGAATTCCCTATTAATGAAGCTCCATTTGTTGGAAATGTTCATGAAATAAAACGACAAGAATGTGAAACTTTACCTCTTGAAGTTGAAATGAAGAATGTTGGCTATTACGAGCATTTGCCATCAGTAACCACTAGAGAGGAAGAGGTGAAGAAGCCTGGGTTGCTGGATAAAATATCACACCTTTTCAAAGAGGATGTGACGAGTAGTTATTATCCTCAAATTACTGGTATGAGTTTAGAATTACATTTTAAACCAAAATTTCCCTTTTTTAGCTCCATTCTCTGGACATATATTCGAAACCAACCGTCCTACTGAACTGTATGAATCCGGAATAGATAAACATGTTAATGTTTACTCTTCCGGACGTTCTGACGAGATTCCAAAAGCTGTAGAATATCCAACAGAAACCTCTTATGTCGGACACGTTTCAGAGTCTAAACGTTTACCCGAAATTGATTCAGTTCCTTTGGAGGTTGAAAGAAGACACATTGGTTACTATGAATGTTTGCCTACAACAGCTGAACATTCAGAAAAGAAGCTTGGAACGCTAGAAAAACTGACTCAATTCTTAAAAGGAAGTAAAACTACAGAAGAGTATCTTGTCGATTCGGAACCATACACCGGGACGGTGCAAAGAATTGAGGCAACTTCAGAAGTTCCAAACGAGCCTATAAACGCCTTTGTTAGTATCTACTCTTCTGGACGTTCTGATGAGATTCATCAATCAAAATCAACAGAATTTCCAATTAATGAAGCTCCGTTTGTTGATTATGTCCCAGAGTCAAAACTTCAGTCTGGAATTGAACATATACCTCTGGATTTGGAAAGGAAGTATATAGGGTATTATGAACAATTACCTTCAACATCATCGAAAACATTTGAACACCCAGAAATTGAACAACCATTTATTGGCCACATTCATTCTTGCAAACTTAATGAAGTTGAAACTGTGCCAATGGAAGTAGAAAATAAACATATTGGATATTATGAACATTTGATTCCAACCAACGATGAAGAGAAGAAGCCTGGAGCTCTTGTAAAACTTTCAAAACTTTTTAAAGGAAGTAAAACTGATGGGGATTATCCATCGGATTCCGAGCCTTACAGTGGCCAAATATCGGAAACTGATATCCTTCCTGAATTACCAGAACAATCTTTGCATTCATTTGCCAACATTTATTCCTCTGGACGTTCTGATGAAATTCCATCAAAACAATTCCCAGAACATCCCAAATCTGGAGAGATATTCATTGGAAATATTTTTGAGACAAAACAAATTTCCGAACTTCAAACCGAGCCATTGGATATACAAAATAAACATGTTGGTTACTATGAAAAATTGCCCATTACCTCAAAAAAGGATGAGGAGGAGGAAAAGAAACCTGGGGCATTTGAGAAGCTATCTCTTTTTTTTAAAGGTGAAGAGACTCGAGATTTTTATCCACAGATTACTGGTTAATATTTAGATATTCAATTATTGGGGAAATATTTTAAATTTTAGAGCCGTATTCAGGACAGATTGCAAGTACTTCCATCATGAAAGAAGTGCCAGTGGAACCAATTTATCCCTTTGTTAGTATCTACTCTTCTGGACGGTCTGATGATGTTCCAATAAAAATGCCAGAATATCCAAAAATTGAAGTTCCGTTTATTGGATATGTTCACGAGTCATTTAGACAGAGTGATTTCCACTCAATTCCTCTTGAAGTTGAAAGAAGACACGTCGGTTATTATGAACAATTACTCACTTCAAAATCCGATTATTCTGATCTATCTGGTGAAACTCCAGCAACAAAAATTACAGATTTTCCTAAAATTGAACCACAGTTTGTTGAACATGTCCCAGAGACATTGAAACATTGCGACATCCATCCTGTTCCATTCGAAGTTGAAAATAAATATATTGGATATTACGAACATCTTCCATCTTCAACAACCGTCAAAGAAGAGAAGAAGCCTGGAGCTTTAGAAAAGCTATCAAAATTCTTCAAAGGAAGTAAGACAGTAGGAGACTTCCCTGTTGATTCAGAGCCTTATTCTGGCCCCATCGCTTTGACTAACACCGTTCACGATTCAACAACGGAACCAATCTATTCGATGGTCAGTATCTACACTTTAGGACGTTCCGATGAAGAACAAGCAAAAAAACATTCGGAATTTCCAGTTAATGAAGCTCCCTTTGTTGATTTTGTCCCAGAGTCAAAACTTCAGTCTGAGATGGAACATATGCCTCTGGATTTGGAAAAGAAGCATGTTGGCTATTATGAACATTTGCCTATAACAACAGAATATCCAAAAATTGAACAACCATTTATTGGTCACATTCATGAGAAGAATCTTCAGCCTGAATTGGGTGCATTGCCTCTTGATGTAGAGAAGAAGCATGAAGGCTATTATGAACATTTGCCTTCAGTAATAACGGAAGAAGTAAAGAAGCCTGGGTTGCTGGATAAAATAACGCATCTTCTCAAGGAGGATGTGACGAACAGTGATTATCCTCAAGTTACTGGTATGAATTTAGAATGATTAGACTTTTCAAATCCTCTTTTTTAGCTCCATTCTCTGGACATGTATACGAAATCAACCATCCTACTGAACTTTATGCATCTCAGATAGAGCAACATGTTAATGTTTATTCTTCAGGTCGTTCTGATGAGATTCCAAAAACTACAGAATATCCAATAGAAACATCTTATTCTGGACATGTCTCAGAGTCAAAACGTTTACCCGAAATTGATTCAGTTCCTTTGGAGATTGAAAACAAACACATTGGTTACTATGAAAGGTTGCCTACACCAGCTGAACACTCAGAAAAGAAGCTTGGAACACTGGAAAAACTGACTCAATTCTTAAAAGGAAGTAAAACTACAGAAGAGTTTCCTGTTGATTCGGAGCCATACACCGGAACGACCCAAAGAATTGAGGCAACATCAGAAGCTTCAAATGAGCCTATACATGCCTTTGTTAGCATCTATTCTTCTGGACGTTCTGATGAGATTCATCAATCAAAATCAACAGAATTTCCAATTAATGAAGCTCAATTTATTGGAAATGTTCATCAAGTAAAACGACATGCGGAGATTGAAACTTCACCACTTGATTTTGAAGTAAAGCATGTTGGTTATTATGAACAGCTTCCCTCAACATCAACAAAATCATCAGAATATCCAAAAATTGAAGAACAATTTATTGGCCACATTCATTCCACGCGAAGAAATGAAATCGAGAATTTACCATTGGAAGTTGAAAATAATTACATTGGGTATTACGAACATCTTCCTCTCACAAATCAAGAAGAGAAGAAGCCGGGAGCTTTAGAAAAGCTAACAAAATTATTCAAAGGAAGTAAAACAATGGGAGACTTCCCTATTGATTCTGAGCCTTATTCTGGCCCTATCACACTAACCAACACCATTACTGATTTGACAACAGAACCAATTCATTCCTTGGTTAGTATCTACTCTTCCGGACGTTCTGATGATGAGCAACAAACGGTAAAAATAACAGAATTTCCCATTAATGAAGCTCCATACGTTGATTATGTTCCGGAATCAAAACTTCATCTTGGAATCGAGCATATACCCTTGGATTTGGAAAAGAAGCATGTGGGCTACTATGAACAATTACCTTCAACATCATCAAAAACATTTGAATATCCAAAACATGGTGAATCGTTTATTGGCCATATTCATTCTTGCCAACTAAATGAAGTTGAAACCGTGCCAATGGAAGTAGAAAATAAACATATTCGACATTACGAACATTTGGTTCCAACCAATGATGAAGAGAAGAAGCCTGGAGCTCTTGTAAAACTTTCGAAACTTTTTAAAGGAAGTAAAACTGATGGGGATTATCCATCGGATTCTGAGCCTTACATTGGCCAAATATCGACAACTAATATCCTTCCTGAATTACCAGAACAATCATTACATTCTGTTGCCAACGTCTATTCGTCTGGACGTTCAGATGAAATTCCATCAAAACAATTTCCAGAACATCCAAAATTTGAAGAAATATTTATTGGAAATATTTTTAAGACAAAGCACCATTCTGAGCTTCAAACCGAGCCATTGGATATACAAAATAAACATGTTGGTTACTATGAAAAATTGCCCATTACCGAGGAGGAGAAGAAACCTGGTGCATTGGAGAAGCTATCTCTTCTTTTTAAAGGTGAAGAGACTCGCGATAATTATCCTCAGATTACGGGTAAATATTTAGATATTCAATTATTGGAGAAATATTTTAAATTTTAGAGCCGCACTTAGGACAGATTGCAAGTACTTCCATCATGAAAGAAGCATCATTCGAGCCAATTCATCCCTTTGTTAGTATCTACTCTTCTGGACGGTCGGATGATGTTCCAACAAAAATGCCAGATAATTCAAAAATTGAAGTTCCGTTTATTGGACATGTTCACGAGTCATTTAAACAGAGTGATTTACATTCAATTCCTCTAGAAGTTGAAAGAAGACACGTCGGTTATTATGAACAATTACTCATTTCAAAATACGATTATTCTGATCTATCTGGTGAAACTCCAGCAACAAAAATTACAGATTTTCCTAAAATTGAACCACAGTTTGTTGGACATGTTCCAGAGACAATGAAACATTACGACTTCCATCCTGTTCCATTCGAAGTTGAAAATAAATATATTGGATATTACGAACATCTTCCATCTTCAACAACCGTCAAAGAAGAGAAGAAGCCTGGAGCTTTAGAAAAGCTATCAAAATTCTTCAAAGGAAGTAAGACAGTAGGAGACTTCCCTGTTGATTCAGAGCCTTATTCTGGCCCCATCGCTTTGACTAACACCGTTCACGATTTAACAACGGAACCAATCCATTCGATGGTCAGTATCTACTCTTCAGGACGTTCTGATGAAGAACAAGCAAAAAAACATTCGGAATTTCCAGTTAATGAAGCTCCCTTTGTTGATTTTGTCCCAGAGTCAAAACTTCAGTCTGAGATGGTACATATGCCTCTGGATTTGGAAAAGAAGCATGTTGGCTATTATGAACATTTGCCTATAACAACAGAATATCCAAAAATGGAACAACCATTTATTGGTCACATTCATGAGAAGAAGCTTCAGCCTGAATTGGGTGCATTGCCTCTTGATATAGAGAAGAAGCATGAAGGCTATTATGAACATTTACCCGTAGCAACGAAAGAGGAGGAGATGAAGAAGCCTGGATTGTTCGATAAAATAACCCACCTTTTCAAAGAGGAAGTGACGAATAGCGATTATCCTCAAGTCACTGGTATGAATTTAGAATCCTTAGACTTTTCAAATCCTCCTTTTTAGCCCCATTCTCTGGACATGTATTCAAAATTAATCGTCCTACTGAATTGCGGAAATTGCAGATAGAACAACATGTTAATGTTTACTCTTCCGGACGTTCGGATGAACATTCAACAACGAAACTAATGGAATATCCAATGGATAAAGCCCCTTTCAATGGCACTATATTTGATACAAACAAGCATTCCGAGTTGAATATTTTACCTCTGGAAGTTGAAAAGAGGCACATTGGTTATTATGAACATTTACCTCCATTAAAATCTGAAGAGGAGAAGGAACAAAAGCCTGGGGCATTAGAGAAGATTACTCAGTTATTCAGAGGCAGCAAAGCTACTGATGAGTTTCCTTTCGACTCGGAGCCGTATACTGGGAAATTGACCAGTACTGGCATAGTTCATGAGTTAGCAACAGAACCAATCCATTCAATTGTCAGTATATACTCTTCAGGAGATTCTGATGAGGTTCCAACAATAAAAATGCCAGAATTTCCTATTAATGAAGCTCCATTTGTTGGGTATGTCCCAGAATCAAGACTTCATTCTGGAATGGAACATATACCTCTGGATTTGGAAGGGAAGCATGTTGGGTATTACGAACATTTGCCTCCAACATCAACAAAAACAACTGAATATCCAAAAATTGAACAACCATTTATTGGCCACATTCATTCTTGCCAACTAAATGAAGTTGAAAGTGTGCCAATGGAAGTTGAAAATAATTATATTGGTTATTACGAAAATCTTCCATCTTCAACAAGTGTCAAAGAAAAGAAGCCTGGAGCTTTAGAAAAGCTAACTAAACTCTTCAAAGGAAGTAAAACGGAAGGAGAGTTCCCTGTTCATTCTGAGCCCTATCTTGGCCCTATCACATTGACCAATGCCATTACTGATATAACAACAGAACCAATTCATTCTTTTGTCAGCATTTATTCTTCTGGACGTTCTGATGAAGTTCCAACAACTAAATTAACAGAATTTCCCGTTGATGAATCTCCTTTCATCGGCAATGTTTCTGAATCGAATAGACGCTTGGAACTTATTCCAATACCTTTGGAGATTGAACAACTACAAGTTGGATATTACGATCATTTGCCTTCAACAATTACAGATGAAGAAAAAAAGCCTGGAGCATTAGAAAAATTAACACATCTCTTCAAGAGATCCAAAACACATGTAGATTACCCAGTTGATACTGAGCCTTATACTGGACATTTAGCGTCATTAAATATAATTTCTGAAGTAAGAGAAGAACCAATTCATTCTTTTGTTAGCGTTTACTCTTCCGGACGATCTGATGAGGAACAAACAAAAAAGCATTCAGAATTTCCCATTAATGAAGCTCCATTTGTTGATTATGTCCCAGAATCAAAACTTCATTCTGGAATTGAACATAAACCACTGGATTTCGAAAAGAAGCATGTTGGTTATTACGAACAGCTGCCCTCACCATCAGCAAAACCATCTGAATGTCCAAAAATTGAAGAATCATTTATTGGTCATGTTCATGAGGATAAATTTCAGTCTGAATTTGATACACTACCTCTCGTTGTGGAGAAAAAGCACATCGGCTATTATGAACATTTGCCTACGACAAAAACATCAGAATATCTAAAACATGAAGAATCGTTTATTGGCCACATATATTCTTTACAACAAAATGAAGTTGAAAGTGTGCCATTAGAAGTTGAACATAAACATATGGGATATTACGAACAATTACCTTCAACTAAGGATGAAGAGAAGAAGCCTGGAGCTTTAGAAAAATTAACTAGCCTATTCAAAGGAAGTAAAACAGAAGGAGAATTCCCTTTTGATTCTGAGCCCTATCTTGGCCCTATCACATTAACCAATGCCATTACTGATATAACAATAGAACCAATTCATTCCTTAGTTAGTGTCTACTCTTCTGGAAGGTCTGATGAAATTCCACCAACAGAATATCCCAAAATGGAAGCTCCATTTATTGGCCTTATCCACAATTCCATCCCTCAATTAGAATTAAATCAAACACCTTTAGACATTGAAACAAAGCACATTGGCTTCTACGAACAACTACAGCAATCTTCACATGATGAAGAGAAGAAGCCTGGAATCCTGGAAAAAATGACAAAGCTCTTGAAAGGAAGCAAAAATGAAGGAGAATTTCCGTTTGATTCTGAACCTTATTCTGGCCCTATTTCAAATACCAACACAATTTCTGAACTCTCAGAAGAGCCAATTCATTCTTTAGTTAATATTTACTCTTCCGGGCATTATAATGAACAGCAGAAATTGGATAAGATTTCTGAAGCAAAAATAAAAGATGAATTAACTAATACACCTTTGGAGGTTGAAACTAAACATGTTGGTTACTACGAAAGTTTAGAGCAATCTCCAAAAATAATTAAAGAAGAAATAAAAATTGAAGGTATTTTTAGTTTGAAATTAAAATATTTAATAATATTCAGAGCCTTTATTCCAAACTGCTCAAACTTCAGAAATGGAAGCATTAATGCTGGACAATTATGTGAATGTTTATTCTCCTGGATATTCTGGCGAAACTCAGCCAACAAGAATTCCTACGGGATATCCTCAAATTGAAGCCCCTTTCAAAGGAAACGTTTCCGAATCAAAGCGTCAATTAGAAATGGATTTGGTACCTTTGGAAATAGAGAAGAAGCATTTGGGTTACTACGACCATTCGCCTAAAACTGAGGAAACAAAGCTCGGATCATTAGATAAATTGACACAAATCTTCAAAAGCGGTAAACCCATCGAAGAATTTCCTTCAATTTCTGAGAGATATATTGGGCCTGTTAACAATACAAACATAACTGAAGCTAAGTATGAACCAATCCATTCTTTTGTTAATGTTTATTCCTCTGGATATTCTGATAAACAACCAACAATAACAACAAAATTATTAGATTATCCAGTAAATGAAGCACCTTATCTTGGCCACGTTTCTGAAACTAGACAACAAACAGAACTTAATTCTTTACCATTAGAAGTTGGCAACAAGTATATAGGTTACTACGAACATTTGCCTTTAACAACAACAAAAATTGAGGAGGAAAAGAAGCCTGGTACATTGGAAAAGCTGAAACATATTTTCATAGGTGGGATTAAAAATCAGATTTTTAATCGAAATTCCTTATATTAAGACAGCGAAGCCGTTGAACAATTTCCTTTCGATCCTGAACCTTTCGGTGGCCCAATTGCAAACACCAAAATCTCTTCTGAGGTCAAAATGGAGCCTATCAACTCATTTGTCAATGTTTACTCTTCCGGTCGTTCTGATGAAATCACAGCCTCAACAACAATTCCAGAATATCCGAAAATTGCATCATCTCTATTCCTTGGAACTGTTTATGAAGCAAAACGTCAAGATGAATTGACTGATACTCCATTGGAAGTTGAAAACAAGCATCATGGATATTACGAACATCTTCCATCCTCAACAACTAGCAAAGAAGAAAGGAAGCCTGGAGCAATAGAAAAACTGACTAAACTCTTCAAAGGAAGTAAAACAGAAGGGGAATTTCCTGTTGATTCAGAACCTTTTGATGGATATATTGCAAATACTAATGTATTGCCTGAAGCTCAATCCGAACCAATCCATTCTCTAGTCAGAGTTTATTCTTCTGGGCGTTCAGACGAAACTCCAACAACAAAAACATTAGAATACCCAAAAACTGAAGTTCTATTTGTTGAACATATTCCAGAGACAAAACATTCCGATCTCCATCATGTTCCATATGAAATAGAAAAGAAGCACATTGGTTATTATGAGCAACTACCCTCAACATCAACAAAAACATCAGAATATCCGAAACTTGAACAACCATTTATTGGCCATATTCATTCCATGCGAAGAAATGAGGTTGAAGATTTACCAATGGAAGTTGAAAATAAACATATTGGCTTCCTTAAAGGGAGTAAGACGGAAAGTGAATTTCCTGCTGATTCAGAGCCTTATTCTGGCCCTATCACACTAACCAACAACATTACTGATATGACAACAGAACCAATCCATTCAATTGTCAGTATCTACTCCTCGGGACGTTCTGATGAACAACCAACAACGAGAATACCGGTGGAATATCCAAAAATCGAGGCTCCATTTACTGGTTATGTCCACGAGTCATTTATACAGAGCGATTTCCATTCAATACCTCTTGAAGTTGAACGAAGACATGTTGGCTACTATGAACAACTACCCACTTCAAAAGTAGCTGAAACTCCAACAACAAAAATCACAGATTTTCCAAAAGTTGAAGCACAATTTATTGGGCATGTTCCAGAGACAATGAAACATTACGACATGCACCCTGTGCCATTTGAAGTTGAAAATAAATATATTGGATATTACGAACATCTTCCTCTCACAAAACAAGAAGAGAAGAAGCCTGGAGCTTTGGAAAAACTAACAAAGCTGTTCAGAGGAAGTAAATCTGAAGGAGAATTTCCTGTTGATTCGGAGCCTTATTCGGGCCCAGTCATATTGACCAATACTGCTATTGACTTGACAACAGAATCCATCCGTTCTCAAGTTACCGTTTACTCTTCCGGACGTTCTGATGAAGTTTCAACAAAAAAACATTCAGAATTTCCAATTAATGAAGCTTCATTTGTTGATTATGTCACAGAATCAAAACTTTATTCTGGAATTGAACATATACCTTTAGATTTTGAAAAGAAGCATGTAGGGTATTACGAACAGCTGCCCTCAACAACAACAAAAGAAACATTTATTGGTAATATTCATGAGAATAAACTCCAGCCGGAACTGGAAGTATTACCTCTCATTGTGGAGAAGAAGCATATAGGCCACTATGAACAGTTGCATACATCTTCAAAAACATCAGAGTATCCACAAATTGAAGAGCCGTTTATTGGCCACATTCATTCTTTACAACAAAATGAAGTTAAAAGCGTGCCATTGGAAGTTGAACATAAACATATCGGATATTACGAACATTTACCTTCTAAAGTTGAGGAAGAGAAAAAGCCTGGCACTTTAGAAAAGCTAGCAAAACTCATTAAAGGAGGGAAAACACAAGAAGGGTTTCCTGTTGATTCTGAGCCTTATTATGGCTCCGTTTCAGAGTTCAACAAATTTTCTGAGATTATAACTGAACCAATTCATTCTTCAGTCAACTTATACTCTCCCGGGCATTATGAGCTTTTGCCAATTAAAATAATCCAAACTTCTCCAGATAATCAAGAAATGAAAAGTGTGCCTCTCGACGATAATTTTGTTAAAATTAAAGAAATTAATGGAATTTCTGATAAAAAATCGCTCAAATCTGAAGAAGGGTTTCTACGTGGATCTGTTGAAACAATCGTTCCTGCACCTTTAAAAGAAGAAATAAAAATTGAAGAAAAGCCTATTTTCGAGGAGAAAGTATTTTTAGTCCTTGGATTGAACAAAAATGAAATTAAAAATGTTTTGATCGAAGATTTTGTTGAAGTTTACAATAATGGGTATTCCTTTGTTATTATTAGGGAGGAGGAGAAGGATATTCCAATAAAAAAGGAAATAATTGAAGTTAAAACAGCAAAAAAATTAATTAAAAATGTTCAAGATAAAAATTCCGAGTTGGATTATATTCCTATTGAAAAAAGTGTTTCTTTGTATCATCATGGCTGGTATGGAGGGAGACTTGCCGAAGTTGAGGATGAAAAAGATGGGATAGATCAAAGGCAGATATTGCCTCAGATGAATGGAACATTAAGCGATATTGAACAGAAAAGGGATGTTATTGGAAGTGTTGGTGGGTGGATATATTTTTTAAAAGAATACTTGGGATAAAGGAGGAATACAAGTGGGGTAAACTCTAAAATAGGAATACCCTTGGCACTGTAAGGAGGAGGGGATTCAGCTGTCTAGAGTAATTCAGCTAGCCTTTTTAACTGAAGGTTTCTTATTTTAGACAAAACCCTGATCAAACCAAAAGAAAACCAAATTGTAGAACCCGTTGAATTACACGTCCGTATAAGTGAATTAAAGAAGAAGCCTATCATTACTGATGACAATGAAAAGAAAAAATTAAAACAATTATCGTTTCCAACAACCTTTCCTGTTAAAGAAACTAAATTTGAAGAAAGGACACTAGGAGAGGATCAGTTACAAAGTATTTATGCAAAAGCGGCATCTTTTAGAGATGGTGAGAGAAAAATAATTAATCTTGAATTAACTATATGTATTGCAGAAAGACTACCCGTTGCTGCCACACAACGAATGAGACGTCCAATGGTAATGAAAAGTGAAGATCTGAGTATAGATTCGAAACGTATGTTTTATTATAATTCAGCATAGAAAAATTATTAACCCCAAGCGGATCCGAACCCATTTAAGTTTTAAATTTATTGACCAGCGCCAAAACTGGTCAGTTCAGTTTTGGCGTTCTGACGTTTGGCGTGTTTTAAAAATTCGATTTAAGAAGCACCTTATTTTCCAATTACATTCTCTATAAAGGGGTTTTGCGCGGAATTCTGATAGAATGTTTCTCGAGTTCAACACTTTTTAACATTAATATTCTTTTAGCAAAACCACTTCCCCGTACACAATATACATCACAATATTCTGACCAGCTCTATAAATACTCATCACCAGGATCTATTCGTAGACCAGTAGGCGCTTCTCCTAGAGGATGGACAAGTGTAACTGAGGCTACTACAATTACTTTTGCTAAGCGTCATTCATTTGATAGAACAACAGAAGAGGGGAAAGTGCAACATGTTGTTGAGGACATAATTGTCTATAGACATGGAGGAGGTGGTAGTGCTGGTCCTGTTCGCCGAATGCTTCCTCCAGGGCTTCCTAAGGCTCCGGCAACCAAAAAGAATATTTTGCCAAGCTCTTATTTGGATGAACGTTATCATAATATTAGTCAACGTTACAATTATTACAGGTATTTTATGGTTTTTGTAGAACCATTTCTCTCCTTTTAGAAGCCGTTCCCAAGACCAAGAACAAAGAGGGCAACGAAAACATGATAAATGGTTGCAGACTGATCCAGAAGAATTAATGGAATTAAACAATGTTCCCTTTGAACACACTTCTCGAAGTGTGGGGAGAACAACAACAACAGAAAAAAGAAGCCATCATTTACGTACTTATCGCTCATATTCCTCACACCTTTATGACAGGTTGAAGGATTTTCTGTCAATTATTTAAAAATTTTAATTAGGCATGCTTATGCCCGAGACTATAGCAGTCCAAGAAGAAGTTGTGATGCAAGTCCAGAAACATTTGCTTATCGAACTGAACGCTCTACACATTCCCTAGGAAGATTAAACGATGATTCTCCAATGCGGAGTGGTAATGTTTTCTAAAAATTATTTCAAAAATTTCATTTCTTTCAAGGATTTCCACGTGCAACAACTGCGCCAATTGCAACACAAACACCGCCACTCCAACAACGTCGAACTTTTATGAACTATGAAAGTTCAATTAACAGGCAACAAGTCCCTGATCAATCGCCTAGAATGGTATACTTTGTTATTTAAAAATTTGGGGATTCCCAGGTTTATGCCCCTAGGTTTTCTTATCTCTCCGAGAAATCCCTTTATTGCCTTAAAATTTTTAAATAGCAGAAGCAACTCATAGCGCAACGTTCCAATATCGAAGAGACACCTCTTTCAGTTTACTCACAAAATGGAATTGATGAAACTCGAACAACAATACAACGTTTGATTTTTAATCTTCCATAAACAATTCTCCTTTCAATTTTTAGATTCAAAAACCTTGCCATTAGAAACGCGTATACTTCCCCCAGGCATTCATACACCTCCCCCACCTCTTCCACACTTTTCAACAATAAATGGTGGAAGTCATGAAATAGATGAAATTAAACAGGAGAAACAGGGAGGAAGTCGAAGAACCTCTCGAGCCTCCTTGCGCCAAGCACGGCAACGTATTCGAAATTATTGTGGAGTGCTATAAGTTGTGAATTTTTTTAATCAATTTGTGATAACAAAAGATTTTCTAATTAAAACGGTGCTAATTTCGATGCCTTTTATTTTCTCTCAAAGCCTTTTGATACCGATAGATCCGGTTTATTTGTTAAGAAACGCATTTTTGTTTTATCTTTTTTTATATTTTAAAAATGCTCATTTTTAAATTTTATATTATTTAATGTATCTAGAAATTTATTATTTTTTTATTGATTTTTAGAATAAATTTAAAAATTTTACAAATTTTTAAAATTTCAAGTCAGGAAGGGGTGCCAAAATTGAACACAGGCATAGTAGACAGAATGGAACTTAAGGAGGGATTTTATTCATTTCCATTTTTTAAGTTTATTATCACCAAAATAAAATTAAAAATATAAAAAATAACAACAATTGATTGTCAATTAATACAATTGCAGAACCAGCTCGAAGATCTGGTTCATAAACAAGCACCTACAAAAATACAATTTTACTTTAATCTTAAAAATGATAATTACCCCGTCTATTAAATGCATAAATCCATTAATTCCAGCAATTTCACCCCCTTCAATAATTCTTGCCACTCGATTACCTCTCGGCCAGTAAAGTTCAAAATCTATAAAATTAAGGGGAATTTATTTTTAAAAATTAAAGAAAAATTATACATCTGCCACGCCGTCTAATAATCACTTTCTCATCATTCATCATCACATAAGTTCTCTCACGCAAATCTGAAAAAAAAATTTTAAAAATTAATAAAAAAAAAAGTAAAATATTAACCTGTATACATAAGTGCCTGTCCTTGGAGAATGTGTCGCTAAAAATTATTTTTTATTTTAAAATGAGAAAATGAAGGGGATCAGAAATGGGAGGCAGAAGTGCTCACAAATTTCCACTAAACTAATCTACGGAACTGAGTCAGAACAACTGGAAATGTTTTTGGAAATCTTAAAAATATTTTAGAGATCAAAAATGCGGGGTACTCCTACCCAACTTCTGATAAAAAAATAAAAAAAAATAAACCTTATAAACATATTGTAAAGCTTGCCAGTGATTTCCATCAAGTAATCTATTTTTCATTGACGGGCTGACCTTTTAAAAAAATTGTTAATGTTTATCGATAAATTTTTATAAAAGAAAACCTTATCCCAAGCCTCATCAATCGGTACAAAGAACGTCATATTCTGTTCTGGAGTAAGCACTTGCCATGGATCGAGTGTGTATTTGAGCTTAAATTAAAATGATAAAATAAATTAATTTATTCTAATAATAAAACCTGTAAATTATTTAGCATTTCCATAGATTGATGGGCTCTCGTTTCATTGCGAAGTACTTCCCAGAGAGACTGAAATATTAAAATATCCATTTAAGAAGGTCAAAAAATTTTAGGAACCTGATATGGAACACCTAATACCCTGTCAATATAATGGATTATTCCATTTGTTGCGGTCACATCCTCCATTTGAATCTGTTTAAAAAATAAATTTTAAAAATTAAGAATTATAGAATTACTGCTGTTCGAATTCCTCCACCAATAACATAATAAGTTATATTATTTTTAGGCCATTCAGTTTTAGAAAAATATCTGTTTTTAAATAAAATAAATTTTGATAGGTTGTTTTCGGTTATGTTAACAAAATCCGTAACTTTTTATCCGTAAGTAGGATAAAAAAGTAGGGTAAAAACTTGCGGACTTGGAAACATAACCGAAAAAGAAAACCTGTTTTTTATATTTTCAATTAAAATTTTCCCTTACAAATGTCTCATATTGTCCACTGTAGCAATTATTGTATCATTTGTAATTTCTTCACTAACCAATTCCTTTGCTGGGACAATATGCAATTTAAGAACTTGTTCCAACCAAATTCTGTCCCTCAACAATCTTCTTTCAATTGGTTCAGGAATACGTTCAAAAGCCTCATTCCATGGAGCAAAAAATGTGACAAGACCTCCAGTTGCTGACATGTAATTTCTGACAATCTTTAAAAAATCTAGAAAATTTTAAAAATATTTATAAACCTGTCCAATAGTAGCCATATATCTCATTAAAGTTGTACATCGATAATTGTCCATAAGCATCTAAAAATGAATTGAGGATCCTGAGGAAGAAAAGGTTACCTGATCAATTGTGTTAGTTACTATCCCGAGAACATTATCCACAATATGTACAACCTTTAAGAAGAAACAAGAGATTTTCTAAGATTTTTAAAGAAAAAAACTAACTCCGTTTTGAACAGGAATATTTGGAACAAGAATTTTGGCCCATACAGCCCCTCTTCTAAATTCTCCATAACGCTAAAATTTTAAAATAAAGCTAAAAAATATTTTCAAAAAATTAACCTCATAAATAGTTGATACTGCATACAAATCCCATTTGCCAGTTCTATGATCGGTAATGTTTCTCATACTTAATTTAAGTTTGTAATTATCCTCAATTATGTTTGAAGAAAATCTGAATTTGTTAAATAAATATAATTTTAAATAAAAATAAATTAAACCTGCCTAATTGAAGGATAAAAGTGAATTCCTCCATCAAATAGCCAAGGATAGGTGAATAAAACCTGAAGCAGAAAATGAATATTATAAATAAATTTAGGACTATTTTTGTGGAATTTTTACGTTTATTCTCCCAGTTGGCCTTTCCCAGTCCAACAATCAACTGATTGTGAGAGAAAAGTCACCAAAAACCATTTAAATCTTTACAAGTGTACCCAGACAACGCTCCCCAGAATCCATATTTGTATTAAATTTTAAGCTCACCCACGCGATTCATTCCAGAAACATGAGCCAACAAAATTTCACGATCCACCCGATTTCGATCAATCACTTTGGCGAATGCTTTATTTGTTGGAAGAAAGAATGTATGGAAACCATTCCATGCTGAACTTCCATAAATTACTAGAGCTAAAGTTTTAAAATTAAAAAAATTCTTTAATATTAAAAAACCAATATCCGGCACACGATCAAGTATATTCCTTAATTCACTAAAAAATAAAATTTTGGGCACTACTAAAGATGAGGGTGCTATTTCTGCGGACTTTTTTTGCGGACTTTTTCCCTTTCTTTTTAATGCTTCTTTTTAAATGTTTTGGTTGTTTTGCTTGCAGCAAGTTTTGCTTGTGGCAACTAACTGTCAGGGATTAATTTTTATGCCAATTTGAAAATACGTGTTCACCATAATTTAAACATTATAAACGTAAAAACGTTAATCAATAAAAAATCTTACTTTAACTAAATTGTATGATAAAATTCAATTACCCGATGCTGAATTTCAACAATGGATACTGATCTCGGAATGCTTCATAAAAAAGGACATGTGATTGTGAAACAGAAATTAGGGTAATTTCAAACCATGCCCCCCCCCATTATTTTTATTACCTGAGATTGTACAAAATGGTCAGACTTCCTTCTTCCTTTCCTTCCTCTATTTGAGCTTGGCATATTCAAACAAGAAACATTTATAAAGAAGATTAAAATCAAATGATTTGGTTCTTTTTTACCTTGATAGTTGTTCAACCTCCAAATTTAAGGGTCCATTTTCTATGAATAAGACCAAGCTTTCTAGCCAAGCTTTCATTTCAGTTGTTGAATATTTTTAAATATGAATAAGAATGTAATGTTTTTACGCAGAAAATCATAATGTTACATATACACCAAATCAATTTTATTTAATTATTTTTTTGTGTAACATTGTTTTCTAAGGCAAAATATACGTGTATGACTATAAAATTAATCTTCTCTTTATCAATGTCTCTTGTTTGAATATGTCAAAGGGCAAATAGAGGAAGGAGAGTAAGAAGAAAGTCTGACCATTATGTACAATCTTAGGCAAGAAAAATAATGCGGGGAGGGCCTTTGACAGTTAGTTGCTACAAGTAAAACATTTAAAAGAAAGGGAGAAAGTCCGCAAAAAAAGTCCGCAGAAATAGCACCCTCATCTTTAGTAGTGCCAAATTTTGAATTATTCAAAAATAAAAAAATAAACGTTAAATCTCTATTATCATAATGCCTGTCCACAAAAATTGCATTTTCATCATCTCGAACAAAACCTAAGGCTGTTCCAGGGTAAGGACGATGCCCCATTGGAGTACAAACTTTGTAGAGATACCAAAAATAAATTTAAAACTTTGTCCAAATTTAATCTCTTTTCTTACTGTTCACCGCTAATAATTCCCCATTGATTTGAAACATGGTTACAAATTGTACCAGCATTTGCAAAGTAGGACTAGAAAATTAAATTGATTTTTTCAAAAATTAAAAAAAAATTACAAAATTCCCAGGTGGTCCAGGATTCTCAAATTGAGTTATATAAACATAACCACTATTAATTGTTGACCGTATAAGTGTTTGCTTCTCCCAACGTCGACCGCTGCTAAGTTCTGGTACCTGAGTATCCACTAATAATTAAAAAATAAATTTAACCAAAATCTTTATAATTAAAATATACCAATATGTGAAAGAACTTCTTTTTGATCCATTGCTCTAAGATCTGGATTATACAGAAAAACATCATTTACGGGGGCAAAAATGGTGACTCTTGCATTGACATCCTCCATATAGGCTTGAGCAACTTGATAACGGGAGCAAAGAAGACGCCACTTTATTAAAAAAAGAGGAATAGATATAGGACAGATAAAAAAATTCAGAGGTTCAATTTAGAATAGTTGAAATCAGGCCCCTGGCCTTCCCCGAAAATTTTTATGGCTACGGGCCTGGTGATAAATTTTTAAAAAAATTTCTACAAAAAGAAAATCAAAAACCTGTTGCATATCACTCATCCGTCCAGTTTCTGACCAAAGACTTGCAAAGGCACGTTCTAACAAGATCAAAACAAAAATAAATATAATTGGGAGAATATTACAAGCAAAATTCATTTAAAAACTTTCGATTGTTGCTTACTTCAATTTATTCCCAAAAATATGTGAGTCAAATATATAGGACCAGTAATGAAAAATAAGAGAAAACTATAAGAATTTGAGCAAACATAACCATCGATTGGCCGAAAAAAGAGGAAATGGCTGTAAACGCTTGGCGCAAAGATTACTAATACACCCAAAAGGACCCCCCTAACACTGATTGTGAGAATTAATAAAAATAAGAATAACCTCAATTCCTCCTGGCCTGATTTCTGTTGTAATTCATCTCAGTGTTTGTAGACCAAAAATAATTAACAACGCCAAACTTCAAACGATTTTGTGTTGTACAATGATAAATTCCAAATTTTTTAATTGTAAAAAACTGATAAACGCTTTGTGCCCGTAGACTGCTAATGCACTCTGGGACTTTTTTGCAAGGTTAACCCAATATTTCGAAAGATTAAATGCCCCCTAGCAGGGGACCGGTCCCATGTACAAAACGGCACATGGACACTCCAAAATTTTTCTCATGGTCACCAAGCGCACTGCCTCCGCACAAACACTATTGGCAGAGCCACCGAAGCGCACTACCACCAATAGTGCTGCCAGACCGCACAGCCACCGATGTCTACCTATCAGTAGTGTCCACTGGTCGCACAAACACCGAAGCGCAGCCAACCAGCTTTCTGCTACTATAGATAGTCCGCCGAAGCGGTCCATGGATAAAGCATAGGAGAATTCCCAAATTAAAAAGATTTGAACATAAATAATTCTTAGACGGTTAATAGAAAGGGTATAGAGAACACTAATTATTCTTCCTTTTTTAATTTCCTTTTTTTCTTTTTTTCTTCTCTCCTTTTATGCTTTTGCATCTCTAATCAATGTTTACTGAATAAAATCAATAAATGCAGAAAGAGTGTGGGAAATGAAGATACATTAAACAGTTAAAGGGTTGAGGTCAGTTCAGTGCGAAATAGTCAGTTCAGTGTGACAGACTGATTGCAGACTAGTGAACGACATATCTACGTTTTCGTCGATTCGCGGCGAATAACTACTTTTATTCGCGAACGACTTTTTTTTAAACACACAACGCCAGAACTACGTTAATATCGATGTTTTGCGCCAAACGATTGCGAAACGACTTTTTTGTGTCTCTTTTTCTCTAATTTCACATTATATTTCCTTTCTCTTTTTCTATTAATTTTCTATGTCGTTGTCTCTCCATTGGAATTCTCTCCATTGGACTTTCCTCTTAACATTTCTCGTGAAATGCTCCAACAATCCAAAATTCTTAAAGTGATCCGAAAGAATTTGGTCAAGAAGTGTATCGAACTTTTTGATGAAATTGCTGAAGACAAGGACAACTTTAAGAAATTTTATGAACAATTCAGCAAGAATCTTAAGGTTTTTTTAAATGTTTTTTTGAAAATTATTTGTTCTTTAGTTGGGTATTCACGAAGATTCTGTCAACCGTAAAAAGCTTGCCGAATATCTCCGTTACAACACTTCCTCTTATGGCGATGAACTTGTTAGCTTGAAGGATTATGTTGGACGAATGAAGGAGAATCAGACTTGCATTTATTATATTACTGGCGAGTCTAAAGAAGTCTTGAAGATCCACAACAACACGCTTCACGTATTTACCGAATGGTAAAACTAGGATTGGATATTACTGAAGAGGACTTGGAAGGAGGAGAGCAACAACCCTGCACTTCTGGGGAACCTGTCGAAAAGATTGCCGGTGCAGAGGAGGACGCTTCGCGTATGGAGGAAGTTGATTAAATTAATGTAAAAGGTTTTGATGGATTGATCTCCTCGTTGACTTTGTTTTTCTTTAAATTTATTTTGTTTTGTCGTCCTTATAATTATTTACTTTGTTTTTGAATCACGGATACATAAATTAATTTCACAAAAAAGTTTGTCTTGATTTTTAATTTGAGATGTGTTTTAGGGGAGGTGTGTTTTAGGGGAGGACAAAAGTGCCCTCTTTAGGGCCACAAATCTAATGAGTGAAACGAGACATTGGCTTTTAGTTTTTTTTGATAAATTTTTGTTTATTTGTCTTATTTTTTTATTGAAATTTTGTTTTTAACTTCCCCCTATGCCCGAAAAAGCCCAAGAAAAGCCTAGAGTCAAGATTCGACTACATTTGAAAATGTTCTTTAGAAAATGTTCAACAGAATCTTCGCTGGAAAATCTGTGGGAATATACTAAAGCGACCCCAAATCAAGTAGATGATAATTTTTTTATCAATTCTTCGTTTTTTTCTATTGTTTTCTTTTAATTATTCAAAACATACAAAATTGGTATGTTTTGTAAGTTTGATGTTTCATTCGATGGAGCTTTTCGAGCTGTTTCGAATGGTGCCAAAAATAATTCGAACAGACAAAAATAAAGGAAGTTATGGCCCTACAAAGTTTTTGGATTCCAAGAAAAATGGACTGCACAAAATAAGAGAGACGAAAATTAATAGAAAAAGAGAAAGGAAATATAATGAAAAATTAGAGAAAAAGAGATACAAAAAAGTCGTTTCGCAATCGTTTGGCGTAAAACATCGATATTTACGTAGTTCTGGCGTTTTGTTTATTAAAAAAAGTCGTTCGCGAATAATTGTAGATTTTTTTAAAACGACTTTTTTTCCTTAAGAAAAAGTCGATATGTCGTTCACTATTGCAGACTGTCTTTGGAATTTTAGAATTCCTTCGAGTGTCAATTCGAAATACTCATAATCTGATTAACCGGTCTCACGGATGTTCGTGTCAGTTCACATTGAACTGACTATACACCGATAAATTTTTTCGGCCTCAGTTTACCGAAGATTCTGGTGAAACCGACAACCCTACTCCTGTCCATTTAATCATTATTTAATCATTAATCTATTTATTTTAGATTTCTAAATTAAATACAAAATAAATTCTTTTGTCTTCAACAACAATGCCTCCAATTTGTACCAATATTTTTCGTCCAATGTTGCGTCCTCTTTGCCGTTATGCGCACTTGAATGGAACTCCGGGAATTTACAATACTGTTCCGAATTGGAAGCCTGGACCGGGTTGGCGCCCACAGAGTCCACAAGGACCTTATCTTGATGGCTGGGCTATGGGGGTATTTTTTTGAAAAATTTTTTCTTCAATTTTTTTTTTAATTTTTAGTATTGGCATTATAATCGTCCAAACAATCTTCCATTACTTATCGCTAAAGCGGCAGTCTACCTTGCTTCTGCTTTTTGGATTCCATTTTTGTATTTTAATAAATTTTCTTTAAACTTTTTTAATTTTTTAGCGTTGTGGAATATCAATTGAAGAAGTCAAAGGCAGCAAGTTGAGAGCCTAAACGTACTCTATAGACGCTTGATAAGAAAAAAGTGTGGAAAATTGTCTAGGAAAATATTAAAGGTTTAATTTGTTTATGAAAATGTTTTTTGGGAGATTTTGATTAAAGAATGTTTTTTAATTTCGGGATAAAAATAACTGTGTAGGCTAAAGTTTAGTTGATTCAAAAATTGGTTTCTTGTTTTTTATGAGTTTTTAGCAGGGATGTACGTGTAGAAAAAACGTTGGGATGAGTCTTCAAAATTTTCTACGGAAAGTCTTCGAGTCAAAAAATCCGGGTTACGAGTCAGTCATGTTGATTAGGAGGAGAAAGTCGGGTTCAGATAACTTCTCAGATCGGGTTTCGGGTCAGAAAAAAAGTCCTGATAGCTGGTAACCCGTGACATCCCTGGCCCGTACTTCGTCATTAATTGCTGGGCCTCTAGTTAGGCGAAATTCGAATTTTTTGCTTTGTTTGATTGAGCTGGAGTGACGAAAGCTTTGGAAGAAGATCAAAGACGGCGCTTGGTTTTCCTTGCAAAGTATTCTATTTGCGTTATAGTTAGCCTAGGCAGAGGTTTTCATAGTTTCTAGGCTTCTATATTTTTCATCAGGGGTTTCTTTATAAATTCTAGTAAGTTAAGTTCTCTCCCTCTAATAAATAAATTATTAAATTTTTATCATTAAAAAAATAAATCAAAAATAAAATGAAAAGAAAAAAATCCAAGAAAAAATCCAAAATCCAAGCCCCCCTCAAATTCATCTTTTTTCTTCAAATTTATTAATTTCTGCTTCCAATAAACAAATTAAATATTTTTGTCTCGAAATTAATATTCTTTTAATTCCTTCATTTAATTCCAATTCTTCTAATAAAAATATATTTTCTTCCATTTTAATTAATTTTTGTTTAATTGTTGGAATATATAAATGTTTTAATTCATCAGAAAATTCTGGGTATTGACGTATAATACTTTTTGTTGAACGCTGTAAATTTAGAATTGAAATTTTAAAAATATTTTGTGGTTCAGTAAGGACTCCTAGAAAGCTTGAAACGCTCGATTTTTTCTTGTCTCGTTGCCAAATTGACCGACATGATTTTTTCAAATTATCTTTCAACCTCAAAAATTTCCGGACGACATTTTCCGGCAAAACTTAAGCCTATTCAAGTAGGGGCAAACGGCCCAATGGGCCAAGTACTCAATATCTTAATCACATGTGGAATAATTTAAAGAATTGGCCACAACGCTGTTTTATAATGTCCCCAAAAATTTTGCAAAATTTTTCTCAGAAATTTTTCCTCAAGTAAAAATGTTTTCTACCCTTCCCCTACACCCACTTCCCAATAAAGTAATTTAAAATAAATTTTTTAAACCTCTTACATTTTTTAACATTTCTTCCAAAACAAAAGGGGAACAAAGAGGAACATCTTCAGCCATTTTAACACTTTCCTCAAAAAACATGATTAAAAGTTTCGGCCCTCTCTGTTTAATCCAAAAATTTTCTTGTTTATTTTCATCCCAATTTTCTTTTATTTTTGAGGATTTTAAGGCTAATTGAACTTTACAAAATAATTTGAAGATTATTTGTTCGTCAGAAATCCAATGGGAAAGTGCTGAATTGGTTTGTTGTGAATTTTCTTTTTCGAATAAATCGATTTTGTTTATTCTAAAATTTAAAAAGAAATATTAATTTTAAAAATTCCCCCCCCCTCTTCTTCTTCCATAAAAGATTTTTGTGAAAAAAATTTTCCACAGGGCAGCCAGCCCTCCTAAATTTTATAAGGCTATAACACCCCCTACTCCCGCCCTTTATAAAAAATAAAAAAATTGTGGCAGCCAGAATCATCGACCAGCTCCCTAAAAATTGTTGGGTTATACCCTCGGGGTAAGCATTTATCGGACAAAACCCCTCAAACTCCCCTTAAAAATAAAAAAAACTTTGTTTCTTCCCTTACATTTTCTCCAAATCAAAAGAAATCAGCACTAAAGAAGCAACAATTCTAGCACAAAAAATTTCATAGAAAAATGGCTGATTCTTCATTAGTAAAACAATAATTAAACGTGTTTGATCAACAAGTTCTGCTTCCCATTTAAGTTGTTCCTGCAAAAAAAATTTTTTTTTGAAAAAGGTTGTCAAAATGGAAAGCCACGGTCCAAAAGATCGAGTCGGGCATATATGATATTTGGCCCTAAAATGACTCGTATGACCCGGTCCGATAAAAATAAGCCTGAAAATGCCTCGAACTCCGTCCCGACTCGGAAACGGGGCAACCCTAATTTTAATTAAAAATTTAAAAAATACAATGTATCTGTCACAAATAGTCATCATTGCATAAAAATTTTGTTGTTTATCTTCTTTTTCCAATTTAAATTCAAAATTGTCTCGACAAGAAATCATGGTTTGGCCTTTAAATAAGTCGTCGAAAAAATTTGAAAGTTCAGCAATTTCTGGATTTGTAACAGTCTTTTTAGATGTGTCGTTAATACGTTCAGCTAGAGTTCTTGATAAATGTTGGCGTAGTTGTTTCTTTAAAAAATTTTTATTAACATTTTTAAAACGAAAAAATTTATTTTTTGAAGTAAATAAAGTCAAAAAACATATTCTAATAATTATTTGAAGACGGGGATCGAACCCTAGACCTATTGTGTGGGAAACCTAACGCTACCCAACTTAACCAAAACGATCACTTTTTCGAAAAAAAAAATTTTTTATAAGAAAATTTTTTTGAAGTGAATAAAGTCAAAAAATTTTTATTTATTTTAAAGTTAAAAATAAACTCTCAACGGGATCGAACCTGAGACCTCTCCTTAAGAGAAAACCTAACGCTATCCAACTTAACCACAACGACCATATTAAAAAATAATAATTTCAAAAGGTAAACCTGGTTCAAATCTGCTTGAAATTCCTTTACTTCTTTTATCAATTCAGAATTAAAATTATCAAAATATTCTAGCCATTTAAAAATTGGAGATGAATTGGTGGAAGAAGTAATATTTTGGTTGGAAATTGTTGGAGACTTTTTATTAAATTCAAAATTTGTCTGTTCAATTAAAGGAAGAAAAGAATTGTCAACATTTTCTGTCAAAGAATTTCCAAAAGTTTCAACATCAACAAAATTATTTTCATCATTTTCGGCTTCTTCCTCCTCTTCTTCATCACTAATTTCAATAAAATCTTCTGGTTTAAGTTGCAAATAGTTTATTTTTCTGAAAATAAAATTTAAGTAGAGTTGACGATCATTGGAAATTCTTTGGGCATTCGAAGGGGAATCCGAAGGTTCTAGGAATAAACCGGTACGCAAATTAATGTCCGCAAATTTTAAAAATCCTCAAAATTGTGCAACGACATTCTAGTTAAAAAAAACCCCTTTCAGAAACTAGAGATCGATCCAGAGTCCGGGCCCAGATCAATAAAACAAACCCCAGAGTCCAGGAAAAGGTCCAGGCTTTTCAATTTATTAAATTAATTTCTCTGAAGGTTCTGAACAACGAAAATGTTTTTAAAAAATCCTTTAAATAATGCGGATTTTATAATGTGGACCCGTTAATCAGAAAATCCCTTTCCCACAGAAAAATAAAAAACAAAAAAAACCTCGTATATTTAAACAAATCTTTATTTTTATTAAATATAAATTCTTCATTTTGTACAATTTTTTGTTGCTGTTGTTGTTTTTGTTGATATTTGTATTTATTAATTAAATTAATTTTATTCTCAAATTCTTTTAAAAAATTTAAATTTTCAATTTCCAAACTTCTTTTCAATTTTTCATTTTCATTTATTAAATTATTTGTAAAAGAATGCCTCTTTTTGTTTTCCAAATATTTAAATGATTTGAAATCTGCGCTTCTTCTTTGATACCAATCTCTGAAAAAATTAAATAAATTTTATAAATATAAAACAAAGAAACCTCAAATTATTCAAGTGATCTTCAGAATTTTTATATTGATGTCTCATTTTATTTTTTTGAAAAAAAAAACTAAATATTAAAATCTAAAAAAAATTTTGATGGAAAAATTTTAAAAATTTTTAAAAATATTCAAATGTACCATTTTGTAGCAAATCCATTTTGTCGTAAAACCATTTTGTCCAAGTCAATTTTGTCGATGTACCATTTTGTCTGCGTACCATTGTGTCCGAGTACAATTTTGCCCCTGTACAATTTTGTCAGTGTACCATTCTGTCGTGATACCAATTTGTCGTAACTTCGATATAACAGAAAAAAGAGAAAGAAAAAATTTTGTTGTGTCTAACAGTTTTTCAATTCCACGTTTTTTTGTTTTATTTTTTTAATTTTTTTTTTATAATTTTTAGTTATGGCAAGCAATAACGGCATAAGTAGTTTAATTTCTGCATTTTTTGTTTTTGTTTGTATTGGTATTGGACAATTATTTAAACAATTTTTGGCTAATTCGCGTCAAGGAAATTTGTGTGCTGGAGGTTTTTTTAATTAAAAATTTTTTTCTAAAATTTAATTTTTAAGTGTTGGGTGCTTTTATATTTTGTTTTACATTGACAACAATTAGTAATATGGTTTGGAAATTTTTTTTATTTTTTAAAAATTAATTTTTATTGTAAGAGTATTCTCCACTCCTTCCACAAGTTAGTCTTTTTGTTGACATTTAGTCCTTCTCGTCGACCCCGTATAAATTCTTTTCCAGTCTAATATTATCATATAGTCATCCAAACCTTATTTTGAACACAACATATGAATATTAATAGTTTTGACCCTGAGCGGGTTCGAACCTTTCCCACGTCTCACCGTTGCGTAACTTACCAGATCGGACACCCCCACTAAAGAGTTTTCTTTCCAATTTTCTTTACGTGCCTGACTATCCTTGTTATTTTATAGATTATTTGGGTTTGAGAATTTAAAAAATATTCAAAAAAATTTTAAAAATAAATTTTTCAGAAAATGGCCCAATTTGGAATCAATTCAAAATCCGGCCTTTTCGATTGCTTCATTTCCTTAATTATATCAATTATAGCTTCAGCATTAATACACAGAATTGCAATAACTTTAACAATTTTGTTTTCTGGAGTTTTTCTTTTCTTCTTAGTTGGAATTTCACACAAATATTATGATTTGAATGCTTCAGTTAATGTTGGTGGAGGTGTTGGAGGGAGTGAAAAAAGAGGCAAAAAACATTGAAACATTGAAAAAATAAATGGTTTTTAATTATAAATTAATAATTTTAATGTTATTTTAATTTTAAATAAATTTTAAAAGAAATTTTTTGTATTTAATTTTTTGCGGACAAAAAAATTTTTTGCGGACAACTTTTGCGGACTTTCTCATTTTTATTCAAATCCTTTACAATTCCGTGGAATAAATAATTTTTTTTATTAATTCCTCAAATTCCGTTTTTTCTTCCCAATTTTCAGCTCTTTTCCCATCTAAAAAACATTTTTCATTAAATTCTCATTGTTTTTTTTTCAATTTATTTTTATGCCAGAAAAATAAAAACAAACAAAAATAAAATAAAAATTCTTCTCAATTACTTTCTTCTCATTTTCACGAGGATTATTGTTTTGCTTTTCACATCCCCCTAACTTAAAAAAATTTTTTAGGAAAAATAAATAAATTTTTGAGTATTTTTTAATATTGAAAATAACGTAGGAAAAATTTGTGTTATTGCGGACTCAACATTTGCGGACTATACTTGCGGATTCTGACGTATCTGTCCTTATGATTTTAGCCGGAGATTGGATATAGGCGAAATCTCAAACAAAAATTCAAGGCTATTGCGAATCCAGATTTTCGTAAGATATCGTTATCGCCTCTCGTATTTACGGCCCTTCCACTCCCCTTCCACTCCTCCTCCCCTTCCAGCCCTCCTGTCTTTAGTTTCGACTTTTCTAGGAAAAATATATTTCTTGTCCAACAATCTAAATTATTAAAAATGATTTTTAGCCTAAAAAATATTTTGTTAAAGTTTCTGAAATTGATAAATGGATTTATAAATATTTAAATGGGAGGAGCAAAAAAAGGAAAGAAAGGAAGGGTCATTTCATGTTTTTAAAAGAGGATATGAGCAATTTTGGTTAGTCTCTTAGTAGAGTAAATAGCCATAGAAAGTGTATATATTTTTAAAAAAGCATTTTTCCCTTTCTTAATTTTTAGTTTTTTTTCAAAAATCAAATTTATTTTATTTTTCATCTCCATTTTTTGAAAAATTTATTTTGTCATTTTTTCTCTTGAAAATTTTTTTTAAGAAATTTAATTTTATTTTTTGACCAAAAATGAATATTTCTCATTTTTAACTAGAGTCCACTATAGTGAGAGTTTACTAAATAGCAGGTTGATTATATAGGATAAAAGCATTTAACTATTCGGAATTTACTGTTAAAATATAAACAGGGATGATTTTAGGCGAAGCTCTAATAGTCAAAATTTGCGGACAAAAATTTTTTTGCGGACAACTTTTGCGGACAAAAATTTTTTTGCGGACAACTTTTGCGGACAAAAAATTTCTTCTAATTTAAAAAAATTAAGACTTATCTCTCTTTTAATATTCACAAAATTTATTTTTTTTATTATTCACTCAATATATAATATATCCACTTTTTTCATCACTTATTCATTAAAAACGATTCACGCAGAGTCTGTCACCATAAGGTATAAAATAATAAAAAGAAAAGACTTTCTCCTTTATTTTATTTTTGAGGTTGAATGATTTTGAGTTGAAATTTTATTAAATTAAATAAATTTTATTTCTTTAAGTGATCTAGTATTTTACTTTAAAAACAAAAAAAAATTTTTTTGGGATGAAATGTTACCTCAGAAAAAATTTTCAAAGGACAACAATAATTAACTAAAAATGACATCATATTTCTCCTATAATCCCTCATTATCTTCAATTGTTTTATTAGTAGCTGTGTTCCTAAATTGTTCACATTTTAAGTTTTTTGGTAAAATTATTTTTTTTAATTTTTTTAAGATCCTTATTCAGACCCCCTAAATACCCCAGAAAATAATCCGTTTAAGAAAATAAAAAATATTTGACTTGCGGATTAAAGTTGTGAATTTTTGTGGCATAACTTCGAAAACGGCCCTTATTCAATAAAAATAAATTTCCAAAAACAAGTCAACAATAACCTTTTTAAAAATCCAATTCGCGGTCAATGATTTATTTGCGCACTTTTTAATTTTTTCGTTCCAATCCAGAGATTTGTTTTTGTATTATATAAATAATACAATAACAACAATAAAACAACAAACTTTTTATTTTAAAAGAGGGAAAAACAATTTTTCCCCCATTAATTATAAGAGTAACTTATATGCAAAGTTGTTTTTCAAGTATTTTCCCTCATTGACTCCCGAAATAACACAAAGTTTTTTTTTAATTTTAGCAATGACCCTTTAGAAGGAAAGTGTGAATAAGTAAAAGTATAACATTTATTTTTTCTATTTCCATAAATAACTAAAATATGTGTCCCACTAAATTTGTGGAGAAAAAATTTGCGACAAAAAATTTTTTTGCGGATAGAATTTGCGGACAAAAATTTTTTGCGGACAAAAAAAAATTTTTGCGGACAAAAATGAAACTTATTGAAATTGAGATTTAAAATTGAAACACAACTCAGTGCTAAACCAACACAATTCCTTATTAAAAAAATATCCGCAAATGTCGCCTTTACTAAAAATGTTGTCTAAACTAGATAATTTACATTCCCAAGAGTATAAATGAATATTTTAAGCTAGTTAGTAGCTAGTTGAGTTTGACAAGTACATCCAAAAGTGTTAAAAACAAGCTTGGAAAGAATAAAACGAGAAAAGGGGGGATTGACCATTTTGCGTCTTTTTAAAAAAATTTTTAAAGTCTCCAGTCTTCGCCCAAACCGTTCACCTTTAATTTTGGAAGAATCTATGAACAATATAACAGGAATGCGTGGAGATACAATTGAATTTAGATGTAAAATAAAAAATGCTGGAAAATACAAAATTGCATTTTTCCGAGAGGGAATACCCCCAAGATTAATTGCTTATGATGGTTAGAGTTGAAAATTTTTTTTTGAAATTTCTTGAAAATTTTTAGAATCTATATTTCGTCGAACAGATAAATACCAACTCTTATCTAAACTAAATGGAAATCAATGGCTTTTGAGGATTAAGGATATACAAGTAAAAATAAATAAATAAAAATTTGCGGACAACATTTGCGGACAGTGAAAATATTTGCGGACAGAAATTTAAAAAAAAAATTATTTTTAATTCCCATTTTTAGTTTTATTTTTGTTTAGAAATAATTTAATATTCGAATAATTAAATTAAAAATTAATAACTTTAATTTTAAAATAAAGAGAAAATTATTTTTACAGGAAGACGACTCTGGTGGTTATATTTGCCAATTAAATTCCAATCCGATTTTAACAAAAATTGGCTATTTAAATTTAAAAAGTAATTTGATTTTAAACAAAAATTTAAATGATTTAAAAGTTCCTCCAATAATTTTAAAAAGTTCAACTCCCGCAGCTGTAGAAGTACGTGAGGGATTAAATGTCACCTTGTCTTGTAATGCTAGAGGCAATCCTTTACCTACCATAGTTTGGAGGAGGGCGGATAAACAAATTATTAAATATGGAAAAAATGATGGGTATGGAGGTGAATAAAGTATTTATTGAAAATAAATTTTAAAAAATTTTTGCGGATGAAAAAAAAATTTTGCGGACGAAAAAAATTTTGCGGACTTTTTTTGCGGACAAAAAACCTAAAAAAAATTTAATTTATTTAAGATAGTGTACATAAAGGCCCAGAATTGGTGTTAAGAGGGGTATCTAGACAACACATGAGTGAATATATTTGCACTGCTTCTAATGGAATATTTCCAGATGAATCTTGGACAATTAAATTACACGTTCTTTGTAAAAATATTAATTTTAAATTAATTAAAAATAAAATTAATTAAAAGTCGAGCCCGTTGTTGTCCCCCAAAGGTTAATAGTAGAAGCACCTTTAAATGCAACCTTTGTAAAAATGGCATGTACTGTAGAAGCTTGGCCTAGAGCCAATTTAGTTTGGCTATTTCAAAATAAACCGTTACACGATTCTGAAAAGTATTCAACGGTAAGGGAGAGAATTTTAAATTTTTTTAAATTAAAAAAAAATTTGCGGACAAAAAAAAATTTACGGATAAAAAAATTTTTGCGGACAAAAAAATTGCGGACAAAAAATTTTCGAACAAAAAATTATTTTTTAAAGGAGCAATCAGTATCAGAACGTTATCGTTCTGTTCACATTCTAAAAATTAAAAATGTTAAAAATTCTGATTTTGGAACTTATAAATGTGTAGCTAATAATGATTATGGAAGCCATTTTGGTGAAATTAGACTTGTTGGTTTGTGTCCTTTAAAATAAATTTTTTAATTAAAATTTAAATAGAATTACCTTTAAATCAACAATATTCTTATGCAAATAATTATAATTCAATCAGTGAAGGTAAAAAATATTTTTTGAAAAATTGCGGACAGTTTTTGCGGACATTTTTTGCGGATTTTTAAATTAAAATAAAATAATTGTTTTAGTAATTAATTAAAAAAGGCTCAGGTATTTACCCAAATATTGATGAAGAAAATGATGAAGAAGAATGGGGCGATACAGGTATTGAAAACCCTTTTGGAATACTCACAACAACAACAACTTCCTCTTTGTGGTTACAGAAACAACAGGCAATTTCTGATAAAGGTTTTTGGAATTTCAGAAACTTATTGAGAAATCAGAATTTTTTTAATCAGAACTTAATTCTAAGTCAGAATTTATATTTTCAAAAATCAGAATTTATTATTTAAAAATCAGAATTATTTTTTTCAGAATTAAGAAGAAGCATAACTCCCTCTTCTTCTGTTTATTTTCGCAATTATGACCAGATAACAACTTTGAATAAAAGTTTAAATATAAGAGCTTTTAATTATTTTATTTTAATAGAAATTGTGATTATTTTTATATTTTGTTTTTTATTAAATTTTTAATTTAATTTTATAGCTCAATAATTAAATAAATAAATTTAATTTAAATAATTTTTTATATTTTTTATTTTTTCGTTTACGAGTTTTAATGACGATTTTGATGATATTCATGATCGTCAAGGTCAGCAAGGTGTTGAAGGGAATTTTTAGATTTGCGCAATTTAAGTTGGGCATTTTTTGATATTTCTATTCATTTTTATAAAACACAAATACAAAATGTATTTAAAAAAAGACAAAATACAAATCAGAATTTTAAATTAGAAAAAAACAAAACACAAAAACAGAAAATACAAAAATCAGAATTTAAATGAAAGAAAATACATTAATAAAACCAGAATATTTTTTTAAGTTAATTAAAACTAATTCTGAAATGAATCAGAATTACAATTTAGAAATCAGAATTTTAAATTTTGAAAATACATATACGAAAAAAACACAATTTTGAAAATTGAAAAATACAAAAATCAGAATTAAAATACATAAAAGAAAATACAGAATAAAACCAGAATTAACTAAATTCTGAAATAAAACACAAATACATTTTACAAATTGTAATTCTGATTTTCTTTTTATCTCTTAATTAATTAATTTAAAGTATTTTTATTCCCATATTGCCGCCTGCTGTGTTTTCTTCTATTAGAAGTTTTGTGTGAAATTACTTAGATATATAGCAGATAAGGAGAAAATACTTTTAATAAATCGCGCGCAGCAGTGAATATAAAAATACCTTTAATTTATTTATAACTGTGGCTTATGATTGATATAAGGGGAAGATTATCTTAAAAATAATTAAAAGTGAAAGGATTAAATATTAAAAATTTCCCTTTAAAAAATTCCCTTTAAAAATATTAAATATACCCCTTAAAAACAATATTTTTTACCATAAACTTTACCAAAAATTCCCCAAAAAAATTAATTTTTTCTGACAAATAAAAATAATTGCTAATAAAACACTAACTGTTTTAGAACAAAGCAATTAAATATAAAAAAGAGATCAACGAGGGCGGGAAAAATGACAGGTAGAGAGAGGAGGATTAATTGCAATTGTGTAGAGAATCGCCGAATTTTATCCATTCACTCAACACACAAAACACATAAAAACCTCCGCAAAATGGCGGTGGATGCTATTATACTTTTAAACTTTTTTTTGATATAAATAGTTGTATTTTTATTTCTCTCAATTACAATTAATAAATTAAAAAATACAAATCAGAATTCTGAAAGACAAAATCAGAATTATTAAAAGTAAAAAAATCAGAATTTTTTAGAAATACATTCAAAAAATACATTAGAAAACACAAACTTAGAAAACACAAAAGAAATACAAAAATCAGAATTAAAAATCAGAATATTTGTTAAAAATACAAGTTACAAAATCAGAATTTTTAATTGTAAAATTCTGATTTGTATTTTTCTAAATAAAATAATTCTGATTTGTATTTTACAAGTAAAAATTCTGATGTATTTTATTTTGTATTTTTAAAAGATATTCTGATTTTTTCTTTTTAATTAATTAAAAACACAATCTCTTGTATTTTTCAACCGGAACTTAAAAATTCTTCTGCTTTATTTTTATGGGCGGGGTTTTTCCTCTAAATTATTTCCCTAGGTTTTATTTCCCTCAGTAAAGCTTAGAAACATTTTTGCTTATTTTTTTTTTCTAAAGGCTTTTACTTCAACAATACACAGTTTTAATTAAATATATTTTTTAAATACATATTTTATTTTAATTAATTTTTTAATTTTTCTATTGATTCTAAACCCCTCCTCCTCCCTCTATTTTTTCTTCATTTTCTATTTATTTCCTAGTCATATATTTTATTTTTATACTCCCTCCTCATCCATTATATCCTCATCCAATTTTGGCACTTCATATTTCTTTTTACTGGCCAATTTTGAGAGGGCTTTCCCTTACACTTTTTACCTCTTTTTGTTAAATAAACAATTTTTTTCATTAAAAAATAAATTTAAATTTTTAAGATGTATTTTTACTTTAAAATTAATTTTTTATTTTATTTTTCTTTTTTTCCTTTTATTTTTAAAATTTTATTTTTATTTATTTTTGTTATTTATTCACAACAACAACAACAACAATTTCAAGAACAGAATATTCGATCAGAACTTGTTGAAGGTAAGAGAGAGTATTTAAATAAAAATACAAATCAGAAAAATACAAATTAAAAAAAATACAAATCAGAATTATAAAAATTAAAAAATCAGAATATAAGTTAAAAACACACACTTAAAATACAATCAAATAAAATCAGAATTTGTAATTGTAAAATACAAAGCAGAATTTAAAATCAGAATATAAGAAAAATACAAAATATCAGAATTTCTTAAAAATACAAATCTGAAATACAAACAAAAATACAAAAATCAGAATTATTTTAAAATACAAATCAGAAATACACACAAAAATACAAATATCAAAAAAATATCAGAATTTTTAGCTGTAAAAATAGAAATCAGAATTTTACCCTCAAATAAAGCTTCAATTTAAATCAGAATTCTCACAAGTTCACTAAAAAAGATAACCTTGCTTTACTAAAATAAAATCTTTTTCTTTCATTTTTTATTTTTTAAATCACCCTTTACCCTAAATAAAAAGAAAATTGGCCAATTTGTTCTCTTTTGTTATGCGCGCATCTTTTAAATATAAAATTTTTTGCCTTTCATTTTACAGCTGCAAATAAATAAATGGAGAAAATAGACTAATTTCGCATAATCGGCTTTAAATAAAAATTTTTTCGGCGATTTTTTAAAATCTTTTATATAATTGAGGGATTTGAGAAAATGAATGAAGAAGAATTAGAGTAAAATTTGAGAAAAGAATTTAATTTAAAAAAAAGATATTTTCGTGACCTTGTCACGTAAACACTTCGATTTGTGTGGCCCGGGCAGGTACCATTAAGAAGGTCCTTCAATAAAAAAATTTAAATAAAAATTTAAATTAAATATTTAATTTAAATATTAAAAATAAAACTTTTTAAACTCCCAAAAATTTTTTTTATTTTTCCATCTAATTTCTTTTAATTTTTTAAAAAGCCCTTCTAACGGACTCTTTACGTCTTCGACTCATCCAAGCATGTCAAAATGACCGAGTTAATTTACAATGCCCCAAGAACACTTATATTTCCCCCCATAATGCTTTCTTTGGTCGTTTAGTGCCAAGCAGTGAACTCTGCCCTTTTACTAGCAATTTAAAAATAAAAGAAAATTTTGGGGGGAAGGAGGATACAAGCTGTGACTTTGCTGAAACACTTTCTGTAAGTCTATTTTTTTGAAAAAAAGTTTTTTTTCTAATTTTCTAAATGGAACGAACTCTTCTAAATTTAAAAATAAAAATTGAAAAAAAATTTAAAAATTGTGAAAAGTTTTGCAAAATTTTTTAAAAATTGAGTTCGCAAATGTCGCATGTCCGCAAATGTCGTACAAAAAATTTTCCAAAAATTTTTAATTTTTTTAAATTTTTTCTATAAACATAAAAATCTCTTAAAATCCTTAAAATCATTATTCCTTCTCTCTCTGTATATTTATAATATTAAAAATGCGAAACAAAAACATTGCGTGCCAAATTATGCAAAGCTTATAAAAGACTAAAAATAGTAGTTAAATTAAAAAAATATTTTTTTTGTTTTTATGGCTGGGGTTTTTAAATAAAAATAGAAAAATTAACATCTTTTTATTGGTACAAAAGATTGATAGGATTTCGAGAAAAAGTGAAAAATATTGTAATGATGTAGGCTGGTTGAGGTGGTAGTTAGGGAGAAGCAAGAAGGGCTACTATGGAAAGGTTGCTTGTTGGGAAGGTTGCCTGTTCAAATACCGTCCCTAGGCGTCTAAACTTAGTGCCTAACTCTTCATATAATATTAAAAAAAATTTCAAAATTTTTAAAAATATTTTTTTCAATTTTTCCCTCATTTTCCTTTCCTTTTTTAACCTCCCAAAAGGCTAATTTTCTCAATTCTTATCCCCTTGTAAGTACATATATACTTTTACTATCTACACATAGTCAATCCCCATTAACACACACCAACTTCATCCATTCATTGACCAACGTCCATTTCCGTAGGGAAATTTTTGCGCGCACCGTCCAAAAGCTTTTCAATCTATTTTTGCTTCAGTGGCACATTCCTCCCCTTTCTTCCCCCTTCATTTTTAAATAAAAACGAGGTAAAAAAGGGAGAGAAGGAAAATTCATTTTGCGCCAACCAACTGTGCCAGCCACATAATATATTATTATCCACAACACTCATCTCTCCTTTTAAATTCATTTTGTGGCCAAGAAGGGGATGTTGGTGGTTGTTAGGTAGAAAAGTGGTCAATGGCCTAGTTACCTTTTTTAAGAGGGGAGTAAATGGATTTTATTTTTATGACTAGAAATATCCTTGAAAATTTCTTTAAAAATTTTTGATTAAAAAAATAGAGAAGAAAAAGTGTCATAAAAATTCTTCGTGGTCACTTCTCTCTAATTTCTTTTGGGAATTTTAAAATTAAAAAGAAATACCTCTCCGTTTCCCTCAGTTTCCCTCAATGGAAGCGGAGGGGGAAGAGGTTTTAATTTTGTAAAGGATGAGTGATGAAATTGAGTAAAGGAGACTTTAAATGAGAGGAATTTGGAAGTGATGAAATTGAGTAAAACAGGAATTGAGTGAAGAAGATTAAATTGAGGGGATAACTAGCAAAATTGAGGGGAGAATTTAAAAAAATATTGGTGAGCGACAAAATGCCACCACCCCAAAAATTCGACAAAATGCCTAATAGAGCCTATATTTGTGCCTTTATCAGTTATTGGATTATCACAATACTAGAAGCTTTGTTTTATTTTACTTTGTTTATTGTTTTCTCGTTTGTCTCTTCCTCTTTTTTCCAATCCCCCTCCAAATCCTTTAAACAAAATTCCAAAAAAAGAAAAAGTCTAAATATCCCGCGGGGCCATATATCCTTCCTTCTCTCCCTTACCAAGTAACGGTGTATTAGAGTGGTCATTGTTGTTTCCTCTCTCCCTCATCAATAAAATTGTGTTGAAAGGAGGGAATAAATAAAGAAGACTAATTGTTGTAAAGGGGAAGGAATGAAGAAGAAAAATCCCCCAAAAACTTGCCGTCATTGAGGGCTTGTTACAATAAATAGAGGGAAGGTTCTAAATGATGAATGGGTTAAAAACAGATAAAAATAAAAAGGAGGATATCTAAATACTCGACAAATTGGTATGTAGTAAATAAAGGAGAGATGTTGTTGATTGAATAAATTATTTAAAAAAAGGGAGAGGAAAAACTTTTAATGTGGCCGCCGGGTTGGGATCTGTGGACCGACATTTGCGAACATAAATAAGCCCCTAGATTGGACTCCTTTCTGGGATTTTCTAGGATTATTTCTTTGAATTTTTACTAATTAAGCTTTTGCAAGAAAATAAAATTTATATTTCTCATATATTCTCCCCTCCAATATCTTAAAGAAAATTCAAAAAATTTTTATTGGCATCCTTATGCAAATAATAAAAAAATAAAAACAATAGAAACCCCAAATGTCTGCTACCAAAAAATATTTTTTTCTATATTATTTGACCTATCATTCAACAGCTGTGGCCTTTTTTGAAGGAAATAATTTGGACAAAAAAAGAGAATATCCCTCAAAACACACAACAATAGGGAGTGTGCAATGGCCCAAATTTTTTAAAAAATATTTTTGTCAATAAATAGTATACAACTTTTAATGATTGAATGAAACTTGTGGGGAGATTAATTGTTATTTATATTTTTGACAAATTAGTGGAAAGATGAAATGAGAGAAAATCAAGAGAGATTTTAGGGATATATTGGGTTAACGACATTTGCGAACATGTATGATTTAGCGACATTTGTGAACATTTATGGGTTAACAACATTTGCGGACTGCAAAATTTATTTTAATTTTTAAATTTATTTTTAGCGTATAACCGACCTTTGTCGTGCCAAAAGAAAATGTAGGCTTAAGGTAGAACCGGAAGTATTTGGAGAAAAGGACCCTTGCCCTAATACAGGAAAATATTTACAAATTGGCTATAAATGCACACCAGGTGTGTTTATTTTAAGAAAGAATAAAAAATAATATTTTTTAGTCTCTTTCGAGGACCAAAACTTTTGTGAAGGCCAACAGACGAGATTAGGCTGTGCGCGAGGCCAACGTCTCTCTATTTATTCGGCACACTATGGACGGTCATCGAACGGACAACAAACTTATTGTGGAGGGAAAGGACAACAAAAACAAGAAGGAAATTTTGTTAGGGGGAATAAAAATGTTCGACAACTATCCTCAAACGGTCAGTTTGTTTGTTTAAATAAATACATGTTTTAAATACATGTTTTTATAAAATTCTGATTCTTAAATATTCTGATTTTGTTTAGTTGTGTTTTTATGAAATTCTGATTGTGTTTTGTCTTTGTTTTTATTAAATTCTGATTTTGTTTTAGCTGTGTTTCTATTAAATTCTGATTGTGTTTTAGTTGTGTTTTTATAAAATTCTGATTGTGTTTTAGTTGTGTTTTTCTTAAATTCTGATTGTGTTTTAGCTGTGTTTCTACTAAATTCTGATTATGTTTTAGTTATGCTTTTATGAAATTCTGATTGTATTTTTCATGTTTGTCAAAAATTCTGTTTCAGTTTAAGTGTTTAATTCAATTTATTATTTACACACAAAAAGAAACTAAAATAGAAATAATCTATTTAAGTAAATAGGAAAAGAAAAAGCTTTCTGTTTGTCATCTTGTTAGAATAATTTGCCTAATTATGGGATTGACACTAGCAAAATGTGAAAATAAATTTATGTAAATTATATATTTTTCTAGAGGAAATGGAAAAGGCTTTAAGTAAAAATTATTTTTAATTTAGGGTCAAAAATTTGTAGAAAATCCGCAGCCCCCCCCCTCTCCCCCATCATCTACACAAGTGTCTGAATCCTATTTTTAATATTAAATTGTCAATTATTTTCTATCTAATTTCCCTTTTTTCTCCCAACCATTTAATTGTCAAATAAAAATGTCGGCAAACATCAAGAAAGTTGTTAAAACAAATTATGAGAATAAAATGAAAAGAAAATTAAATCGCCGGAAAATAATTGTGTGTGAATTGTTTTGAGGAACAAATAAAAGAAAATTATTGGCCTATTGTGGGAAAAAACAGAAGAAAATAAAAATTAAAATCAGAATTATTAAACAACTCAGAAAAAATCAGAATAATTTTAAAAAATCTGAAAAAATCAGAATAATTCTAACAAATCGGAAACCAAAAATCAGAATTTAGAGAATCAGAAAGAAAACAAAAATCAGAATTAATTTAGAAAATAAGAAAGAAACCAGAATAATTCTAAAAATCAGAATTCTAAAAAACCAGAAAAAACAAAATCAGAATAAATCTAAATATTTATTTAGATTGTCTACTCGATGTACTTCCACAAATAGCCAGTCATTGCCATGCTCAACCCTGGTGTTCATTTCAAGTAAATGATTACTTTTTAGGCAATCCATGTCAACAACAAAATAATCTAAAATATTTGAGTGTTATTTTTGCCTGTGTTGACGAAGAAGTATTTAGCGAAGGGGCATTAAGTGGAAGACTTGAAGCTATGGGGCAATTGAAAAAGGAACTAGACTCATTCCAACGTCAAAACAATTCTAATAATTTAATCCCTCAAAAATCAACCAATCCTCGAATTGAAAGACATCCTCTGTTAGCTGAGGATGACGAGGAGGAAGATGAAAATGAAGATTTTGACCATGAAGATGAGGAGGAAGATGAATATGGTGATAAAAAGAAGAAAAAGGAAGAAGGTGAAAATAATTTGATTAAATTAGATGAAGTAGGAGAGAAAAATGAAGAGGTGATACAAGTCAAAGAGAAGGAAACGTTTGAGAATATTAAAGAGAAAACAATTCCGATAATTCCGGAAAAAGAAAGCAGCAATCAGGAAGAAAGGGATATAATTAATATTAATAATAATGTTGATTGGAAACCTGCTTGGCCTTTATTAAATGATAGACGTCATGAAGGTAGTAAAATTAAAAACTATTTTTTAATCCCCAAATATTTTTTCAAGCTTTATTATTTCTTTTGCTCCTATTGTCTTTCTTTTTGAGCATTCTTATTTTACTTTGTGCTTGTCTTATGTGGCAATGCCGAGCACGTGCTAAAGAACGCCGTGATCGAAGACGGGCAGAAGAGCGTGAAGCGGCCGCTAACTTAAGGCTTTGTCATGGATTTGGGTGTGGTAGTGGAGGTAATAGAAGAGAGGAACTTAAATCCATAAAAACATTTCCTAAGGTGTTGTCTATCCCGATTCATCCGAAGGGGGCAGCAGTCACCGCCTCATTTCTTCATTTCAGCCACCACCCCCTCCCCCAATATCATTGCCATCAGCAGCAACCCATTCATTTGGTGGTGGGCATTATTCAACAGATATTTACCATGGATGTTATGGACCAACAACGGCGAGTTCAGGGCCTGGAAGTATTTATGGGGGTGGTGGGGGAGGGATGATAAATTGTCAACAACATTGGAATGGATTTATTGGTGGAAATAATTTATTAGATAATGAAGGAGAAGAAAGTACTGAATTATTAAGAAAATTTAATAATCAACAATCTATACAACACCAACAACAACCCTCTTCTTTGCATAGATATAGCTAATTAAAATAAATACTATATATTACCTAAATATCTTATTAATACACGCATATCTATGATCTCACAACAATTGACCATGTTTTATTGATTTTTCCGGAAAAGTTTTACGGAAGATGTTTGCTTCCCAGTTTACCCTATTAGAGCTAAAAACAAAATAGCCGCAAACATGTTTTTCTGAAAATGTTTGTTCGGACAAACATTTAAACCGGGAATGTTTTTCTAGTCTAAAACAAGACACTAAAACTAGAAATGAATTGGTCAATTTTGTTTTTATTTTTATAATTTTGTTAAAATTTTAATCTGCTTAATATTAATTACATTATAATAATTAAAATAATTCACAATAAAAACAAATAAAATTCTAAATTAAAATTATTTTTCTTTTTTATTTCACTCACATTTTTATCCACAACATGCCCTCCAAAATAATCGTAAATGTCCAACAGATTCTGATACTGAAACAACTGCTTTACACATACTCCGAATAGCTGGTACAGTTTGTTGAGATGACTGGTTGTTTTTGTTGTTGTTTTGATTGTTGGATTGCTTAAAAACATTAATAAATTAAGTATTGATGTTTATGTTTTAATGTTTTTACGGAATGTTTTTACTATAATGTTTTGTTTCTGTTAATGTTTTTACTAATGTTTTGTTTTTGCTAATGTTTTTATGGTTTTCTGGATTGTTTTTATATAATGTTTTGTTTCTGTTAATGTTTTTACTAATGTTTTGTTTTTGCTAATGTTTTGGTGTTTTTATTTTTATGTTTTTCCGGATTGTTTTCTTTATGTTCAGTTGTTTCCGGAAAAAGTTTTTGAGAATCTTTAACCATTATCTAGTTTTTTCCGGATGTTTATATTGATTTCTAATTTTCACCTTGTTTATGTTTTAATAAAACTAATACCGAATGACTTTTAGCAACTTTTGCATTAGACAAACATTCATTTAACAACAAGTCCAACTTTGAGCACTCATGTTCTATAAATGCATTTAGTGGTCGATGTTTTAAAACAACATCATCTCGGCATATTACACGTCCAATTCCAACCAAAGAATGACCTTCAATATATACCTTAAAACAACAAATAATTAATTTTACTGAATAAACAAAATTACCATTTGAATTTTTTGAAAACCTGCAGGTGTTGGTTCTTTATTTTCTTCGAGTAAAACAAAAAATTGTTCAATAATAGAGCAGATTGTATCAATATGTGTTTCTACTTGTGGTTCCCATATTCTAAATAAATCTCTTTGTTCAGGTGCCAAAGAACGAGCCAATTCGGCATTAACTCGACAAATACCAAGCTTTGAGGATAATACTCCAGTATTACAGAAATGTCGATTAGGTGGTGATAATTGATGTTGTTGTCCACCTTCAGTTGTTGTATTAGAATCAACACTTAATACACTAGCCAAATCATCTTCTTCTAGTACCAAATCAGTATTTTCAATATTATTATCTCTCTCATTTGATATTTGTTCTGGTTGTTGCTGCTGTTTTAATTGTTTTTGTGGAGTTGTTTGTTCAAGCGTTGTTTGCACTGAGCTTGTTGTAGAAGATGTTGATTCCCCTCCATCCATTATATCAGCCAATCCTTTTGAATTCTAAAGTTTTAAAAATAATCTATAGAATTGTTTCAGATGCATGCTTATGTTAGCTGGGAAATGTTTTTAGATCTTTACGGGAAATGTTTTAAATGTTTAACCGGAAACCATTCTAAATGTTTAACCGTAAATGTTTTTAGATGTTTTCGTTTAAAATCTTTTGTTAGCTGTTTTAATTTTTTATATTTTCCTGATTGTTTTAACAATGTTTTGGAAATAAATTTAATTTAATACCTTCTCTCTCATCTCTTCCTCCCCGCCAGACGATGAATAATAAAAATTTTGAAGTGAAGATGTTGGAGAAGGTTGACGATAAAGTGGAAAATGCGGAAGGGGAAATAAACCATCATTACTATTTTGCTGCCTTTGAGGTTTAGAAGTATTTGACGAAGGTAAGAAAACAACTGCTGGAAGTTGTCCTGGACGTTGCGGATCTGACCAAGCAGAGAGTGAGGAAACCCATTGAACAAGTTTAGCACAGTCTCTGGGAAGCTATAAATTTAATTTTTATTTTTGGTTAGTTGTTTAAAAAAAATTACTTGAGGAAGAAGAGCCACAACTTGATCGAGAGCATCATGTCCAACAATATTGCCACGAGGGCGTGCCAATGTTGAAAGTAGCCAACCAGTAGAATCAAGAGAAGAACGCAATCTATTTTTGAAAGAAAAAATGAATGAAAAATTAAAATAAGTTACCGTCTCAACAAAGTTAAAGAATATTCACAAGGTTGGAATAATAGCCTTAAATGCTCTTGTCGAGGATCTCTCCTATGTAAAGAAATTCGTCCCAATGTTTCAACTAACTCGTCAAGAGCAATTTCAACAGTATAACTGCAAAAATAATTTTTGAATTCAAAAATAAAATTTAAAAAAAACATTGTGTCACGTATAGCACCCAAATTATGGCGAAGAATATGTGGTTGCCTCCATCCACCAATTTCTAAGCTAACATTCACAAATTGTCCCATTTTTAAAGCACCAATTTCAATTACTTTTGCACAGTCATTTAATTGAGAACATAAAAATCTTTTTCGAAGTTGAGCTTTTGCCTCTAAAGCAGCAGAAGATGATGAAGAATTTGGCACAATTTTATTATTTATATAAAATTCTTCGCTATCTGTCACGCTATCCAAAGCATCTATTTCATCATCTGGTAGCTCTTCAGCATTGTAAATATCATCATCCAAATCATCATTACTATCACCTCCACTTTCACTGTAGTCAGGGGGAGGACTGGAATAAAAAAATTTTTTCTTATAAATTTTAAAAATGTTTCATCACAAACCCATCAAACGGAGCATAAAAATGTTGTACAAGATTATCATTGAATGTAACACCTCTTCTAAAAAATTTCAAATTAAAAAAAATATAAAGGTGTAAAAACCTGGGTGGTGCCTCAGAAATAACTTTATTTTGTCCCTCATTTGCCACATCGTTTTCATCAATAGTTGGGGAATTAGCTCTAGGAGTGTTTGTAGTATTTGTAGATGGATTATTAATACAAAATTGGTTATTATTTTGATTGTCATCCATTGAAAAGTTAAACGAGGATGATGATGGCTCTAAATAAAAATTTTAGTTTACACAATAAAAAAACAAATAAACCATCCAAAGCAAAATTAGTAGCAGTTTGTGTTGGCGTTGCAGATCCAGAAGATGAAGAAAATGCGGTATTTGTAGAGGTACCTCTATGCAATATTGATGGAAGTGAAGGGGGTAGAAGTTTTTTATTATTATTAAATTGTTGATCTTCGATGGCAGAAGGAAGGGAAGAGAGAGAAGATAGATGGCTGGGTTGCTAAAAAATATTAAAATAGAAAAAAAATATTAAAAATTTTTTTAACCTCAAAAACAATAGGAGACGCCGTAACAGAACAACAATATGGCTGACTTAAATAAATAGGTTGTTCTGTTTTAGCAATATATAATTTAGGTTGTGGTGTAGTTGACTGAATTGCTATTATTTGTTGTTGTGGTTGGTTTTGAGCAAAATTATTATTTTTATTATTATTTTCAGCATCTTGTTGATATTGATAATGAACAAATTCATTTGGATCTGAAAATAAAAATATTTTTTAGAAAATTTTTTACAAAATACCAAATTGTTCCAAACTGCGTATTGCTTCTTCAACGGCATCCATCTTCTCGCTACTCTCATTATTTTCAGAATTTTTATTTTGATTATTTGTTGCAAATTTTGTTAAACAAAGTTTTGATGGAGTTAAAAACATTGAGCGTGACATAAAGTTTTTTTGTTGTTTTGAATGTTCGTTTGAATCAGAAGAATTTGATAAAGTGTCTGTTGATGTTAATGAAGTTGTTTCTTGTAATTTGCCTTTTGTTTTTGCTAAATAGATTGTTTATAAAAAGAAAAAAACTAAAAACCGGAAAGTTTGTTTACGGGAAAAAATTTTATTGTTTAGTTAAAAAATCGTTTTTAAGACCGGAAAAACATTTGTTTTCCAACCGGAAGCATCGAACGGAAAACATCCTTCCCAAACCTAAAACATTGTTTACGTTCGGAAAAACATTCTTTTCGAACGGAAAACATTCTTTCCGGTTATTTTAATTTTTTTAATTCAACCTGAAACATTTTCTTCATTATTATTGTTTCCACTATTATTACTACTTGTACTATTTTTCCGTAAAGGTCGATAACGCAAAAGTGATTGTCTTAATGCTGCAAGACTTGGAGATTTTATACGCTGACGTGATTGAGGTAAATTATTAATATTATTTTTTGTTGTTGATATATTTGAGGAAGATGAAGCTAATGGAGAGGCAGAAATTGAAGCAGAACAAGAAGAAGACGATTCTAATGATTGGGTAGTTGATAAAAGACTGGAAGAATCTTCTGAAACTATTTTTGTTGTTTTGTCATTTTCTTCTCGATTTTCTTGCTTCATATTTTTATTATTTGGTAATTGAATAGAAGAAGAAATTTGTTGCTTTTCTTTTTGCTCAGAAAATTGTTGTTGTGGTGAGGATTCAGCTGCAGCAAATAAAATAATTGAAGGTTCAGAATCACGACGAGGAAGTAAAGGAAGTGTTTTATTTAATCCATTTCTTGAAGATAAATCTGTTGCTTCAACACTTCTATTTCGAATTTGTTGTTGGGCTGAATTGTTGTTGTTGTTGAAATTTATATTAGCGGTGTTTGGAGTAGAAAATGCTTAAAAAGTTTGTTTAAATTATAGATGTTTTGTTTGTTTTAAAAGATGTTTGTTTGTCTTAACATTAGATGTTTTTAACAATAAAGTTTGTCATATGTTTTAATCAAAATTTAAAAAAACCTTGTTTTTCACTTGTTTGGTTACGTCTGAACAAATGTTGTAAAGGAAAATTGCTGCTACTGTTGTTGTAATTAGTTTGTTGATGTTTTGTTTCATTTGTTTTGTTTGAATTTGTTGGAAAAGTTGTTTGTGATGTTGTAATTGCTCCAGTATTGTTTAATTTATTATTTGAAAGATTGGATGGACGGCTAAATTGTTGTTGTTCTTTCATTAATTTATTTTTGTCAGAGTTGAAACTAAAAAAATATTTTTCTCCTAAAAATTTTTAAAAAATTTTCTTTAAAATTTTTTCCTTATTTTCCTATTTTAATATCCCTACTCGATATTTTGATAATGAGATTTTGGTTTTTTATCTTCTTCATCCTCTCTTTGATGAAATAGTGAAGGTGTAGAAATTGCACTCATACTTTAAAAAATAATTTTTATTTGAAAAAAGAAAAGAAAAAAAACCTTCCCAATAATCCACCAATTCTTCTACGAAAAGGTATAGCAGAATAATGAACATTTTGTTGTTGCTGTTGTTTATTTAAATTATTATTTGATAATTCTAATTTTCCATTTTTTTCTTTTTGATTTTTAAGAAGACTTTTATTTTCAATTTCTTGCTCTTTTTGAGATATTGGTATTGAATAAAATGTTACTGTTGAACCATTACCAAAACCAGACGAATTTGTTGTTGTATGATTATTTGAAGGTCGAGATAAAGAATTATAATTATTAATTTCTTTTGATGAATTAGCTTGAAAATTTTTAATTTAGAAAATTTAAAAAAATTATTTTTAAAAATCCGAAAATTTTGACAGCAAAAAAGTCGTTTTCAAAATTTCTTTAATTTAAAAAAAACCGTAATGATTAGCATCTTCAATAAATTCTCTATTATTCTGTTGTTGTTGAATAAAAACAGCAGGAATGTTTTTAGAATTTTCTCTTTCAGCAATTCTCTTAGCTTGTTGTGGGGTCCAAAATAATGAAGAAAATTGACGGCGCAAATCAGGCGAAGAAATTGGGGAGAAATTTTTATTATTAAAATTGTTTTCTGATGACAATGAAGTTGACAAATCCATCCTTTCAGGAGTATTTAATAAAGATGATTGTTGTTGTTCAAATAATGGTTGTTGTTGGTGTTCTCTTTGGTGCTATAAATTAAAAAAATTTTGGTTTTAATTTAAATTTAAAAATTTAAAAAAATTTATACAAATTCAGAGTTAACCCGAAACCCACGGATTTTAAGAAAAAAAGGGATTTCGGAAAAACTAGGGAGTTCGAGAGAAAAAATACTCACAGGCTTTTTGGCTATGTGCACCTTATTTTATATATACTACTATTTTCAAATTATTTTTTCCAAAATTTTTTCTTTAAAAAAATAATTTAATAATAATAAAGGAACGAGTTTCCTCCTAAAAATCACACACACCCCAACAAATGCTAACTTGTAAAAATATTAGCAAAATAAATATATCCCTTTCATCTTGAGAGTGTATTTTTATATATTATTGATGAAAAACAAAAAAAATAAAAAGGAACAACTAAAAAGATTTTATCAAAAAAGCTTGATCCTCCCTCCCTCAAAAACTTTGGGGCTGTGTGTGTGCACTTTTATTTTTGCAATTATTGGCGTTATGGCGTTTTTGCAAAAAATCTTTTTTAACGCTCACCTAGGCTTATTTCTAAAAAATATTTTTTTGGTGTAATTTTTGGGCGTGTTCGGAAAAAAGAGAGAGAGGCACTTTTGCTATTTTTATATTTTAATTGATACGGATGCAACAAACGGAAAAAGAGAAAAGGAAAGGGAGAAAGAATTTCCCGTCAAACTTGATTAATTGGGAGCTAATTAAATATTGAGAGAAAAAATAAATTCAAAAAAATAAATTTAAAAAATATATTTTTTTTAAATAACGAGCAAAAAAGCTTAAAAATAGATTTAAAAATAGACTCAGAAATATTTTCAAAAAAAATTTTTTTCGCAAAGAAAAATTTCCCAACAAAATTTTAATTAGTCTTTCCCCAATTTCTTAACCAAATTTTTTAATTTTGTTCTTTCTTTCCCTTTTTTATTAAAAAAAATTTTAAACCTTTGATGATAAATTATCGGGAGTATCCAACACACGAATAGGAATGTTTCGAACAACACTGCCGCCATTTCCGGTGACCCCCACACCACCCACAGCACTTCCTCCACCTCCTTCCCTTCTTCCGCCACTATCACTTAAACGATTGTTGTTGGGTAATAAACCTTTTGTACCTAAAAATTAAATTAATTAAATTAATTAATTAGTTAAAAACACGTAACCATTGCTAAAAAGTGCTTGAGGTATTCGTTCATTAAGAAAAGTTGGGGAACGAAAGAATGGAGGGGGTGATGAAATTGGACAGTTGTTGTTGTTATTGTTGCTTATTTTTTTGATATTATAATCTTGCATTAAAAAGAGCTCACAGACCCGTTCTTGGAGGCACTAAAAAGATTAAATTTTTTTAATTTGAAATTTTTTTTTCAAATTTTTAGTACTTTCCATTATATGCCCACAAATTCTGCAAATTTATTTGCTGTACCTCAGCAAGTGACCAGGCCAAAGTCCTTCGATTATAAAAATTAAAGGACCAAAAATTGACTCGAATGATTCTTGGCAAAATTAAATATCCAAATAAATCATCTCTGGGAAAAAAAATTGTGTGTGGGCATATAACGGAAAAATATCAAAAATTTTGACTTAATGTCCAATAAAATAAAAAAATAAATTGGAGGGAGACCTTTCCCCCAATAAAAATAAGAAAAAATTTAAAATACCTAAAAATAAAAGGTGTGATTGAGAGAAAAAAGGTTATAAAATAGCAGCGCTATTCTTCTTTCTAATAAAATTTCTGCTGCGCGAAATTTTGTCTTTTACTTATTGTTTTTGATTGTTTTTGGGTTTAAAAGAAGGAAGAAAACCCCGCGTAAAAGGTGTGTGGAAAAAGGAAATATAAACACAAGGTCGAAAAGTGCACATAAAAATAAATTTATTAATATATAATTGAAATAGAAAATTGTTTGAAGAAAGAAGAAAATGGTTTAAAAAGTCTCGCGCTAAAAACAAAAAAAATATTGATAAAAATTAATTTAGAAATAATAGAGGAGGTCTAATTTTGTAATCCTATCAAATTTAAGTAAAAATAACCAGGGAAGTCGCGGGATGAGAAAGAAAGTTGGGTCGTCAGTTAGGGAATTAAATAGGGAAAAAGTCGGGTCGGGTTTTGAGTTCCGCGACGGAAAAACTCCGGGGTTCGGGTAACCTTTGATAGCCTTGGTAGACGGTGAATCGTCTATAAGGTGAATTGTATATTTAAATTAAATATTTAAATTGAAAGGGAAAAAAGTTGGGGAAGAAATAATTAAATAAATATAAATTCAAGTTTTAAAAGAAATACAAAAAAATACAAAAAAAATAAAAGTTTTGGCTGACTGCACATTATGTGTATGTGTATTTATAAAAAATAATATTATTACTATTTGCTTCTTCACGTAATTTTTTGTATATTTAATCGAAAAATATTTTTTAAATTAATTAATACTCTTTTAATTTTAGAAAAATAAATATCTCCGGTCAGGTTTCGAACCACCCCTCGGTCACTTGAACTTTTTCTAGAATTATAACCACTTAACAGTCAAAAATAAAAAATGCCCAGCCACACAAGAGAGAACACCGAAGAAAAAACAGGAGAATTAATTAATTAATAAAAAATTTAAAAAAAGGATAAAGAGAAGAGGAAAAAATATTAAAGTGAAAATAAAAAGAAGAAAATTGAAATTGTTTGTTTAATGATTTTTATTTTTGAAGAATTAATCATTTTTAAAGAATTTTGATTTAAAATTAAAATAAAAAAATTTTTTTCTAATTTTTCGGTACTTTCCCCCACTATCCATTCCTAGTCCAAGTCATAGAGTTTTCCATAAAATATAAATAACGTATGTCAGACTTCCTCATGTTAACTCTAGTTTGACCATTATGCACATATTAAAGAAAACTGAGACTGAAACTAGAGGAGGGTAGAGGGTGGAAGGAAGAAGGAAGAAAGTGAGGGGGAAAGGGGAGGATATCCAAAAAATACCAAATTGTTTTTATTTAATTAATTTTTAAAGTTTTTTTGTCCAAAAAATATAATCAAAAAAATACGTAATAAACCAACGATGCATAAAAATAAATAAAAAAAGCTTGAAAGAAATTAAGAGGAGGAACTGATTGAAGAATGACGAGGAAACTGAAGGAAGATGAAAAAAAGAAGAAAAATAAAAAGCATTTCCCCCTCCTTCTAGCCACCATTAAAAGAAAAAAGGAAGGCGTAATTTGGCGCATACAAAACAAGCAACCAACAACAGTTATAAATACAAATTTAGTTATTTACTTGTTTGCGCAAATTGTGTATATTTAGTTAGTTAAACAAGTCTCTAGAAAAACATTAGGAAAAGATAAAAAAAAAGTTGTGTTTTTTAAGATGAATTAAGAAATTGGAGAAAATAGAAGAAAAAAGAATCACCAAAAAGGTTTCCCCTATTTCAGGTATAGAAACTGCCACAAGTTGAGAAAAGGGGGCGGGAAAAGCCCTGGGTTCGGATTCCCTGGTAAAAACCAAAGAAAAATTTTTAGTAGAATCTAGCCATGGTTTTAATTAAAAAAAGAAGCGAGGACTGATTCAATCATGAATTTAGGTTAATATTTAAGTAAAAATAAGAAGAAAATAAAGTAAGAAAGATAAAAGAGATGTGGAGCTTTTAAAGCTGTGCATTATGACCTTGGGATTACTTAAAAGGATTAGGGGAGAAATAATGTAAAGAAAGAAACTTTTGGATTAATTAAGGGAAGATGAAGAGAGGAAGGAGAGATGAAGAGAGGGGGACATTTGCGGGAAGCAAAAGAGATAATTGGGGATAACTATTTAAATAAAAATAAAATTTCAATTTGCCCTTAACCGAACAAAGTTTAGACTGAAATGCCGGACATCTAGGACATAAAAACAGCCAGATTTTAGGGACCGACGAAGATTCGCCTTTACTAGATATTTCCCAAAAATACTTGTTAAAAAAGAAGCAAACCTTTTCTAATAAACTTTGTTGTTGTCCTTCTTCCAGCCCTTTTCTCCATTTACTTCCACTTGCCGACATCTTGTGTTATTTAACCAAGTTAAAAACTGAATCTTGAGGGCTCTGTTAATTGCCTGGAGTTGAAGAAAATCCAAAGAAATCCAACAAATTAGTCGATGTTCATAAAATAAATTTTTTCCCGTTGATTTTTTGATGTTTTTTGGCTGATTTTTTGGATGATTTTGTTGTTATTTATGAATTAATTGAATAAATATTTATTTATGTAAATCTAAAAATTAATGAAAATTAACTTGTTATTAAATAAAACTGGAAAATAACGAAGAAAAAATTTTTTATTAACAAAAAACAAGGTTAAACTACAAAAAAATTATTTTTCAAAAGTTGCTTTGATTATTTTATAATCATTTTATTATTTTTTTCTTTTCGTTATTTTCCGTTAAAAAAGAGAGTTGCCCTACTTTTTATGAAAATAAAAAAATTAGAGAGAGACTTTCCGGAATTAAGAGCAGTTATTATTTAATAAAATGTTTTTGGAGGGGTTGTTGCGGTTTCTTTTTGTTTTTGGGTGAATAAGAGAAAATAAAAAATAAGGTAAATAAACCAGGGATGTGCACTACCGGTTGTTAACCGGTACCCCCGGGTTTAGGTTATGGCCGGTGCTAGCCAACTCCCGGGTTTCGGCCTCCGTTAATTCACTAAATACACAGGGGCATAAACCAGGGATGTCAGGGTTGAGAAAAAAGTCAGGTAGGATTTCAGGTTTTAAAATTTTCTTCAGATCGGAATTACGGTTTCAAAAATAGGGGGTTTCCAGGTTCTCTGATTCTTAGGGTTTCGGATTTCGGGTTCCAAAAAATATAGTTTCGTATTTCGAGTCGGAAAAAAGTCCGAGTTTAGCATAACCCGGTACATCCCTCGTATAAATAAAAAGGCTTTAATATACCCATAAATAATTTTAAAAAAAGAAAAAAAACCTGAGTTTATATAAATTACCAAAAATAGTCGTGTCATCTTTCAAGTAAGAATAAAGTTGTTGGGGGAGTATATTAAAAGTTTTGGGTGGTGATGGACATTGTCGGAAGTAGCTATTTTGTAAAAAATGATGATGAGAGTAATAAATTAGTTGTAACATTCCAAAATTGAAAATAAATTTTGTAAAAATCATCTAAAAATAAAATTGTCTTTTTCTCATGGAAATAAAAATTTGGGAGGAAATAATGTGGGAAATTAAAAGAAAAACTTTTTTTTTAACTCGTGAAAGACGGGGAGAATAATTAAACATTTTTTGCATATTAAGAACAAAGGTTGGGTACGTCTTCGAGTTTCAATACAACTTTGGGGTTTGGAAAATCGTCTGTAAAAAATCCGCTTAGTTTAGGCAGTTAGTCTCTCCCAATGGCCCACAAAATTTAAAAAATGTAAATGTCGCGTGACCAAATTTAATATTTTTCATTATTTACCGAAATGAAAAATGACGACATAAAATATTTTAAAATTTGCTTATGTAAAATATTGTTTTGGGATTCTAGAATATTTATAACTAGTTTCCATTTTGAAATTTACAAAAAGAATATTCTGGCGGGAGAAAAGCCCGCCAGTTTTTGTTTTTTAGTCTTCTCTCTATGATGTTTTAAATTTTTTTCTCTAATTGTACATGTTTGAGTGTCTGATCGAGTTTACATTATGAAATTTACATTTTGAAATTTACAAAAAGTAAAAAGCCCGCCATTTTTTCCCGCCACTTTTCTGACGGACTTTTCCGCTTGGGTACTTTAAAGTTTTCTCTTTACCTTTCTTTTAGAAAATATATAGAATAAGACTCTAATGTTCCCTCAGAGAGATAATTTTCTTCTCTAATTAGTACATGTTTTTGAGTTTCATTTCTTGCTTTTGATAGAGAGAAAGATTATATTGATTTGTTTGCGTCTCTCGTTTATCGATGTCCTTTTTGTTTGTTTGAAAAACACTTTTGTGGACCTAGTCCAAAAATGAATATCACTATTTATTTATTATTTTTTTTCTAAAAACAATTTTTTAGGCAATAACAATTTAAAATTGATGAAGAATAATTTCATCAAAATGCCTCAACAACAACGTTCTTCAATAAACAACATTTATTTCAACGCCCACCAATTGTGAATCATTCATTTCTCCAACAACATTGGAAAGGATTCTTGTCTTCTGCTTCAATTGTCAACAAAAATTGTTTCAAAACACCTTCACCAGCTTTTCCTGTTTCATCAGGTTTTTTTTGATTTTGATATCTTTATCTGTATTTTATTTTATAGCAATGCTTGCCACACGAAATGCTGCTGCACACCAAATGCTGCTGTTGGGGGGGGGAGGTTTGGGGGAACCACTTTGGGAAACATCGAATGGGTTGAACAGTATAAGGCGAAACCTTAACTGTTAATTTTCTGAATTATTTTAATTATTTTTTTTGCAGCCTGCTAGTTTATGTTTGGTTGGAAAAATTTTTGGTGGTTTGGTTTTCGGAGGTTTTTTGTCTTTAAAAAATAGTTTTTAGATTTTATTTTCCAATGGTTGCAGTAGATGGTGATTAAAAATAGATTAATGCTTCGATTGCATTTTGTTAGTCGTGGGGTCTCTGGATTTCATGTGGTCGTCCCACATATTTTGTCCGGGATTACTGACTGTCAGGGTCTTTTTGACTTACTGACCCGTCAGGGTTTTATAACTTACTGACTGTCAGGGTCTTCTTGACTTACTGACCCGTCAGGGCTTCGATTGCATTTTTTAGTCATGGGGTCTCTAAATTTAATGTGGTCGTCCCACATATTTTGTCCGGGATTACTGACTGTCAGGGTCTTTTTGACTTACTGACCCGTCAGGGTTTTATAACTTACTGACTGTCAGGGTCTTTTTGACTTACTGACCCGTCAGGGTTTTATAACCTACTGACTGTCAGGGTCTTCTTGACTTACTGACCCGTCAGGGCTTCGATTGCATTTTTTAGCCATGGGGTCTCTAAATTTAATGTGGTCGTCCCACATATTTTATCCGGGATTACTGACTGTCAGGGTCTTTTTGACTTACTGACCCGTCAGGGCTTCGATTGCATTATTTTGTCCGGGATTTCTCCCTAGGTCGGTCTTTGGGTCTTTTCTGGTGACTGTCAGGGTCTTTTTGACTTACTTTGAATGAGGACTATCTTTTATTTGAGCAGCATATTATTCTTTTCTGGACAGCGCTTTTTTGGACGGCTTTGCGGTGTGTAGAAAATGAAGGACGCGCGCGGAATTTTTAAGGTTTGTTTTTATTTTATTTGTTTCGTTAGGGTTTCCCTTAATACTGTTCTAAATAGAGTCGGTATAATCCTTTCCCATTATATGCCTTGGTATGGGTGATTTTGATCCAGCATTTTCTCGACCTCACAAACTATATTTGTCCCTTGAGTTCCATTGGTTCGGTTAGGTTCCACCGCCGTCTTCATTACCAATTCAGTGTCAATCACTCAAGCTTCATCAATGCCTCTATCTGCTCCATCAGGTTTTTAAATTTTTATTTATTTATATTTTTATTTTCACAATCTCGCCTATGTTTGAGAAGCAATGTTTCGCCATGAATCTGAATTGGTCAGCAACTTGGCTGAGACGATGAAAAAGGTTTTATTTTATTCTTTATTTCTTGGTTTGGAACTTGTGTTGTTGCGGTCTATTTTCTAAAAGGTGTAACCAATCTAAGTTAAAATATGAAATGTGAATGATTTGTTTATGTTAAGTTAGTAGTGTCCTTGATATGTCCTTTTCTGAGGTTCAAGGTTCGATTCCTCTCCATGCCTACGTTTTTATTTTTATAAAAATTTATATGTATTTTCCAAAAAGCGGTTCGAAACCTTTCAAAAGCATTTTTTGACTACTTTATAACACTTGGAATCGGGCAAATTTTTTGCGATTAAAACAGTAAAAATTCTCTTCAAGATCCTTTTAGGAAGATTTTTGGGTGATGTATTCGAAAATTGAGGGTTGTTTTGAGGGGGTATACCAGGCTAGGAATGTTCCTAGGCCATTTATTTTGAGGGTATTTTTGGGTACCAGATCAACGTCCAGGAGGATTTTTCGGGCAGTCGGTCCTTCTAAGAAGATGAACTCGGACTTTGTGATATTTTTCGAAGGGGTATACTCGGCTAGGGTGTCCTGGGGCCATAAATAATTCAAGTGACCGGTTCTCAACCGTTCCATTCTTTCCAGTGGGATAAAGTGTCATTTTTACTTAAAAACCAATTTCCTTTTCTTTTAGATTTTTGCCGTCCATTATCCGACATTTTACAAGCTGCTCCATTGGTACCCATGTCCCTCTTCTTACAGTTGTTCAGTGGAAGTTCAATGCCTCCTCCGTCACAGATTGCCTCTTTTCAACGTCTACAGGTTTTTATAAAGTTCTTGTGTAAATTTCCATAAATTTTTAATTTTTTCTCTTCTTTGGAAGAATTTGGACAATTTTTTTGTTGCTTTGGATAAAACATACGCTCCTGAAAACTAGGCTTGAAAGGTTATTTAATAATTTTAAGAATTCGTTTAAAAAGATTTTTAACATGTTCAACTCGGATGAACACACTAATTGGTGTTCATCCGGATGCCTCTAGGTAAAAGTAGGGTAGAAAGTTTGTGTAATCCCTCCCAATCTACCCCTTGTATAAAAAATTTAGGGAGATTTTGAGCTTGAGATGAGGTCCAAAATCACGCAAAATGCTTTTTTTCTTTCAGACTTGAACAATCCCCAACAGCAACAACAGGAAAAGCAACAACAAGATGGACATTTACTGGATTTCGAGCGAAGTGGTGCTTCTACAACAACAATACTTTTTGAATTTCGTTGTTAATCTTTTTTAATTTTCTTAATTTTTTTGACCCTATCCCAATATAAGGGCGGAATCGTTTTTTCCATTACTTTTCATTACTTTATAAAAATGGTCAATTTTCTTTAAAGTTGATGTATGTTGATGTTTGCCTTAAGGAAGAATGGAGGACAGACAATGACAGAAACACGGCGTACACAGAACACGGACGTGTACGTCCGTTTTTGTCTGTCCGAGTCTGCCCGTGTTTTTCAGTCCGTGTTTTGTCTGTCCGAGTCCGTCCGTGTTTTGGACGGACAAAACACGGACAGACAAAACACGGTAATAGTGTCGTTTCCCAGCCCCCTTTTTTTCCTCCCAATTTTCTACCCTATGTTTGTACGGAATGGTCAAATTTTCCCCTTTCTTTCATCAAATTTGCCTTTCCATATTTTGCCTAAAAACAATCAAAAAAGATTAATTTTTTATTCATTTCTTTCACAAGGATAAAAAAGTGAGACATGATGCCAAAAATTATAAAAAAACATTTTCAATATTGCCAAATCGTTTTCGCCACATAAATTCCGGGAGATAACTTTTATAGGTTTCAGTGTTGTTGCCAGCTTGATGTCTGAATTTTCGCCATGCATCGAAATCATTATCACTCAAACGTAATTTTTCAAATCAATAGGTTTGAAATTCTTTAGTTCTTCCATTTTTATTAATTGGGAAAATGATTCTTCTCATTACTCAAAATATGGAAAGGCAAATTTGATGAAAGAAAGGGGAAAATTTGACCATTCCGTACAAACATAGGGTAGAAAATTGGGAGGAAAAAAAGGGGGCTGGGAAACGACACTATTACCCAAAACACAGACGGACTCGGACATACAAAACACGGATGGTCTCGGACAGACAACACACGGACGGACACGGACAGACAAAACTCGGACGAACACGGGCAGACTCGGACAGACGTCCGTGTTTCTGTCATTGTCTGTCCTCCATTCTTCCTTAAGGCAAACATCAACATACATCAACTTTAAGGAAAATTGACCATTTTTATAGAGTAATGAAAAGTAATGGAAAAAAAACGATTCCGCCCTTATATTGGGATAGGGCCATTTTTTTTGTTTTTAATTTTTTGGTTTTTATGTTTATATAAAATGTTTTGGCTTTGTTTTTGTTGCGCTTTTTAGTAACTTAGACACGACAAAATCGTCATGAAACTGAGGTGTTCCTTAATAAACAATCTCGAGTTAATGATTTCCTGTTGTTTAGAGAAACTATAAAGAAGAAATAGTGTAGTTAGAGAAAAAAATAAATATAAGTATTTATGGCCAGTTCGGTGCTCATTTTGAGAGCGAAGTGGCAAAAGTGAAAAACCGATTTTTTTGAAAATTAAGAATTCTTTTAAATAATTTATCGATTGGTATCGATTTTATCGATTGATATCGATTTTATCGATTTTTTGAAAAGTACAAATTTTACAAAATTTGGAATATTGATTTTATCGATTGATATCGATTTATTGATTTTTTATCGATTTTTTGAAAAAAACAAATTTTACAATTTTGGAAATATTGATTTTATCGATTGATATCGATTTATTGATTTTTTATCGATTTTTTGAAAAATGGAAATTCAACAATTTTATTCTAATTGATTTTCAATTCAGTTACAGTAACCTGAACGCTCTCAACTCTCGGCACTGAACTGACCGCAACACCCTTATTTATTTTGTTCTCTAACTACACTATTTTTCGTTTAATTTTTCTCTAATTTTGAGGACGATTTTTCTTCATATAAGGGACGTTTGAGTCTTGCGGACAAAATGTGGATTTTTGGCATAACTTTTTCTGATATTAATATTATCATGGAAAAATTTATATCTTTCGAAAGCTCTCGTGAACATCACTAAGTCTGTGGCAACATTCACAATACAATATACAGGAACCGAAAGAATTTAAATTTACGATTTTTATTTTCTTAAATTAAATTATAAAATTATTAATAAAAAAAGATTCAAAGGTTATAAGCCACATAAATAGGATCCAATTGATCACGCATAAATAATTCCCTCAAATGTGCTCTTTGTTTTTCTCCTCTACTGTTAATTGGAATAGTTCCGGGGTCTAATAACACAACAATTCCAGCAATTAAATGTTGTTCTTCCAACAATGCTGAAGTTATTGCTGGAATTAAATCTAAAGCATCTGATTCTGGCGATGTTGTTTCTGCGGCAATAACGAGTAAATTTGTCCAAAGGAAGGAGGCACTGTTAGAGAAATTGTTTTTTTTAAAGTCTGGGTATGTTGTTGGAAATTATAGAATGTACAGGAAAAGAGTCCGTATTCTCCCTAATAGAATGCCCCTTTGGAAGGTAATAGAAGAATGCCCTTGCATGAGAACCTTCAGTCCGTCATACCATTTTACTACAATTTTGTCTATAATTTTAGGATTCAGGACGATTCTATACAATTCAAGTGAATTGAGTTATATTTTAAGGCATCCGAGATTCCGAAAAACTTTAAAAAAGCTATGGAGGATCCCTACGGAGTAGGGTTTCAATGAGCTTATCAGAAAAATAATTTAAATTTTTTTACAGAAAAAAATTTGTTTTAATTTAAAAAAACCTTTCGCATATTTGACGATTAGCTTTACATACACACAATTCAATATCAACAGGATGATATCTCATTCCACGCAATAATATTGTTTCATCTAAAGCGCCAACAACAAATAATGCATCGTGCAATTCTTTAAAAAAAGAAAAAATTATTTTATAAAAATTTTCTATAAAGGATAGGTCGGGATGAGAAAAAACAAGTATGGTCGGGTTCTTGAGTGATCGTGTTGCTGATTCCGGATTGAAAAAAGAACCGGATTTCGGGTCGGGTCAGAGTTTAGAGGAACTAGGAGGGAAAAAGACGTTTCGCGGTTGGAAAATTCCTCGGATCGGGGTTTCTGATTCCGGAGATTTCAATAAAAAGATCCATCTTTCGAGTATCCCTGCCCATCCCTGATTTCCCTATAAAAAATTAAAGAAAACCTCCATGTGCAGTAATTGCTTTTGTTTGTCTCAAAAATCCCAAATAACCTGTTCGCGCCCATAAAGTTTTCGTATCACCGGTAGTTAAACGAGCATTGAAATGGTCAGTTTGTTGCAATTCACCAGAAAGACAAGTAAATCCGTTTGCATTGTGCCCACTAGATACCCAAATCTTTTGAGAAAAAATTAGAAAAATTTTAAAAACAAAAATAAACCTCTCCCAAATGTGTATCTGCACATTGTCCACGTGTTTTTGGATTGGCAATAGCAACTTTAACTCCAGGTAGAAGCTGGAAAAAGGAAAAATTAATTTAAAAAGAAAACAACAATAATAACTAAAGTAAGCGTGTTAGTCTCCAAGTCGTTGATCCTATCCATTAAACCCCTTCTATTGGAAAAGCCTTCTAAAGGGGTGGGGGCCGGGTTACTCGAATCCAAAAAAAATTAGAAAACTCGATCCAAAACCCGAATCGACTTTTTTTCTCAACCCATCCCTCATCTACACACATCTATCATTTTTAATTAAAAGCCTAGCCCCATAACCCTCATACTTAACAAAAAAGTTAAAAAAAAATAAAACCTTTCCACTTTCCATTAAACAAATACTGTGTGGAGCACCTTTTTCAACCAAAGTTACTCTATCATTTCTTAAAGCTCTAGCATCAACATAAACTGTTGTAGGGTCTGGACAAGAAGCACTTTGCATACAAATTGCAGGATTTACACGACAACCAAAAGCTGTACTAACTGATCTAGATGATAAACCCAATGGTGCAAACAATTTAACAAATGCAGTACATAAAGAAACACGTGGACGTTCTTCAGCAATGATTATACAATTACGAAGACTGAAAAAATATAATATTAAAAAAAAAAATTTTTCTAAGCTAACTTTTTAAAGAAAATAGTTTTTTTTAGTAAAAAAGAAAAAAATTTCCCCGAAGGGGTAATCGAACCATACTAAAAAACTCATAGACGAGAACTCTAACCACTACACCACCACCTCTTTTTATAGAAAAATAATTTATGCATATACAATTAAGGGAAGAAATAAAGTAAAATAATTTATGAAAATTATCTATAATAAATTCATATAGAAAAATTTTCCTGTTGGGAATCGAACCCATAAGAATTTAGGAGAGTAGTTAGTAATTCCAACACTACACCACCACTCCCATTTAAATCAAAAATAAAATTTAAATAAAATAAAAACCTGCACAAATTAATTCCTTTCTCCATAAGTTGACAAAGTTGTGGTGCAAGTTCTGAGCAACATAATTCTACCATCTAAAAAATTTTTTTAAGAAATTTTTAGATAAAAATCAAACAAACATTTGGTGAACAGAATGTATCACGTGTTCTCCTTTGTGTTAAAGCTTGTAACCAACAAAAAGGATTTTGTTCCATTTCTTGTGGTGGAATAAGTGTTGATTGGTGACCGGAATAAACACTAAAAAATAAACAAAAAAAATTTTTTTAAGCCAATTAAAAAATAAAAAATTTTTTGAGTGAAAAATTAAAAGGAATAAGGTCGAAAAAGAAAAAGTTCTTTAAGGGAATCGAACCCTGAAGAAAATGAGGACAAGTCAAGAACGATACCACTACACCACACCTACTTCAATCATAAAACTTATTTATCCTTATACAATTAAAGGAATAAATAAGGTAAAAATAAATTATTTCCGTTATAATCCATAAAAAAATTTTAAATTTCTAAAATAAAAAAAAAAATTTAAAAAAAACCTTGAAAGACACCAAAGAGTAAATGAAAGACCGCCAGAACAAGGATCTAGACACAATGTAACATTTCTTGATGGGTAAAGTTCACATGCCAATTTAAGACTTCTACATTGATTTGCTACTGCTAAAACAGTCATTTGTACACCAGAAAGTTGTCCTGTTGTAGATACAACAAAATCCTTTTTAAAAATAAAATTGGAAAAAATTTCCAAAAAATTTAAAAATTTGTATTTCTGTGGATTTTTCACATTTTTAGTATTTCGACAGTTGGCACAGGAATAACACGGATTGAGAAAAGAATTGGGTCTTTGGGTTTGATTTGGGCCAGTTAAGGGGATTAAGAGGTAAAAAGTCAGGACGGGTTCAGGAAAGTTTACTAATAATGTTTCGTGACGAGAAAAAGTCCGGGTATTGGGTAACCCGTGTGACATCTCTGGTTTGGTATTTACTAGGGTCGGGTCACTGGTTTTGAGTTGGGTCAGTCACAAAACTCGAGAAATTCAAAAATTTTGCCAGAAAATCCCTCCAAAATTTTTACAAATATAAAAAAAAATACCAGATAACAAGTAGATGTTGCTGCTGTCGTTGATCTTTCCTCTTCTATTCTTTCCGCAGACAATTTTCTTTTATTTAACAATTTATTTCTTGCAAAAGACAAAGAGGGAGCATCATCAATATCAAAAATTATTGGCCAAGAAGAAGAAGCTTGGAATTGTGTTGATGGTTGTTGTGATTGACGTCTTCTTTGATGATTATTTGGAGGTGGAGGGCACTCTCTACTTTTTAATAATTTAATTATTAATCCATTAGAAAGAATTGCAACAGCTTTACTAACTTGTACAATCATTCTAGAAAAATAAAAAAAAATCTTTTTTGAAATAAAAAAGATTAGTTTTCAAGGAAAAAGGTACTAATAAAGGACCCAGTGGTGCTATCCAAGACCCAGTCAAAGAACCATTCTGACATGTCCGTCAAGTAATGTCTAGCCAAGAGAGTTAGCTAGGTGCTAAAACTTCTAGGCGAGGGTTTAGGGATTCATAAAAGAGAAAAAAGATTTATTGATCAAAAAATAGTTTTCAAGGAAAAAAGGTAGTGGGTGAGGCCCACCCTTTTTAAATAGCAAAATCTTTTAGAAAGTTTCTTCAGTTGAACAACTGAATGTGGAAGTAACCACCAGAAGATCGCAGGTTCGATTCCTGTCTAGTAGATAAAAGTAACCCCCCTCCCCCTAGCTTAAACACAAATCCTCCTTATTTTCTAAAAATCAAAAAGGTTCAAACCTTATAGTAAGCATAGAAGTTTGTAAATTTTGAGCAGAAGGTGGTCTAATACATACAGGCACAAGTGAAGCACAAAAACAACCAAAAACTGCCTAGAATAAACTAAAATTATTTGAAAATATTTAAAAAATTAAACCGCTATTAAATCAATTCCTGGAGGGAATATAATAGCAACATGATCACCACTTGCCAGACTTCCTTTTTCTAGTAATAAAGCACCAACACGTTCTGCCCTTTTTAAAAGTTGAGCACAAGTTAGTGATTCTGTCTAGAAAAAAAATATTTTTTAATAAGAGTAAATTTATAAATACAAAAAGGGTCTGACTACAAAAAACACTCTTTAAAGGTGAAAATCTTATAGTAAATTGAGGGGGGTACTTTAAATAACATTTTGATGGCTTTTGAGTTTAGGAGGTCAAAAGCCATCAATACAACTCATCGAGACAATTTCTCCAATTAGTGGTGTGTCAAACCTCCAACAAAAAGTCAAACCTCCAAAAAGCTGTCGAAATGCCAAATTGGAGGGGAGAAAATGACTTCGAAAACCTCCTAAACTCAACAGCCATCGAAAAAAACAACAGTTAAAAAAATGTCTTTAATTCCGAGGGTAGCCTGATCTGAGTGTATTCTGCCCAAAAGAGCCTAAAAATATTTTAAAAAATCCAAACTTCAATTCCACGTGAATTCAAAAGAGAATATAACACATGATCAGGAGTATTCTTTGCTCGTTGTTTTAAAATATCAATAAGATGGCAACATTGTTCCTCTTCAGTTATGGGTGATGGCAATTCCATTCCTTGTGCTCCAGCTATTCTTACACCCTAGAAAATAAAGCTTTGAGAAATTAAAACAAAAAAAAAACCTGCACAATATTTCCTACAAACATAGCTGCAGGACCAACATCAGCAGGTGGTTCTCTAAAATATATAAAATTAGAATAGTATTTTTAATTTGAGTGTTGGAAAGTTAATCATTCACGGAAAAATCAAGTTACTTTTTATGTTCACAAAAGTCCCCCTTTCCCTCATTTCGGGGGGGGGGGGGGGCTTCAGCACCCTGGCTACGCCCTTAACAAGGAAAAATCATATTTTTTACCTAGGCCTCGGAAGATTTAATACGCAATGTTGAGGACACATTAATAAAGTTGTAGGATGTAAACAAGCATCAATAAATCGTTGTCTAGTTTCAGTAACATGAATACCACCGAGAGGAGTCTTTAAAATTTTTAAGAAAAATTTATTTTAAAAATTAAAAAAACCTTGGGTAACTGATTTGGAAGAACTAAACAAATACAATAAATACCAAGTTGGTTATGTACAGAATCAATTGCTTGGAGAACACGAACCTTTGAAAACAAATTTTTAAGTTTATAAATTTTGTTCTCCCCAAAGGTTTCCAAAGGTATCCCCAAGTAGAATTTTTTGCTGTGTGAGTTTTTTAGGAAATTTTAGGTCCTCCACCAAGCATACACTTTATTTATCCTCTTATTTTTCCCATAAATAACCCTTCTTGGATAGAACAACAGCAGGAAAGTGTGTCCAGACTGATTTTAAAAAGCGAAAGACAAAAGGCGAACCGACATAACCCTGATAAATAGTATAAGACCAGATGACAAAAATGGCGGATTTTTGGAAGGAAAAGGAAAAGAACCCGTTTCTATTATAATCTAATTTATTTTTATACCATCCACGGAAAAGCATCTTCTTCATTTACTTCAGGTCTTTGTTCAGCTACAATACAGATACGTTCATCCCGAAGTACTCGAATACTGAACACAGCAATTCTACCTTTAATGAATGAATTTATTTAAAAAAAATTTAAATTAAAAAAACCTCTATAAATAAATTTTTGTGGTTCAACAGCAAGTACAGTTGCTATTATCTTTAAAAAGTAACCTTTAAAAAATTCAAAAAAATTTTCTCTTTACATCATCAGAATTGTGTATTCTTCCAGAAACATATAACAATGATTGTTTAGCACCAACAGCAAAAATCATTCCATTTGGACCCAAAAAACCAATTAATCCAGAACGAACATAACGTAAAGGTCCAATAGGTTTATCGTCTATTCCCAGAGGTAAAACATCAAATATTTTTGAAGAAAGTCCTTTTAGGCCATAAAAACCATTTGAAGTTGATGTTGAATGTAAACAAATTTCTCCAATTTCATCAGAACGGCATAAGTTTGGAGGGCCATTTAATTTTACGACAACAGCCATACCTCCAGGAATTACTTGACCTGTATCCTTTTTAAAAGAAAATATAATTTTATTTTATTTAAATTTATAAAAAAAAGTTGCGGACAGACCATACTTGTCCAAAAAAAGTTTCAAATTTTTCCCTTTTCCCCATTTCGGGGAGGGGGGAGGGGGGCTTTAGCCCCAGAAGCCCCCTGGCTATGCCCTTGTTTCACCTTACTATTAAATTTAAAGAAATAAGTTTTTACCTGTATTGCCAAAGAATTTATAGAATTTTCTGGCTCTAGACGAACAACACAATGGCTAAGTGCCAACATTGAAAGAGTTCCTCTACCACTTCCCCATTTTGGTTGTTGCTCATTATTATTAACATTTTCGGGTTGTTGTTCATTTTCTTGTTGTCTAAATGGCTGTCTTAAAGCAACAGTACCAGCTTCAGAGGAACCTGCACATGGACATATTGCGGTTGGGGATAGACCACGCTTTGAGAAGACAGCACAAAATTGATCACAAGAGGAAAGAGCCCAAGGATTGGCGCTATCACTGACCTAAGAAATTTTTTTAAGAACAAGAAAAATTTTGGAAAATTTTTGAGGACATTTTTCATCCAAAAATTTTTAAATTTTCGTAAACAAAATTTGCGGACCTTTCATTCGCGAATTTTGTATAAATTCTTTAAAGTCCCTCAAAATTTAATTTAAGAAAAATATAAAAAATAAACCAAAATCCGTTCAAGAGAGCCAAGTTGTAATTGAGAATGATCACGAACTGCTAATAAAGACCAATGTAAATCACGAGATTTGACTAAAGCAAATTGAGCAGACTAATAAAAAAATTCAATTAAAATTAATATATACATAATGCCGTCATACCAAACGCCAAAATACCAACCCCCCAAAAAACATGTCAAAATTAAAAATAATACTCAAAATTTTAGCCGCCTTTATTTCGACGTTTTGGTATCATGGCGCGCTCCAAGAGAAAAATTTCTTTAAACAAACTTGCTGAGTTGCTTGTAAAAGCCAACATGTTGGATTAATTTTCAACAAAGAATATGGAACAAATATAACACGCATTCCAGCATATATTGCAGCTATACAAGAATGCCAAAGTCCAGCTTCTCTTTTAAAATCCAACACGCAAATTAATGTTTGTCCTTCTTTGTAATTTAAAGCCAAACAAAGGGATCTTGCATGAGCTAACATTGATTGACGAGAAATTTGAACACCTCGAACAGAGCCTTCCCGGTCTGTACTATATTCTATATAGGCGATAGATTCATCTGCTCTATAGAAAAAATGAGTAAGTATTTTAAGGGAGGGTGCGACCGTTCATGGCGGGGGCTACTCGTACGAAGAACGGGGGTTGTGGAGAATTCAGGTTCGGGGAACGGGGGGTCCCCCATGGCCTCCCCCGGCGGAATTCCCTTCTCCGGGGAGGGGGCGAACCCTACTTTAAGGAAAGGAGGGGATATGGAAAAATACTAGAAAAACCCTCCCGAAAAAAAATAATTTAAACAAACATTAATGAAGGCAATGTCCATTCTCTTGCTGGTTTAGGCAAATGTTCAGTAACTACCCAATGAAGTCTTGGCCAGCACTAAAACAGAAAAAACAATTTTTAAAAAAATTTTTATAAAAAACCTTAAAATCAGCCAAATCTCCCAAATTTTGTTGTTGTCGATTTGGTGCTGGGGATTGACTAGGATCGCGTTGGGTGGAAGTTGGGGAAAGGGTAGAATTTGCACTACTTGAAGGTGAAGAAGGCAAAAAGTTTTGAGAGGTATTGTTGGTAGTTTGTTGATTTGATGATCTAGGCAATCCTTTTAAACAACGTTCTGTTGTTAAAGCAACACGAACACCTATATAATAAGAATGAAAAAAATCAAAATTTGTGGATTAATCTTATTTTTAGACTGTTCAAATGGGAACAAGTCGGCAACAACAAAGCCAATGCCCCGGTACCGTGCTGTACCGTGGTCTAACAATAGGTATAATGTAACTTCGGTAAATAAATTGCACCTCTTCAATAGAAAAGGCCATTAAAGATAGAATGCCCGGGCATTCTATTAGAGGAAATAGATTATCCTTTGATGTTACAGACCGAAAACCTTATTAAACGTAATGCTACGGTTACATAAAAATCGCGCGCGTCTTGCGACAGAAAAGATAATGTAAAAAGAGGAGAGAAAAGAGGAAAAAATTTTTGTCTCTTTTTTCTAGTGGTTACATAAAATACGTCTTCCGCCGGCGTCTTGTCGCCGGCGTCTTGTCGCTTTTTTCGAGTGGTTACATAAACCGCGTCTTCCGCCAGCGACAAGACGCCGGCGTCTTGTCGCTTTTTTCTAGTGGTTACATAAAAAGCGTCTTCCGCCGGCGTCTTGTCGCCGGCGACACTTTTTTTAATTCAAACATGTTTGAATTTTTGGCGACAACTTTTAGCGTCTTGATCATTTCTCGGCCAATTCTGATCTAATTTTCAAAATTTAAAAAGATTCTGAAAGTTCTTTTTATTCTCTATCGGTCAATATAAATTTTATATTTTTAAAGTTAAATCTTATGGGTTAAAATTGGTTTTGAAAAAGGTATACTTTTTGCAAAAAATATTCTTTTTTTTTCGATATTTTTGAGATTCTCAGTATCATAACTTTTTTATCAATCGGTCAAAAATTCTGATTTTTTGATATGTTGTAGAGCTTTTGATTCTCTATCAAATGATACCAAAAACATGAAAAAATGACCATTTCTTGATAAGTAGGGCTCGTCCCATATAGTTAGGGACAAAAAATTTGGGGAAAATCGAGGTTTTAAGACTTTTTGAGACTAATAAACATGACTAAGTTGACGATCAGTGATGGGAAGGTTCCAAAATTTCTCTGGAACTAGTTCCAGTTCCAGAACTAGGTTTTTTATTTTTGTAGTTCCAGTTTCGGAACTCCATTTTTAAAATTCCTTAGTTCCAGTTCTAGAACTTGTTCCAAGTTAGTTCCAAGACAGGACTTGTTCCAAGACAGGATCCCGCGGGATTAATCCCGTAATCCTTTTCTAAAATTTAGCGAAATCCCGTGGGATTTCGGGATTTTCACATAAAAAATTTTTACGTAATAGATATCGGGAGATCAGAGGATTTGAAGGGATTAAGAGATTTAAAAGGATACTTAAAAATCTCGGTATTCCCTTGGATCCCTTGAAATATCCGGATATCACTAACATTCTAATTGAATGGCCGCCATTCTATTTTTCATAGGTTAAAAATTGTGATTAATTGACCCAAGGACAGAAAAACCACAGACAGAAGAGAGAGAGAACCCGCCTTGAAACTACCCTTAGTCCCTACAAATCCTCTTATATCCCCAGATATCCGCTTTAATCCCTCCAAATCCTCCGTAATCACCTCCAGATCCAATTAATCACTCAAATTTCTCTTATTTCCATTTAATCCCACCTTATTCTCATTAATTTGTGAATATATTAACGAAAATAGACCCAAAATGGCTCATTTTTAGAGCATTTTTTCTTTAAAAAATTTTTTCCTAAAACCCCGTACCCCGACCCGAACCCCGAGCATATTTTGCTCCCCCGACCCGAACCCCGCCCCGAAACAATTCGAAAACCCCGTACCCCGACATACCCGCCCCCGAGCGTTCGGGGTCAAACCCTAGTTTTACTATAAAACTCAGAAGTTTTATTACTGCTAAGCTAAAAAGGTCAAATTTTGATTAACATCGATGTCAAACAATAAAAATTTCCGGTACATTCAGGTCCTAATAGTTTGTGGTATCGAGTAAATTGGGCATTTTTTCTAAAATATATTGAAAATATCTCGTGTCTTGTGGCAAAATACGAGATACGAGACCTCTAAAAAACACGAGATTTCACGAGATACGAGAGGAGCGCCACCCCTGATCGGTACCATGGCAGAATAAAATGATTTGATTTTATAAATTTTATTTTAGTATGATAAATATTTAAAAAAATTTTTAATCGGATTTAGTGGTTACATAAAATCGCGCGCGTCTTGAGACAGACGCTCGGCGACAAGACGCGCGCGACAGTCGCTAGTGGCGTGGTTACATAAAATCAGCGTTTGTCGCTTTGCGACAGTCGCTTTTGCGGAAGACGCCGATTTTATGTAACCACACCACTAGCGACTGTCGCGCGCGTCTTGTCGCCGAGCGTCTGTCTCAAGACGCGCGCGATTTTTATGTAACCGTAGCATAAGCTTGTATCCAGACAAAAAAATATTTTTTTTGTCTGGATATTCTTAAAATAATATTTAAAAAAAAATAAATTTTTTCACAAACCACAACTTCCCAGCAAAAATCCAAATTGTTGAATCCCGGCAGTATCGCTTCGTTTAGCTGTTGGCACTTCAATAGGCACAGGAACAACACCTGCCAACAGGCATCCATAAAAAGCACAAAGAAATGCTGGAGCTTCATTATTTGGATAAACCAAGGCCACACGATCTCCAGGTAAACACAAATGAACACGTTCCTTTCCACCAGAGCCAGAAGTCGAAGGAATAACAACAATTTTATTTAGCAAAGTATAAGCTATTTTAACAGCACGGCTAAGAAGTTTAGCTTAAAAATTTTTTAAATTAATTTTTTGAAATATGAGTCTTCCCATTCTAGAGATAAACTTTTCCAAAGGTCAATAAAAAATAGGATCCGATCTCTAGAGCTGTTCAACTTGTCTAGGCTGATTCTTAACAGGGATGGGCCCTTGCCGTCTGTCGAGAAAACGGGAAAAAATAAAAAAAACAAATTAGGCGGAAGAAGAAAAATGAAAGAGCCAAAAAAGACTGAATTCGGTGGAAGACGGAAGCGGAATAAAAATCCCACCCCAAGTTCCTAAGTCTCTCATAATTAGGGCTAGCGGATCAAAGTAAATTATTACTTGGATAAGTTTTGATCTTTATGGTTGTTCAAGAAGGAAATCGGGATCCGATATCCAATCCGAAGATTTCTGGATATCCGGTATTTTATTGAATTTAAATATCGGATCCACCAACCCTACTCCTACTAATTATTTATTTACCATAAGTTAAATTGTTTGAAGGTTTTGAAGAATTATTATTTGCATCTAATTGTACAGCAGCTATTGCCTTAGGTTGTGTATTTGCCCATTTATGAGGTGCAGTTTCAATTGAACGAGGTAAAGGAGGGGGTGTTGCACATCCAGGAAAATCAGCCCTACAAGGTGTAATTAATTGGCCTGAAGGACGAGGGGCATTAGCGTCTACAATGTTTGCCATGACTAAAAAAATAAAGTTAAAAATTTTTTAGTTCTTCTGACAATATTCGAGGGAAGTTTTGTTCTTTTAAGTTATATTTCTAATCTCAAGCAAAATTAATTCGTAGGTTTTTTTAATTTTAGTTTTTTCAAACAGAAATTTTTGAGAGGCAAAAAAGGTGAGAAATTAGAATTCCCTCCTAAAAATATGTCTAATAATTTTGAGAAAGACTTGCTGAGACATATTTAAAAGGAGCTTTAAATAGAGGGTTAAGGATATCCGGGTATCCGAAAAATTACCAGCAACCCCCAATATTATTTATAAAAATACATTTGTAACTAATTAAAAATTTCTCTCACAAACCTTCCAATTCAGCATCATCATCATTATAATATTCCTCCAATTCCCTTTGTTTTGGTTTCTGTAATATTAAATAATCAGTTTCATTATTAATTTGTTGCTCTTGTTCTTTTAACAATTTTTTATTTAACAACAAATTTTCAACTCCAATTAGGTCAGCGACACAAATATTTTTTCGGTACCCCTTTCTTCTTCCCAAAATTAAAGCTCTACGTTCTTCTATACATTTTAATTCACGTTGAACTCGTATAAATGAATTTTCTTCTAATTTTTGATTATTTGAAGAAAGATTATTATTATTATTTTTTCTTTCCCAACATTTTTCGACAAATTTTAAATTTTCTGTAGCATTAAAAATATTTAAAAAAGCATCAAAATTATTATTTTTATTTTTGGTTTTATTTAAAATTTTTGGTGAATAATATGAAGAAGAATTATTGTTGTTTATGTTGTTTTTTGGTGATTTTCCACGAATTAAACGATGCCAAGAAAGTGAAGATATACTTGATTCTCTACTTCGATTTGATGCCAAATTTGTAGCTAAATTCGTTGATGTTTTCGATCTACTCATAAATTTTAAAAAATTATCAGCTTTTTGTTGTTGTTGATTATTTGAAGTTATTGAAGATGAACAGCATCGGGACTGTGATAAACTTCTACGTAAAGAATTTTGATAATTTGTTTGGATAGAAAGGCGCTTCTTTTGTTGCTTCATGTTGCTGCTAAAATTGCTGCTATCTTTATCTTGATCTATTTCTTGCTTCACTTCTTGTTTCAATTTCCGCTTTAATTCCTGCCTAATGTTTTGCTTCGATTTCTCCTCCTGCTTCAAATCTTCTTTTTTATCCTTCTTAAAATTTTCCAATAATTCAACACCTTGTTTCATATTATTATTATTCTGCTTCATTTCCATATTCTGCTTCAAATTTTGCTTTAATTCTTCCTCTTGCTTCACTTCTTGTTTCAAATCCTTTTTATTTTTCTTCACTTTTATATTTTGCTTTTCGTTATTTTTCATCTCATTTTGATCCAAATTTACTAAATTATCATCCTTTTCTAGCCTCTCATATTGCTTCAAATTCTTATCTTGCTTTTTATTTTGCTTCACATCCTTTTCTTGCTTCAATTTCAATTCTTTCAATATTTTAATTTCTTGCTTCAATTTCTTTGCTTCTATCTTCGAATCTTCTTTATTTTGAAACAATTCCTCTTGTTGCTTCACCTTTCCATCACTTTTTAATTGCTTCACTTCTTCATAAACCTCATTAATTGGCCCAACTTTATTGTTGCCGTGAAGCATAACTTGTCGATTTATCAACTGTGTTGAGCGGGGAATGAAGCATTGTTGAGAATTATTATTTAAAAGCATAGAATTATTAATAAAATTATTTTCTTTCCATTGATATGGAGGATGTTTTTCTTCTTTTGCTAAAAGGTGAGGGTGGAAGCGATATCTAATAGGTGGAGGAAGTTGGGAATAATCATTGGTGTTATTAGCATTATTTAAAGTTGAAGCAAAACTTGAAGCAAAACAAGCTGGTAAATTGTTTTGCTGAGCATGTTTATTTAAATGTTTTGATGTTGTTGGTGTTGACAATTTTCTTTCATTTGCCAAATGTTTTTGTTGTTGCTGTTGTTTTTTATTTTCTTCTGCTATTTTAGAAACAAATTGTTTAAACTTGCTTATATCCTCTTCTTCCTCCCTTTCTTTTAATATTTCATTATCTAATGATTGACATTTAACATTTTTAAGAGGAGACTTTTGTTGTTGCTGTTGTTGTCCTTCTAAAGGTGGAGGCGATTGATGTTTATGTGCACGAGCACGTAAAACAGCTTTAGGATGATGATGATGACGACGATCGGGTGGAGGTGAGTGAAGCCTACCCGAATGTTCCATTAAAACATACATTATGATTTACTCTGATGATGAGTTAAGAGAGGAGAATAAAGATTAAAATAATTTATATAAATGCTGTAATAATAATAATAAAATGATTTTACAAGTGGTCAGAAAAATGATGTGGTCAAAAATTTGAAATAGAGTAAAAAATAGTTATTTTAATTCAAAATTAAAAAAAAATATTTAAAAAAAAATCATAAAAAAATTAAGAAGCACTAATAAATTAATGAGAAAAAAATAGTTTAAAACTTAAATTATTCTTTTAAAATTCTGAAAAAAAATTTTGAGAGAGGTTAGTGAATGATATAAAAAAAATGCCATTCAAAACACAAAAAGTAAAATTTAGAAAAAAACATTTTAAATAAAAATTCCTTTGATAACCTTAAAAATTATCAAATTTCAAATTTTTTATCTAAAAAATATTTTTAAAAAATCTTGGAAAACAAGAAAAATTTATATTAAGCAAAAAACTTTCTCTCTTTAGAAAAAGCATAAAAAATGCAGCAACAGCCGTTTAACTCTTAATAGGTAAAAAAAATAAAAGAAAAATTAAAGAGATTAATATACCTAAGCTTTAAAGAAATTGTAGAGAAGTGTGAAAAAAAATTTTTTTAAATAAAAAATTAATCTCCTTACAGACACCTCCTCTTCCTAATCCAAAAATAAATATAATCTGGCCAAAGAAAAAAAATTTTTTTGAAAGGTCAAATTTCTATTTAATTTCATATAACAAGTAGAGAATGGATCGAGACAAAAAAATTAACGAGATATCTAGCACATTTCTCGTATGACATTCCTAGTATGTGGTCCCTAATATACAGCTAAACTCCAAAAAAATAAACCTTCCAAAACCCCTCACAAATATAAGACAAATAAAATTAAATAACCTACAAAAATAAAAAATTGTCAGAAAAAATAAACATAGTAGGAAAAAAATTTCCTAATGGAAAAATAAAAAAAAATTTCTTTTCAAAAATAAAATATTTATAAAAAGAAATTTTTGTAGAAAATTTAAATTAAATTTCCTTATTTTTGCAACAACAATAACAAACAAGACAATAATTTCCTTGTTTAACGAGAAAGAAGGAAAAAAGTTGGAAAAATGTTAAGAATGCAAATTTAAATATTTAAATTTAGATTTATTTATATGTTGTTGTTGACAAAGCTGTTGCTTTTGGCCTTTAAAAACAAAAATAATATAAAAAATATATAAATATGCACATGGCGCAAATCTACATAAAAATTAGAAGAAGACAGACAACAGCTGTGCAAAAATATAAATTTTGTGTTTAGTGTCAGGAGGAGAGGAAATGTGACCACAAAATATATATAAATTTTTAGTTAAATTTTCAAATGACAATTAGAAGAAAGATTCAACAGAGAAGGAATTGACACGAGATAAAACAAGAAAAAGACCAAAACATGCTTAAAATAAAAAGAAAATAAACAACCAAACATGTTTGCAACAATAAAAACAAAGTTTAAAATGTTAGAAACATTCTAAACAAGTTGAAAAAATATTCAAAAACAAGTTGGAAAAACATTCATAAACAAGTTGGAAAAAACCTTCAAAACAAGTTGAAAAAACATTCACAAACAAGTTGGAAAAATATTCAAAAACAAGTTGGGAAAAATATTAACAAACAAGTTGGAAAAATATTCAAGAACAAGTTGGGAAAAACATTCATAAGCAAGTTGAAAAAACATTCAAAAACAAGTTTGAAAAACATGTTCAGAATAGAAGCTGCTTAACAAGAATGCCTAAAAACAAAGACTAGACAATGTTTTTAGAAAATGTTCAAACATAGAAACACAAACTTGAAAACAAATAAAAACATGTTGAAAACAAAAAATTATTAAAAATGTTTTAGAAATTAGATTACAAATGTTTTTGAATGTGATGTTTCAAAATAATTAACGAGATAAGCAAAAATGCGAACAAATAATTAAAAAATCTCTTATTTAATTTCAATAAATTATGCATGAGCAGCTTTCCTTGCTAGAAAATTGAGAAAAGAATAAATATATTATATCTTGCTGTGAAATAAAAATAAATTGTAAAAAAATTTTTTGAAAGCCAGCAATTTCTCTATCAAATCCTAGAAGAGAAAGAAAGCGTGGAATGTGGTGGTTGAAAAATAAAATTAAAAAAAAGAGAGGAGAGATTTATGAGTTTACAACAAAAAAGAAGTGTTTAATAAATCAGAAAGAAAAATCAGAAAGGAAATGAGTATAATAGTATAGTGATGCAAAAATAGAAGAAAAAAAATGCGTGAAGATGAAAGGAAAAATTTTGAAAAAATTAAAAAAAAATAATTGATTAAAAATTAAACTAAAAAATTCAAAAAATTCCTTTTCAAAGTAAAAAAATAAAAAAATATTTTTTAAAATTACCTACGTTTTTTATTATAAAATAGTACACAAATTTAAAAGTAAAAATATCAACTGAGGGGGCGCTCTTCTCCCGAAATTTAATGAACACCTGACTGATGTGTTATTTTTTAAACGGGTAAATAAAACTTTTTTTTATTGAATAGCGGGGAACTTTTTGAAAAAAATTTAAAATTAGCAAAAATTCCATAAAAGAATTTTTAAAAAATCAAAAAAAAATTTTTTGGAAAAAAGTATTCAATACTTGTCGCTGACCCAATAAAATTAAATAATGAATATTAAAATTAAAAAAAAGCTACCTGAAGAGAATGCAAAACTTGTTGAATTTTTTCTGATATTCTCGTTGTTTTTACTGCTGAAAATTTAAAAGAAATATTAAAAGGTTTTGTATTTTAATAAAAAAATTTTTAAAAAAGCTAAAATGTCGCCAACAACCTAATAGAGAGTTGTTGGTGAAAAAGGTTAATCTTCGCCTGTAGCAGTTAAAATGTTCTGAAATGCCACACAGGCTAAAGTTAACCGGTCGTAAAAACTCTAGTTCCTAAGCAGAATTTTTGAGGACAAATTTTTGCGGATTTTTCAAAGATAATATTTCTGGGTTCCAAAAAATTTTCCAAAAATATTTTAAAATTTTTCCAAAAATATTTTAAAAAAATTTACGAGTATTAGAAGTATTTGCATAATCTTTTGGAGCATTTGAAGAACAACCTCCCAATCCAGAATCGTTTGTAGAATTTACATAAACTGGAGGTTCTGGTTCTCCCACCAAATCTTCTTCTAATTCTTCTTGTTTTTCATCTTCAATTTCATCATCGTCTGAATTTGTTGAAAATTGTTGTTGTGGTAATTGAGGCAAGGGGCGATCTTCCAAAAGTAAAACCTGTCAAAAAAGAAAATTTAAATGATTAAATACAAATGCTTTTGGTTTCCCCGATTCACAAAAAACACACGTTTTCAAAGTTGGGAGAAAACGGGAATTTATTTTTTATATCGGAATGTTCTCCCTGGTTTTAAGCACTTGCGGACTACAAAATAAGTTCTTATTAAGAAGTGATATATTAAATGAAACATAATTTAAATAAGCTAAAGCCCTTCATTTTGTGTATATCAGGGATTTATTTAGCTGATATAAAAAATAAATTTAGGAAATTAGAAATTCCCGACCAAAAAATATATAAGGAATTTCTACATATCTTTGGGAATCTTAACGGCTAGACCTCCAAACTAGTAAATTAAATATTAAAAATTTTACAGAAGTCCGATTAGCAATTTGTGAAGGTTTATGTTGTAATTTATTGTTGTTGTTATTATTTTCTTTTCCTCTTCCATTACTTGCATTATTAAAATTTCTTCTTCTAAGAAAAGGTAAATGATGTTGTTGTTGATTATCTATTTTTTCAGAAAATTCTGTCAAATTTTTCGGTAGTGGAGGAAGTGGGGAATTTTTTGATAACAAATTATTTTCTTCTTTTTTTGATAATTTTTGTTTATTTTTTGATGAAATTGGAGAAGATAAATGATTTTTTGGTTCATTTAATATTTGTTGTTGTTGTTGACTAGGTCCAGGTTTTGGTTCATAATTCTAAAAAATAAAAATAAATCAAAGAAAAAATTTAAAAAATTTTTTTGCTCAGATATGGCGATTAAAATATGATTTTTAAGTTAGACTTCACTATAAGACACCCCAAAAATTAGTCACTCCTCAGTTTAAGATGTTTTTAAAAAATTTTTTTCAATTGAATCAGTGACGTGTGTGGGAGCAACTTTCGATTGATCAGTGACTTGTTGGGAACAACAAAGAGATACCCCATTACTAGTAACCCTCATAAGACAAAATTTTTAAGTTGGTGACTGGTTAATCTTTGCAGGCGGTGGGTTAATGTCCTTAGAAACCCCCTTCTCGCCTCCTTTATATAAATTAACAAGGGCCCCAGCAACCCCAATTTTTAACCTCAAAATTCCAAAACTTACATTATTCTGTATTTGAAGCATAGAAATATAGCCTGATGTTTCTTCTATTAAATTGTATTTTTGCTGAGTTATAGACGATTCTTCTTAAAAGAAAAATATTTATAATGTTGTGGTAAAAATAACTAAAAAAAAAATTTTTTTTACCATTTAATAAAACATTTTTTGTTAATATTTTGCCATCAATTTGATCTTCTTTTTCTTCTTCTCCGTTTCTTCCTCCTCCTTCTTTCCCGCCATCATCAACAATTTTTATTTTTTCTTCCTTCAATTTTTTGTCGCGACGAATTTTTTTGCTGTTGTTATTTTTAGCACTGTCACCAGTCCCACTATCAAATGTGCTGCAATTCCCTCCTTCTTCCATTTGATCGTCTTCGTCATTTGAACTGCTGTCTATAAATATAAATAAAATTATTTTAAGGGTGTGATTTTAAATTATTCAAAAAAATCTTGCTTTTTTAATTTTATTTTTAATATTCTTTAAAAAAAGAATATTAAAATTTTGAGGATGATCAGAGCTGTTTCTAAACAAAAAAAAATCTTAAAAAATCGGAAACCAGAATTTCAAAACAGCTCCGTTGATGATTAAATTAGAGACCAGAAATTGGTAGTATCCTACGAGAATTGAGACCAATATCTCCAAAAATACCCCGAAATTTTTTTCAAAATCTCTTCGAATCACGCTGAACTCTAATTAATCTATAATTATTAATCCAAAAAAAATTTTTTAGAGCTTCCTTACAAATTGTCAAATATGCAATGTGTCTATCCGTTTCTACCGTCAATTTTTCACGCATTTATTAATTAAATAAAATATATTTTTCAAAAATAATTTCCTAAAGAAAAATTATGTAGAAATTTATGGAAAAATAAGAGCATTTTATAAATATGCAGAAATAGAAAAATAAGAAAATTAGTAAAAATATAAAATTTGAAATGAAAATTGGTAGTAGCGCGCAGTGTAAAAATGTTGCTAAAAAAGTAAAAGAATTGTAAGGAGGAAGGGGGTTTCCTGTCCATCCAACACTTTCTAAGCTTAAGAAAGAGACATGTTAGTCTCAAGCAAATCCCCGTTACATGCTGGAAAGGAAAGAAAAATTCAATTGGCAATTTTATTTAGAAATTTTTACTTAGTAAATGACCAATAAAAATAAAACAAGCTCTCAATATATAAAAGTAATATAGAGGCAATAAAAGGAAAAAAAATTCTTAGGGTCAGTTTACTTGCATAAATTAAAAAATAAATTTAGAAAAATATTTTTAAAAAAATTTTAAAAATAATTGTAGAAAATACAACGAATTCTCTAAAAGAATTACAAGAAAAAATTCAGACTTCTAAAGAGAAAACAAATAAAAAAATATTTGAAAACAAGGATACGAATCAGGACTGTCAACAATTGCAGGGTTGTCGTGTTGCGGAATGCGTAAAATTGGGTTTGATTTTTTTGACTTGATCGAGTGCGGGTTTTAAAATTAAAAATGCGGCTGCGGAAATTTTTTTTCAATTGAGGACAGTCCTGATACGGATATTCAAAAGTTACACGGATATATCCGGATGCAAATGTTGTCCAAATATTTGGGCAAAAATAAATTGTGGGGAAATGTCCAAGATATAAATTATTTGGACAAAAATAAGCTAGGAAAAAGAGCAGGGGAAAAATATTTTTTTAATTAAACTTTCTAAATTCCTTAAAAACTTGGGGTTGTCAAAATTAAACACACTTAATTCATCTCTCTCTAGCCCTCTCACCTCAACTAAAAAAGGGAAGAAAAAAATAAATATATATCGAGTAACTGAAGGACAAAATACAAAAAAAGACACAGATATTTATAGGGGGGATATAAATATAAAATTCTTTTTGCTTTATTGTCAACTGTTGAGTGGCCACTATAACTATATAACGTCCAGTAGTAGAGTGTCGGTTGCCGTCACACAAACACACAAAAAGGAGAAAAATGGACAACAAAAAAGTCTCAATTTTTATTGCCCAAAACAGAGAGTCCATTCATTCACTCGCCCCTTTATTCCTTCCCTTTTTATTTCCTCAACAACACCCCCCCCCCTTCCCTCAATATCTACCTCACTTAGTCAGAGCCAGATGCTCTATATACTACTTGCTGATGATGCTCAATTGTTGTAGGGTGCGGTAAAAAAAAGAAAAGAATAATAATACTTACTTAGAAGGTGTAGTAAGAGGATACGACATTTGGTAGAAGAAAATGAGTGGGTGACAGTGTTGGGGGAAAAGAAAATATTTATAAGATAAAGAAGGATATATAAATGATTTAAATGGAAGATATTGGAAGAAAAGAAAAATTAGGCTTATTAAGCTTGGGGAAAAAAGTGATTAGAAGAAAAAAATTGATGAAAAAAAATAAATAAAAATATGTGAATCATATAAAAGGATGTTAATCAAAAAATTTTTTTTTGCAAATTAAAAGTGATCAAAAAAATATTTTAGAAAATTTATGTTCAGATAAATAGTAAAAAATAACATTTAAAAAAAACAATTAACAATTTAAGAATTATTTCAATGGAATCCTACTAATCATGGTTCCGTGACTTTTGCGCCGAGAACATTTGCGCCGCGACTCTTGCGCCGCGATTTTTGCGCCGCGACTTATGCGCCGAGCGACTTTTGCGCCGGGGAACATTTGCGCCGCGACTTTTGCGCCGGGCGACTTTTGCGCCGCCACTATCATTAAAAATATATAGATAACTACAGCCGAACCTCACTTTAGTAGTGTTGTCGGATAGTTGAAAATCTTCGGATACCCGGATCAGATATCCAAACTGAAAATTTCGGATATCCGGCCTTTTTCGGATCCGGATTTTTAAAAAATGGCGGCGCAAATGTCGCGGCGCATAAGTCGCCCGGCGCAAAAGTCGCGGCGCAAGGGTCGCGGCGCAAAAGTCGCCCGGCGCAAAAGTCGCGGCGCATAAGTCGCGGCGCAAATGTTCTCGGCGCAAAAGTCGTGATACCCTAATCATCACCCTCGGGCCCGTCTAGAGCCGAGGTATGACTGAAAAAAAACTTGAGAGTATTAGCAAAAATAGTATCGGATTTTAAACTATTAGTATCACACCATATCATCAGCAGAGCCCTATTTTAATAATTGACCAGATTCGGTTGAATCTATGAAAGAATGTATGGAAATCTGTGGGTAATTAAAATAAGGCCCTGTATCACTGCTTTTTAGTGGGATATTGAACTTGAGTAAAATTTTTTTAGCAAAAACTTAGCCTCCAAGCAGGAATCTAACTTGCGGCATTACTTATAATAGTGTAACACCTTTTTTTGATTATTAGAAAGACGCGTAAAGCTCTCAGAGAACAAACGTTGATAGGCAGCGCGCAATCAGTAGATCAGTTATTTGGAATTTAAACCCAAAAATGTGTCATAATAAATTTAATTTTATTAGTTTATTTATCAAAAACCCTCAGAAAAAAAATTAAAAAAACCCTAAAAAAATATTATAACCTTGACACACAAAATTAAAAATTTAAACAAAAAAAAATTTTTTTAAAAAGAGAAACCGGTTGCGAGAAATAATAAAAAAATATAAAAAAAATTTGCGCATAAATATTAAAAAAATAAAAAATAGGGCTCATTTTGTGACAATAAAAAAAAGAAAATGAGTTGGTTGGTTGGGAGGTTGTGTTTGTTTGGAAGGTCCTAGGCTGATTATAGATATATTTACAATAGAAGAGGAACAAATAAAAAAATAATATAATAGTAGAGGGAAAAAGTTCTCGAACAAATAAAAAAAATATTGGGAAAATATCGAGAATGAAGGTGAAGTATTAAGAAAAGAAGTGCGCAAGTTTTTCTTGAGGTTATCAAAAAACTTTTTTTGAATGAAAATATTTTTAAGGAAAAATTTTTGGAAATTTAGAAAAAAAATTTTATTTGCCAAGCATTAGGTAAGTTTAATTTTTCAGCCCTTTAATAAAGATTCGCGCGTTCATTTCAAGAAGAGCCTCAAATCAGGGATGGGCCGAGTTAACAAAGAAAAATCGGGTCGGGGTTTAGGATCGGACTTTTCAAAATTTCCTTCAGAACAGGTTTCGGGTCATAAAGTTAAAGTTTCCGGGGTTTCTAATACCCCAACCTCGCCTTGTTTTAAATTAGATTAGGAGCTTTTATTAGAGGAAATAGAAGGATATCTATAGTAAAATATACCCAAAAAAATATTTAAAGTATTACCTATAAAGATTTAAAGACCAATATATAAACAAATAATTGTTAAAAAAAAGAAAACAAGAACAATAAATACATATTAGTTAGTAGTAAAAAATAAGTACTACCACTAATAACAAACAAAAAAAGAGGAGAAGATGAACAACATGTTTTTATGTTTGCAAATATATTTTGAACAAACAAATAAATATAATTAAACTATTATTTCCCTAAATCTCTTACTTATTCTAAAAAATATTTTTAAGGGCTTAAAATAAAGATAATGGCACTTGCAACTCTTTAAGACTGACTAGAGGTTAGTTGAACGTAACGATTATGTAAGAAAGGCGAGCAAGCGAGATTTTAAAAATTTTCTTCGGATAGGGTTTCGTGTTAAAAAAAGTTTCGGTTCTCGAGTAACTAGTCACTTAAAGGATTAAGACGGGAAAGAATCAGGTATCGGGTTGAAAAATTTTTCGGACAATATATGATAGCCGTGAAATAAAAGAAATGGAGGAAAATTCCACAAACAAACACCTCATCCATTTACACACCCCAAAATCCTTACAATTAAAGTCAAAAAAATAAACAAACCACTAGTCTGTGCTCCTTGCATTTTCCTTGAATTTCTAGAACCAATTCTTTGTCGAAATGAAATAAATGAGCCAGTTTTGGAATTTTGTTGTTGTGTTGGCAAAATTAAAAAATTATTTTTGTTGTTGTTTTGTTGCTGTTCCTCTTTTTTGTTGTTTTTATTTTCCAAATTAGATAAGGCTTGTTGGACTGCTTCTTGACGGATTTCTAAAAAATTTTTTTTTAATTTTATAAAAAGAACAAAACCCCGAGGATTTTCATTGAATTTTTATGCCCAAAAATAAAAAAAACAAGGTGAGGAAAGTTTCAGTTTTCGAGTAACGGGTCATTTAAAGATTAAGACGGAAAACTTGTCTTGCAGGCCAAGGGGGATTTAAAAAAACTTGTCTAGTGCTCTAATTCACAGAAAATATTTATCTATTATTTTGTGACTTAAAAATGACTTTTTGGATAAGGTGGAATTGGCCCGGAAGGTTTTCATCACCTCATGTCTTTCCTTAAAAATCATGTCGATTTTTGGTAGCTTCCTGTAAAAATGTCTCAACACAAAATGCAGCTCATTTAAAAGTGTCGAGTCACAGAAAAGAAAACCAGGCACCAACAGACCAACCAATCTCCAAAAAGCTTTGGGGGCAATTTCTTAAAAATTTGTGGACATTTTCCCAAATAAACTGAAGGCATTTTTCAAATTTTCTGTTGAGACATTTTGTTGAGAAAAATCTAAAGGTACCAGAACATTTTAGGATAGTTCCCCTTATTATTTAATCAACAACTTAATCAAAATTAAAAAAATACCCGAATGGTAACGCGTCTCAGTTCGAGTTGTACGACGTCTTTGTTTTTGAACTTTATCGTCTTTCTTGTTCGATTCTTAAAATTATTTTTAATGAATTTCTAAACAATTTTAAACAAAACCTTTTTTCGACGTCTTCTTCAAAAAAGGTTCAATCAATTGCTGCCTCTTCTTTTCGTAACCCTTCTCTGTTATATCGCCTTTAAATTGATTAAATTTAAAAATATTCTTTAAAATATTTAAAAAAACCTTCAGTTAATTCCAAATCAAGTTGAGCCAATTTTTCTCTAACCACTTCCGGTAATTTACAAATATCAACGGCATAGGAAGAAGTTGAAGTCATTTAAATTTTTATACAAAAAATTAACTGAAAAATTGAAAAATAAATTTAAATAAATAAAAAAATTGAAAAAGGACCCAGGTGCAAGTCCAAGCCTTTAATTTTTTATTTCTGACCCGCGCCTAAGCAATCTTTTTAAAACCGGCTGGGGTCACCTCTTGTATGTATAACCCCATTTCAGTCCCATTGGAGGAATACGGAGGGATTAGAAGTGATTAGGAGGGCTTCACCTTCCTTCCCTCTTTATAACCTCGGTTCAGTCCCAATGGAAGGTGATAGGAGGGTATTAGGAGAGTGATAGGAGGGTATTAGGAAAATTAACAGAGATATCCCAGGAAAGACGTGCCGGAATGGCACGTGAGGACTAAAAATTAGTACAAAATTTATAATAGGTAAGAGAGAGAAATGATTTGCGATATAATCAACAGAATGCGCAACTTTTTAAAACAAAATTAAAAATGCGCAAAGAGAAAATTACTAAAAAAAATAAATTTTTCAATTCTCGAATGATTCATTTTCAATATAAACAAACCCCCCGTTAAAATAATAGAAGAGGGGAAGGAAGATGAATTAACTACTAAAAACATTCTCTCCCCCAAACTCTTCACCAAAATTGGAGGGGAAGTATAATCGATGAATGTTGTGACTGATGGGTAGAGGATATTCTGCTGCTCTTTTTGTTTTGATGGAAATAATGTTTTTAGTATTGTGGTTATTTTGGGGGGTGAAAATAAGCTAAATAAATAATGTAAAAAGGTGGGGGAGAGGGGGGGTATTTTTGAAGAATAATTGCATTATGGGAAGGCAAATAGGATTTATTTTAAAAAAATATTCAAAAAGCGAGGAGTCATCGAACGAGATTAGCATATTAGAATTAAGAAAATACTAAATTAGGTATATCCGAAAAAGTCAGGATATCCCCGGATATCCGGAACGACAATTGGAACATAAGACAATAAGAGGACAATTGGACACTAAGACAATTGGTCTCAAGACAATTGGACAAAAGACAATTCAACACCAACTAAGTGACGGACTCAAGTGTACTCACAACTTCTAAAGGAATACGTCAATTGGAATTTAAGACAATAAGCCTAACGGACAATTGGACACAAGACAAATTACCAGAAAACAATTTTATCCCGTCAGACTCAAGTGTACTTTCAACTTCTAGAGATCTGATCTTTAGGATAAAATCAGCCCGTGATCATCTTTCCATTCTTCAATCAATTTTTTCCTCAATGCCAACTCATAATTTTCCCTCTTTTATTTTTCCTCCTACTGAAATAGAAAACATAGTAAATACTTTTTGAGGGTCACTAGAACAATTGGTAACAAATTTTGGATGCAGCTATAGCCGCATCCAAAAGCTTAACGCTGATTGGTTGAATTTTTACACCTTTATATATTTTTTTAGTTGTTAAATTGCTTCTTTCACAAAATAATTTTACAAAATCTCTGCTTCATATTTAAGCTTTAGGGAACATTTTAAACTTAAAATTTCTTAAGCTCAAACCCCGTTAAACCTCTTTTTAAGGTTGCGATAAACTTTTAGTTATAAAAAGGCCGTGTATATTTTTTATTCTGGACACGAAACGTCTTCTCGAGTGAAAAATCCAAAAATGTCAAATTTCACTTCGGTCAGAAGGGCAAAATTTCGCATTTCGTCACAAATCGATTTTCGGGCGGGTATAAAAGCCGACATCCGCGTTGTTTTTATTCATTCGATATTTTTTATTTTTTTTCCAAGTTTTTTTTCTAATTCTTTTTTTCTAAAATTTTTCTAAGCTCTCAAATTTTTTTTATTTTCAGAGACTCTCTTTATATTTTCTTGCGACCAAAAAACTTTTTTGCCAAAGAAAAAAATGGGTGATCGAAAGGCAGTTATTAAAAATGCCGATATGACGGAGGAAATGCAAACTGAGGCGATTGATTGTGCAACTCAGGCTCTTGAGAAGTAAGGGGAAACAAAAAATTTTTTTGAAAAATTTTTTGAAATTTTCAGGTATAATATCGAGAAGGACATTGCTGCCTATATCAAGAAGGAATTCGATAAGAAGTTCAACCCGACATGGCATTGCATTGTTGGGCGCAATTTTGGATCATATGTCACGTGAGTTTTGAAAATCTTTTTTTAAAACTTCCCACGGGTCTGGGCATGTGTCAGAAATTTTTCTGTGACATTTCTTTGACATTTCGACATTTCTCCGACATTCTGACATTTATTTGACTTTCTGACATTCCTCTGACATTTAACAGTATTTGACATTTAACAATTTTCAGGCATGAGACCAAGCACTTCATCTACTTCTACTTGGGTCAAGTTGCCATTCTTCTCTTTAAGAGCGGTTAGAGGGTTAAATAATTGGAAAGAAATGAGAACATAAAAGTAAAGAAAAATGAAAAGAAATCCGACCCTATTTTCCTCAATATCATCATTTTGATTGATCATATACTTATTTTAATGTTAGTTGTTTTGTGAATAAAAATATTTCTTTTCTTTTGTTTCGTTTTTAAGCATCAGTTTTTTGCTGATAATTATTTTTGAAAATTTATTTTTGTTGGAATTTTGTGATTAATTTTTTGTGTATTGTGACTTGTAGATGTAGGGGTTTTTTGTTCGACCGAGCTCTTTCGAGTGAACTGTTGCGTATTCAATTTTTGGCCCAAGCTTACTCCCCTCTCCATTACCATTGTTTTTGACCATTTCGAACCCTATAACTCGTTCCACCGCGGACCTATCATTTGCATATTTATATTTCCTCACAAGTTGCCCCTATGGATTTCTTCGGAGGCCTATATCTCGATCTCTTAATGTCGTATCTACTTCACCCTCCCCTCACCTTGTTTACAAGTCACCATATTCGAAATTTCTTAAATCTCTTATTAATTTTAGAAACCTAATTTATTTTAAACAATGAACTCTCAACAAAAAGAACGGGTGGTTATTGATGATGTAGATCAAGTTCTTTCACTTTTGGACGGTAAAATTAAAAAAGAAGGGACTTCTTGTACTCATGGACCGAGACAGAAATGTGTTGGTTGTCTTCCTCTTGATGTTCGGTTTTCTTTTAATTAATCCATAGGGGCTGGTTCTTAGCAGGAAAAATACCCTCTAATGTAGGTTTTAGTTATTGGATTTAGAAATAGGATTTAGAGATAGACCTGGGTCTGAACCAAGGCCAGGGGTTTTCCTGTATCCAGAGCCCAGGCATTCTTTGACCTTCCTGGTAAGCTGTAGGCTCAGAATCCAGCCAGGTCGATAAATCAAACCCAGGAACGAGCTCAGGCTTTTAAAAGATTCCGGCTCTAATAGTCATCCAGACCTAAAACCGAATGTGATTTTTTTAACTATTGGGTCAAGGCAGCCCAACAAATTTGTCCCTATGTTTCGCCCAAGGGACGTTTCGTGTTACCCTCAATACCCGAATATGAACCCCGATCCAAATAAAATTTTGAAAACCCAATTCTGACTCCAGGCCCGACTTTTCTCAACCCAACCGATTCTGTTCTGCTCAAGAGACTCGCTTCTTTTTAAAATAATTTCCCTCTTTTTTAGCCGTATGACGAAAAATATTTGGCAGATAAAGGCATTAAACACATGTCCTTTCATTCTTATGTTCACAAATTGTCTGATTTGCATGGAAAGGGAACACGTTCAAAGAATATGCTTGAAACTTTGAATTACAAAATTAATTTGGATTGTCATCGGCACAGGCCTTTTCCTGAAGGAATTTGTACTGAATGCAGGCCGCCAACTGTTACGCTTAGTCGACAGGTATTAAATTTTATTTTTAAAGTAGGGAGTGTTAGCCAGTGGTTTTGGGATGATTTCCGGGTTAGAAAAAATTTTTTAAAGGCCACCTCCAAACCATTTTTTCCTGGTTTAAAGGACTGATAGTAGGAACCAAGCTCAGAACCGAGAGAACACCGTTCCAACCAGTGTTTTTCTGATTACTCGACAAATAACCGTGAGACTCGAACCACGAAACAATCGAGAGGGCTGGAACCGACAGTGTTTTCCTAGTTTGTGGACTGAGCCGATTCAAGGAACCGTGGAACAGTCAAAAAGTTAACACCTAGATGGCACACACTCCATACGGGGATGTTTCTGGTTTCTTGAACTTCGGCCGGATGTTTTCCCGTCCCTTTTCTATCCCCGGTCCCTACAATAATTTTTTCTTTTAAATTTTATTTTTAATATTTTTCAAGCCATTTCGTCATGTTGACAATATTGAATTTGAAAATGACTCTATTGTTAACGAATTTTTAAATTTTTGGCGTAATTCAAGTTGTCAACGTATTGGATTTTTAATTGGAAAATATGAACAATTTAGTGAAGTTCCATTGGGGATCAAAGCTGTTGTTTGCGCAATTTATGAACCTCTACAAAATTCAAATGAAAATTCTGTTGGATTTGAAATTAATGAAAATGGAGAAGAAGAAAATGGTGAGGAAAAGAAGAATTTAAATATTAAAGTTGATCAACTTTGTTCTTGGTTGGGAATGAAACGTGTTGGTTGGATTTTTACTGATCTTTGTAGTGAATCGAGGACGTTGGGGACTGTTAAATGTATTAGAAATGAGGTTTTTTCTTTTAATTGAATAAATTTTTTTGGGGTTTTGGTGGGCTTCTCCTCCATTTTATTGGACTTTTTTCCCGTTTGGACATTTTTTAAGAAATTATTGTTTGCTTACCTAAGGAAGCATTGGCTGGTGGGTTGAGAGAAAACAGCCAAGTTTTAGAAACCCCAATTCATCCCTGATTTGGCTGGGCTATTTGGCAAGTTACCCGTAACCCGAACTTATTTTACCAGGAAACCGATCCGACGAAAAATTTGAAACTTAGAACCAAAACCTAACCTCACGTTTTTAACTTTTTAAACATTTTTTTAATTTTTAGGATTCATTTTTACTTTCTGCTTCTGAATGTATAACTGCTGGCAATTTACAATCACATTTTAAAAATGCTACAAATTATTGTGATACTGGTTATTTTGGTTCTAAATTTGTTACTGTTGTTGCGTCAGGAAATACTGTAAGGGATTTATTTTTTTCTTAAAAATTTTGAAAAAAGTTTGTTTCTTTTGATTTTTTTAAGATTTTACGAAAAATTTTCAAAAATAAATTTTCAATTTTTTTCCTTTTTTTAAGTCAAAAGGCATCGATTTGCATGGATATCAAGTCTCCAATCAATGCACAGCGATGGTTGAAGCTAATATTTTATGTCCAACAAAAACACATCCTGAATTGGCTTGGGCTAGAGAGACGCCATTAAACGAGAAGCATTATATTACTTCTGTTCAATATACGGTTTTTCTTTAAATTTAATTTTTCTAAAAACTAATTAAATTTTTAAGGAGAAAAATGAAAGAGGCGAAGAAGTTTTTCGTGATGGAAGGCCTATGCCTGTTGAATATTTACTTGTTGATGTGCCGTGTGGAGTTCGAAAAGTGCTTAATTATACATTCCCTCGTGGAAAAGAAGGAAAAGAATTTCCTGTTGAAAATCGTTCAGAAATTGGACAGACACAGGTTTTATTTAAATATTATTTTGGGGAGTAATTTAACATGAGATTGGCACGGGTTGTCTGGTATCCAATATTTTCTAGATCCGGAATTTATTTCTAAGGAAATTTAGAAAACACCGAGCAAACCTGACCCGAGTTTTTCCCCTACCCGCGTCGTTTTTTGATCATAATTTAAAAGGGAGTGGCATTTTAACTCTTTACGCGTTGAGATGTGTCTCGGATTCGAATATCGGCTCTTTGGTGTATCCCCGGGGATGGGGTTTTTCTCCTATTTTCTCCTCCTCCTCCTCCCCCCACCACCTCCTCCTCCCCAGCCTCTCCTCCTCCCATCCGTGACATCCTCTGATCCCAATCTAAAGGCATTTTAACTCTTGACGTATTGACATTGAGAATGTCGGTGGTTCGATAATGCTACTTCATCGGCTCTGTGGTGTATCCCGGGGATGGGGTTAAATCCGGACTTTTTTCAACCCCTTCCCATCTCTATTAAAGAATTTATTCTTTAAAGGAATTAAATGATATCTCCAAATATTTTAATTCGTTTAAATTTCCTGATCAATTTCTTGAAATGGCTTCAAATTTTCATTTTCTCCTATTCTTATATACAAACAATTTTGTTCCATTTTCAAAAGAAGAAATTAAAAATTTGGCTCAAATTGTTGTTAAAAAAGATGAAAATGAAGCTAAAAAATGGTTACAAGAAAGTACAAATTTTGCAACATTAATTATGTTAATTGGAGAAATTGGAAAGCAAATACCTCGAACAAAAATTAAAACAACTACTACAAGTCAAACAAATAATAATGTTGTTGCTGGTGGTGTTGGGGCTGCTGGGGGAAGTAGTAGTGGAAATAATAATGAAGCTAGTGGACAACAACAACAACCTGAATGGACTTGCAAGCATTGTTAGTTTGGGGTTTTGGGGATATTTTTGGGGATATTTGGGAGGATTTTGGGGATAATATCTTCAGGGATTTTTTGGAGTTATAATTATAAATTTTGGGATTAATAAAATGTTAATGAATTAATTTCCATCTCCCGCCCGCTCCCATCGCCATCAATCTGAGCACTGACACTGTCCCTTTCCCCCAATTAATCCTCTGGCTTTTACTAGGCGCTGTTGGGTCCTGCCCTGTTCATGTACATTCCCCAATATCAGGGTCCTAAAAGTATTTGTCTAAAATGGGTAATCCTTCTAAAAGGGGCGGTATAATTTCGGAATACTAAACAGACTCCGATTGGGACAAATTATATGTCATTCGACTCAGCTCGGCGAGCTGAGTCGAATGACATCAAAAAATCGATTGGGACGTAACTATGGGCCGAGATACAGGGCTCGAAATGGTCAAAAACCATAGGGGGGACCAAGCACTTTTTTGGGGTGAAAAATTCGAAAATGCAAATAATAGCTCATTCGAAATAGCTCCTCGAGCTGAGTCGAATGAGACCAAAATCAGCGAAATCCGCTTTGATTTGATAAAGTTATGATCGTTTGTTTGAGCTCCGTACCTTTGTTCTCCGTGGATGTTCTTGCTGCTGCGGAGGAAAGCCGGGCATGACCATCACAGCGATAATTGGAATAGGATTAAGTTACTAGCCCAGACCCAGCGCCCGTAGACTCCCCGCGAGTCGAATGAGACCAAAATCACACAGTCACAGTTTTGCACAAGCGCCTCGCCGACGCCCCATAGGTTTACGTTGTAGACTCCCCGCGAGTCGAATGAGACCAAAATCACACAGTCACAGTTTTGCACAAGCGCCTCGCCGACGCCCCATAGGTTTACGTTGTTTTTTCTGTCATAACTTCGAACAAACTTGACCAATCACGGCGATTTTGGTCTCATTCGACTCAGCTCGAGGAGCTCTTTCGAATGAGCTATTATTTGCATTTTCGAATTTTTCACCCCAAAAAAGTGCTTGGTCCCCCCTATGGTTTTTGACCATTTCGAGCCCTGTATCTCGGCCCATAGTTACGTCCCAATCGATTTTTTGATGTCATTCGACTCAGCTCGCCGAGCTGAGTCGAATGACATATAATTTGTCCCAATCGGAGTCTGTTTAGTATTCCGAAATTATTCCAAAGGGGGCTCATTGGAACAATCCTCTCTCCCTCCAACCTATAAACCCTCTAATTATTATTTTTTTAATAGGTACAATGTTAAATCCGGAGAATTTGGTTGATTGTTCTATGTGCAGTTTGCCTCGGAATTGAGAAAGAATATTTGTTTTAATTTATTTCTTAAAAAAGACAAAAAATTGCAAATAAATACACATTTTTTTGGATTATGTTTAAACAAAATTTTAATAATTTTATTCTTTTTTTTTTTATTTTCTTTTAATGAAAGGCTGTCCCTTCATACTTATTTTAATCCTTACTATGAGGGTCCAACTTTTCACATTGTCAAGCCTTGAATCGGGGGTTTTTCTTTCAAGTTGACTTGGATGAATCACCGTTACACGATGAATCACCGTTACACGATGAATCACCGTTACACGATGAATCACCGTTACACGATGAGTCACCGTTACACGATGAATCACCGTTACACGATGAGTCACCGTTACACGATGAATCACCGTTACACGATGAGTCACCGTTACACGATGAATCACCGTTACACGATGAATCACCGTTACACGATGAGTCACCGTTACACGATGAGTCACCGTTACACGATGAGTCACCGTTACACGATGAATCACCGTTACACGATGAATCACCGTTACACGATGAGTCACCGTTACACGATGAGTCACCGTTACACGATGAATCACCGTTACACGATGAATCACCGTTACACGATGAATCACCGTTACACGATGAATCACCGTTACACGATGAATCACCGTTACACGATGAGTCACCGTTACACGATGAGTCACCGTTACACGATGAGTCACCGTTACACGATGAATCACCGTTACACGATGAGTCACCGTTACACGATGAATCACCGTTACACGATGAGTCACCGTTACACGATGAATCACCGTTACACGATGAGTCACCGTTACACGATGAGTCACCGTTACACGATGAATCACCGTTACACGATGAATCACCGTTACACGATGAATCACCGTTACACGATGAATCACCGTTACACGATGAATCACCGTTACACGATGAATCACCGTTACACGATGAATCACCGTTACACGATGAATCACCGTTACACGATGAATCACCGTTACACGATGAGTCACCGTTACACGATGAATCACCGTTACACGATGAATCACCGTTACACGATGAATCACCGTTACACGATGAATCACCGTTACACGATGAATCACCGTTACACGATGAATCACCGTTACACGATGAATCACCGTTACACGATGAGTCACCGTTACACGATGAGTCACCGTTACACGATGAGTCACCGTTACACGATGAGTCACCGTTACACGATGAGTCACCGTTACACGATGAGTCACCGTTACACGATGAATCACCGTTACACGATGAGTCACCGTTACAAGATGAATCACCGTTACACGATGAGTCACCGTTACACGATGAATCACCGTTACACGATGAGTCACCGTTACACGATGAATCACCGTTACACGATGAGTCACCGTTACACGATGAGTCACCGTTACACGATGAATCACCGTTACACGATGAATCACCGTTACACGATGAATCACCGTTACACGATGAGTCACCGTTACACGATGAATCACCGTTACACGATGAATCACCGTTACACGATGAATCACCGTTACACGATGAATCACCGTTACACGATGAGTCACCGTTACACGATGAATCACCGTTACACGATGAATCACCGTTACACGATGAATCATCGTTACACGATGAATCACCGTTACACGATGAATCACCTTTACACGATGAGTCACCGTTACACGATGAATCACCGTTACACGATGAGTCACCGTTACACGATGAGTCACCGTTACACGATGAATCACCGTTACACGATGAATCACCGTTACACGATGAATCACCGTTACACGATGAATCACCGTTACACGATGAATCACCGTTACACGATGAGTCACCGTTACACGATGAATCACCGTTACACGATGAGTCACCGTTACACGATGAATCACCGTTACACGATGAGTCACCGTTACACGATGAGTCACCGTTACACGATGAATCACCGTTACACGATGAGTCACCGTTACACGATGAGTCACCGTTACACGATGAGTCACGGTGCAGTAATGCAAAGCACTTTAGTCGGCATACGAATAGGGCCCTTGACAGCCAAATGTTCTTCACAAGCACCGTGGATCGGCTTTTCACAAACTTCAAAGATTCTTTAATTAAAAATTCTGAGAAAAAAAGAAAACCTTTCTCCAACGCCTTGACGTTCTGTGAGGTCAGAATAATGCGGATATCAACTGAGGTTCTTCAGCCTTCTTATCATCTTTATATGCGTAAGCCTTAAAAATACAAATTTAACTTCAGCTTGGTGTAGAAAAATTAGGAAAATGTGAGAAGGCTAGGAACAAAGTTGTGAACTTGACTACGGAAAAAGTCCGGATACCCTAAATTAAACAAAATTTGGTTTGGTGGGCCCCCACGTTACAGAAGTCAGGATGTCCGAAAAGAATTCCCAGGATCCCCAACCCAAGTTAGACCAACAAAAAAGAAGAGAAGTTTAGTAAGGCACTTGTGCACTAGGAGCCCAAAACTTCGAATATTTGAAGCTCCCTTGTTTTAGCTGGGACCCGATATTGATGAACAAAGATCCGGAGCCTAAAATGGCTCTAGTCCCATCAAGCCCCTATAGGACAGGTAAAGTCAAAACAGCCTATAAAAACTATTAGACTAGTTAAATCAAACCTCTCTAAGCTTACCATGTTTATATGTTGAATTGGAAAGCTTGATTTAAATTAAATTTATATTCTTCTTTTTCTTCTTTCTGTGTTCTGTTATAGTCAGAATGATGAGAACTGAAAAATAAACGAATTTAAAGAATGAAAATATCAAGAATAAAAAATAATGGCAGCAAATCGTAATCAGGGCTTAATTTGGTAATATTGAACCTGACAGACCCCATTTTTTCCTCCCCAAGTGTTTTCCTATATAGTTGCAGAATGGTAAACTTCTTCCTTTATTCCATCCAAGGGGGAATAAAAATTAATTATTTTTGGTTGCTTGTAGACTAAATTAGAAAGGTAATTGGAATGGACGAAAGAATAAATGGGGTCTGTCATAAATGGATTATCAAAACAAGGGAGAACTTGAAATTAAATCAATAAAAAAGAGAAAATAAGAAGGAAGCAAGAGTGCCCACAAATTTCAAAATTCCCCCAAAAAATTTAAACAAAACCTTCAATAAACGGGAATAACATATCAGCTCCAAGCTTTCTCCAAATCTTCCATTGTAGCCAAATCCAAATCATGTTCGGCATTCAACCTGTTCAAAGCTGAAATAAAGAATAAAGATATTCACCGTCATTAAACGGATACTACACAAAAATATATAAACAGATTTATTTAAAAAAATTTATTTTAGAAAATTCAATAAATTATAAATATTTAAAATTTGACAAAAAAAAACAAATATTTTTAAAAAATCAGAGTCAAAGGCATAAAAATATATGGGAATAAAAAGTCAATAAAATTTTGGACACAAAACCAAGTCAAAGTCAGAGGCATAAAAATATATGGGAATAAAAAGTCAATTAATAAAATTTTGAGCATAAAACCAAATGAGAAATCAGAGGCATAAAAATATACGGGAATAAAAAGTCAATTAATAAAATTTTGGGCACAAAACCAAATCAAAGTCAGAGGCATAAAAATATATGGGAATAAAAAGTCAATAAAATTTTGAGCATAAAATCAATTTTTTTGAGACGAATATTTATGTGTATAAAGAAAAAGAGAGAGGATAAACAAAAAAATTTTAATTCTAATGTGGGCAACAAGATACCACGGGGTACCCGATACCGGACTTTTTTGGCCCGATACCCGTCCAAGAAAGTTTTCCAAAACTCGCCCGACTTTTGTTTCAAACTTCAAAAAATTCTCAAAATTTTGGCCAGCGCCGCAAAAAAAGTAAAGTGTAGCCAGCGCCGGCCTAAGGCCTTCAAAAAATTCTCAAAATTTTCGCCAGCGCCGCAAAAAAAAGTAAAGTGTAGCCAGCGCCGGCCTAAGGCCTTCAAAAAATTCTCAAAATTTTCGCCAGCGCCGCAAAAAAAAGTAAAGTGTAGCCAGCGCCGGCCTAAGGCCTACAAAAAATTCTCAAAATTTTCGCCAGCGCCGCAAAAAAAAGTAAAGTGTAGCCAGCGCCGGCCTAAGGCCTTCAAAAAATTCTCAAAATTTTCGCCAGCGCCGCAAAAAAAAGTAAAGTGTAGCCAGCGCCGGCCTAAGGCCTTCAAAAAATTCTCAAAATTTTCGCCAGCGCCGCAAAAAAAAGTAAAGTGTAGCCAGCGCCGGCCTAAGGCCTTCAAAAAATTCTCAAAATTTTCGCCAGCGCCGCAAAAAAAAGTAAAGTGTAGCCAGCGCCGGCCTAAGGCCTTCAAAAAATTCTCAAAATTTTCGCCAGCGCCGCAGAAATAAAAATTTTTTAGCGTCTTCAGAACCAAACATTATTCCCCCTCGCTTCCGAAAAAATTTGTCCGAAACTCGAACTTTTCCTTTGAAATTTTCAAAGAGCCCCGACTTTTTTTTCTCAGCCCGTTACAGTCTTGTTGGGTTTATTCTCTCAAAAATTCAAATTCTCCCTCAAAAATTAAAAAAAATCACTTTTTTCCTTGTCCATCCTTCTTACCATTCATAAATTTATTGGAATTTCGTTCTCTTCTGCCAAGGTGCTAGAAATTTATTAAATTAATTTATTTACTTGGAATCTTTAAACATTTCCCGGAACTTATGGTTTAGGTATGATTTTTTAGAAAACCCTTTTATCCTTTTCCTTCAGAATTATTTTCCTCTTTTACTTCTCACCCATCAATCAATTCAGCTGTCAATTTTTTTCTTAAATGTATAAAAAGGTGAGTCAATAACTAAATCGATAGAGCTCATCGAACTGAGTTGAATCGGTCCGTGGTGACACCCAAACCATAAGTTCGTTTACTATAAATAAATTCACTACCTTGCCTCTAGAACGTTTCTTTTTCTTTTCACAATCAGTCTGAAAATAAAAAAATGAATGAATGGAAATTTAAGAAATTAAAATAGAATCAGGACAGATAATTTATTCGTGGGCAAATCAAAAAAAATCGGAATGGAAAAATCGAGCAAAAAATGGCCTATCAAAAATATTTATTTAAACGCCCCAGTTAAACCCAAATTAACCCATACTTTTTGAGATAAATTTAAAAAAGCTAAAATAGGAAAACCAGAGGATATTTCTAGTTCACTCAATTAATGAATGTCATAAGGACCACGGGACTTCAAAATCTTTTTGATAGATAAACAACCTGAGTAGGAGCATCCACTTTAGACCCAACATTAGAACAACAAGCTTTATCGCTCCCATTCTTATTAATTTCCATAATATTCTAAAAAATATTTCTCATCAAAAACAATTTAAAACTAAATTAACCTCGTTGTCACCCCAGAAAGCATCAGCCAGTTTATCTTGTGTCCTAAAAGAAAATATTTAAAACTGTTCGTTAGCAATCGATTATTAGAAGGTACATGTGATTTTCGGAAATCTAGATTTAAAAACCCCGTTTTATGCTTTGAATTTTAGTTAAATACTGGTTTCATTTTGGAAAAATTTTTTAAACAGTTATTTCGAAAATTCAAGGCTTTAAAGGTTTCATAAAAAGGCTCAAAAAATTTTTAGCAAATCTCAAAATTTTCGGTTTTGTTATTAATCTATTTAATAAAATTTACTCACTCTTTCAATTGCTTACGGCAGCTAAATAAATCATTTTTGTATTTCTTCAAAACATTTTCGTGAGATCTCTGGATTGAATTAATTTCTTGTTCTTTTTCTTCTTTCAATTTTCTTTTGAAATTATTAATTTCTTTTAAAGCTGGAAGATATTTTTGTTGTTGTTTGGACATTTTTAATTATAGAATTAAAGCTAAAATCTAATAAAATCTCAAAATTAAAAAAAATAAGCAGAGAAATTTGGAAATCCAAATAAAAAAATATTTTAGAATTAATCTTCTTTAAAAAATTTACGTAAAATTGATAAAAATATACAAAACAAAGATCTTCAACAAAAATTTTCATTCAGCAATTCATTGAGGTAAATCATTATATTCACAAGCAAAAGATTGTGCTGCTTCCAACAATTGTTCATCAATTGAATTCTTTAAAAAATGTTGATAGTTAAAGAAATTATGAAATAAATAAGTTTGCTTGACCTATGAGGAACTAATCGGGATAGAATCATAAACGCCAGACCTGGAAACTATAACACTACCCCACAGGAACACCATTCATAAACATAGTGTTATAAAGCAGTAACCTATAGACAAGCAACTTATATACACTTATTGCTATAACTCCCTTAATCAAACTTGGATAGTAAGAAGGAATCAAGAACCTAAACATTAACCGAATGTTTCATAACAATATCCTACTTTCACTCAATTTAATGTTAGTCCCCATTATTGACGATGATACAAATTGACAATAATCATTGACAATAACGAATGATACAAAAGATGGGATTAGATGGAAGAGGAGAGGAAAAACAACCGGAGAAATCGAACATCATCAGATGGAAGAAGGGCCGCTTAACCAACGAAACCCACAAATGGTTTCATATCTAACATTAAAATATAAATTACAAACCTGCTTCTTATAAACGACGTCCACGACGACCTCCCTTACGACGTGTAGTATCCGTTGGTATTGGTGTAACATCCTCAATACGTCCAATCTTCACTTCAGAACGAGGAAGAGCACAAAGCGCCGCCTAAGAGAAATGAGAAGTTAATTTTATAAATAATTTTATTTAATAAACCTGAGCTCCAGAGCCCGGACCCATTGCGCAAAGTTTAACATGAAGAGCAGTAATCCCAACCTGAATGATTAAAATGAGGTTTATCTCAGAACCAATAAAAACCTGTTTGCAACGTTCAGTAACGTCCTGAGCAGCAAGCATCGCTGTGTATAAACTCGCCTCATCCTTGTCAGCTTTTACATGCATTCCACCAGTATTTTTCACAATAGTTTCGCGTCCAGAAAGACCAGCGACATGCACAAGTGTCGTTGAAAGAAGCGAAGATGTGCGAAACACAGAAGACATTCTCACCTAAAAGTTGATTGATAAAATAGAAAGATAAACTAAAGATAAACCTTCGCAAACTTGTGGGCCAAGTGTAACAACAGCTTGTTCTTTCTATAAAAAATAGATTTTTTGAATGATAAGAAATTTAATTAAAAACCTTTTCAACCAAAGGATCCATTTCCAAACTGATATAGCCATATTTTGGATTGAAGACTTGGGAAAGACTAGAAAAAAAATATATTTAGTAAGACTTCTAGAAAATATTTTGTAGTGATTTCCCAGCCCCACATTTATCGATCCAACAGAATACACGACAATTGAAGGAAGTTTCCACTTTGGTGTAGTGGGATAGTGCTTACTTTAATGATGAAAAATGAAGAGGGTTCGAACCCGTTTAGTGGAAAATAATTTTATTTATGTCTCCGTCGATTATTCACCCACACTAAGAAGTTACCACTATGGTCTAGTGGGATATTTCTTACTCTATTGGTGGAGAATGAGCAAGGTTCGAATCCCTTCAACGGAAAATCTTTTTTTATATCGAAACAAATCATTCAAGTCTTGCATATTTGCAGCCTCTCAAAATAGAATAAATTTTGCGGGATGTCACACCAGGGATGTCACGCGTTACCTGACACCCGTTCTTCCGAAACCCTACTTCTTCTTCCCCCTAACTACCCGATCCGAAACCTGGGGGTTTTTTCGACAGATACGAAGAAAATTATGAAAAGCCGACCCTTTCTCGAACCATGACACCCTGGTACAGACTCGCAAGAATCGAGAACCCAATTTCTCTTAACTAAACCATAGCCTACACAGTTATTTTTATCCCGACATTAAAAACACTTTCTAATCAGAATCACCCAAAAAACAATCTCATAAACAAATTAAACCTTTAATATTTTCCTAGACAATTTTCCAAACTTTCTTCTTATCAAGCGTCTAAAAGAGTACGTTCAGGCTCTCAACTTCCTGCCTTTGACTTCTTCAATTGATATTCCACAACGCTATAAAATTAAAAAAGTTTAAAGAAAATTTATTTTTAAAAGAATACAAAAATGGAAGCCAAAATGCAGAAGCAAGGTAGACTGCCGCTTTAGCAAAAAGTAATGGAAGATTGTGTGGTCGAGTATAATGCCAATACTAAAAATTAAAAAAAATGAAAAGAATTAAGAAAATATTCAAAAAATTACCCCCATAGCCCAGCCATCAAGATAAGGTCCTTGTGGACTCTGTGGGCGCCAACCCGGTCCAGGCTTCCAATTCGGAACAGTATTGTAAATTCCCGGAGTTCCATTCAAGTGCGCATAACGGCAAAGAGGACGCAGCATTGGACGAAAAATATTGGTACAAATTGGAGGCATTGTTGTTGAAGACAAAAGAATTTATTTTGTATTTAATTCAGAAATCTAAAATTGATTAAATTCAGTTAGATTGGTCCCCTCCCCACTTTTATCGATCCGATAGAATATGAGAAGAGGTTTCCACTTTAGTGTAGTGGGATAGGGGGAATAAAAATTAATTTTTTTGGTTGCTTGTAGACAAAATTAGAAAGGCAATTGGAATGGACGAAAGAATGAAGTCTGACTATTCTGTGGTTGGGGAGGAAAAAATGGGGTCTATCATAAATGGATTAGCAAGACAAGGAAGGGGAGAACTTGAAATTAAATCAATAAAAAAAAGGAGAAAATAAGAAGGAAGCAAGAATGCGTGAACATCCGACAAGATTGGTTAATCAGATTTTGTAGTACTTCGAATTTGACACTTGAAGAAGGAAACTTCAAGAATTCTAAAGACATTCAGTCGACACACTGAACTGATTATTTCGCACTGAACTGACCTCAACCTGTTTAATGTTTAATGTCTCTCTCTTAACTGTTTAATGTCTCTCTCCTTCCCACACTCTTTCTGCATTTATTGATTATTTAGCAGACATGCAGAACCCGTATCCCCTCAAAATCTCTATTCCTTAAAATCTCTACTGGGCTAAAATGCCTTATAATCTCTACACAGCTAAAATGCATTAAAATCTCTACTCGGCTAAAAATTATTAAAATAACTATTCCTTAAAATCTCTATTCCTCATAATCTCTACACGGGTAAAACGCCTTAAAATCTCTACAGGCCAAAAATAGGATAAAATGTCTATTTTTTCATTCGGAAGACTTTTGAGTGCCAACGTTCAGTGCGGAAACGTTGTTCTGATTTCTGGCTTATCTTTTGATATTATTTTGCTTGTATTGTTTTTGCCGCTGCGGATGAACCCAGGCATGTCCAGCGGAACGACAGCATACAATCACCGCAAGCAAAATGAACACGACCGCAGCGAAGCAGTCGTGTATTATATCTTCGATATTTACGGCGGATACAAGCAGATATCCGCAGCCATTTTTAAATCAATTGTATCCATATCCGTATCCATTACCAAGTCTGGGTTTTCCAATGAAAAGTTCAAATTTTACACTTTTGTTGAGACTCTACCATCCATTTGCACGGTGTAGAGATTTTAATTATTTTTACCCCAGTAGAGATTTTAAGGAATAGTTATTTTAAGGAATAGAGATTTAAGCATTTTTAGATTAGTAGAGATTTTAAGGAATAGCGATTTTAAGGAATAGAGATTTTGTATGGGAGCCGCAGAACCATGAACTGGTTAGAGAAAAATAATAAAATTTTCAACGGCAGAGTAGAGATTTATTATATTTTTAGGTACAATGTTAAATCCAAACATATTTAAATGAAATTTAAATAAAATTTTAATAATTTTATTCTCTTTGGGTATTCTTTTAATGAAAGGCTTTCTTTTTTGATTGGAAAAAAGGAGTAATATAATAGATAAAAATTAATCAGGAATATTGGGAATATTTGATTAGAATAAGAAAAAAACAATTTTTGGATGAGATAGTGTAAGCCCCTCGAGCTAATCCTTACTATTAGAGTTCGAACTTTTCACATTCTCAGGCCCGGAATCCGAGGGTTTTTCTTCCAAGCCGACTCGGGCCGGTATTTCTGGGATAAACCTCCGAAAAACCGGATTTTCTCAAAATATCCTTCCGAGCTACTGGACACGGCCTTGGAACTCTTTTGAGTATTTCTTCTTCCATCTCATCCTAATAAAAAACATCAACAATTTAAAACCCTTCCCCCCTCTATTTTCTTCATTGTTTTTGTAAAGAACGCAATTCTGCTCCATAGAGAACATCCCCAATCGCTTTTCGAGCTTCTAAAGCATCCAAAGCTGAATGTGCAGCTATCTTTCTTAAAGTAACGGCGATGAATCGGCCAAAGCAAGTAAATTCGTCGTTGTTGGTGTTGCTGTCTTCACAAGGAATATAAGAAATATGCCTTGGTTGTTGTTCAATTAGTAATTCATTGTTGTTTTTTGAAGTTGAAGTGTGATTGAAGGAAGCTATGGCGGCGTCTGCGAGATTATCCAGAGGAGTTTGTTGAACTGTCGAGTAGACTAAAAGAAAAAAATAGGGTAAAATTGAACGAAACGTCTAAAAGACAAAACGCCCATAAGGGAAAATTTTGACAAAACGTCAAAATTGAGGGAAGGACAAAACGCCCATAAGGGAAAATATGACAAAATGTCGAGCAGAAAATTGAGAAACTTTACCTTTATTCAGCGCATCACTATTATTAGTGTTCTCTGGTTGTTGTTGTTGTTGTTGGTGTTTTTGTAAGGATTCTAGTAAAGAAGATGATGAAGTCTTGGAGTTATTGCATTCCTCAACATTATGTTGAGAATTTAATTTAATTTGTTGCTCGTCTTTTGAATAAGAAAGAATTAATTGTTCTTTATCTGTTGTGGTTGCTCTTTCAATTTTTACGGGAACAAGAATAGATTTACTATTTTCTGGTGGTTGTGGATCAGTTTCTAAAGGTGTAGGTAAAGACGAGTCGTCAACAATTTTTCCTTTCTTTTTGGGAGGAGGTAAAGATGGAGCGGGGGAAGGAGATTCGTTTGGGCTTGAAAATAAAATGATTTTTTGTAAAAATTCTTAAAAAATTTATTTTACAAGGAAACATGGTCTAGAAGAGACCAACTAGAAGGTCGACTGCTAGTGAGACGACCCTAAAGGTCAAATCCCAAAACAGGAAAGTTTGTGAGGGTGTTGATCTTCTGGGTTGATTCCCTTCCAAAGACAGGGTATCTTTGACCGGCCATAACCCGGCCTAAAGTCATTTTGCAAGAAAACGAGTCACTTCCTAATAGAAAGTCGAGGGTCCTCTAACGGAAGGTACCCAGAACAATCCCAAATTTTAGTATACACAAGACCTTGTCCCCTTGTTAAAAAAAGGAACGTACAGTCCAAAATCAGCATTACTCGTCGTTGTCGCATCATCCAGAAACTTTAGCCTATTAAAGTAAATCCATCCGGGTTCGTCCAAAACAACTCCAGGATTAATTTCTTGCTGAGACTGGAGCCTTTTCCTTTTCCGTCGATACATGTCGCGAAGGTTTTTGAATTGGGTACGGATTTCATCTTGCGAGAACGGCCTTTCTTCGTATTTATTTAATTCTGTTGTTATTAAATTTAAACATTCTCTTCTTTTCTCGACATTTTTGATGTCCTCATCTCTGCTGGACCTTTAAATTATTTAATTATAAGGCAACACCCAATAGATCACCACCACCATTTAGTGTTGATCTTTAGGGTTCTCTTTTATTTTGTAAAACACCCAATAGATCACCACTGTCTTTTAACGTTGATCTTTAGGGTTCACTTTTATTTTGTCGACTTCCGACGGAAATGACCCTTGATGGTTTTGATCTTTTGTGGGGAAGGTTTAAAATGGTTGAAAGTTTAAAGAAGGGGGTTATCGGATTAAAAACAAAACTCTCACCATAAACACGGATATTTCTTGTATTCTTGAATAAGCCTCTCCCTTGAGAGGTCATTCCAATTAGACATACAGAATTAAGTCTGAAAGTACAAATTTAAAGCAAAATTCTGTGAGGATTTTGTAAAAAATAAAAAGGGACTTTCACAAAGGTAATGTTCTTTTCGCTTTGCAGTTAAATCAATCAATAGTCGCTTGGTTGGACGAAAATTGTGCTTCCGCTAAACTTGCAAAAGCAGTTTTGTTTGAATTTTTGGAGGAGCTGATTAAGGAGCTCCTCTAGAGCACACGCTCCTCTAGAACACAGAAAGAAAGAATCAACTCGATCGTTGCCCTCTTGATTGTCTTGATAAGGAACTTGGATTCATTACTATGCCAAAATAACGAGCGATTGACAAAAGGAGCTGAAAGACATAAAAATGCCAAAATACAAAATGGCAACCAAAAGAAAACGGCCAGAAATCTAAAAATTGGCCAGAAATAACCTTGTCTGCTTATACAAAATAATAGACAAGTTTTACAGACGCCAGCGATAGACGACTCTAAAAAATCGTCAGCCGTTAACGATGGACGAATGAGAGAGAAGAGAGGGAAAGCCGCCACTCGCCAGCGACTAACTCCTAAAATTTGCTCGCCGCTACGCGCCGAACAGAGGGAAAACGAGAAATAGCTCGCAGCGAGCAGACATCATAGACTAAAATGAGCGTAGGTCGCCAGTAAAAACGACGGCGAATGTACGTTTATTTTTAGAAAGTGCGAGCGGCGCTTTTCTCGCTTCTCTCTTTTATCGAATTAATTATAGAATTGTCTAACCATTTTTAATGTTTTCTAACACTATTTTGACTTTTATTTTTCTCTAACCAACACGTAACATTGCAGTCTAGAAAATACAGAAGCAGAAAAATAGTGTAGAAAAATGAGAGAGTTTTTAGAGAAAAATGATTTGTTCGAATTTTTAGGAGGTTTTCTCTGTTTTTTGACTAAAAAATTTTTTTCTGGTTTGAGTAATGGCAAAACTTGAAAAGCTGATCATTTCGAAGGTGATTTTTTCTTATCACCGTTCTCTTATCATTTAATCACCTCAAATTTCAGGAGAATATATACGACGGATATGGTTACTTTTTAATCGTCTCCCTCACATCACTGTTAATTTTGATTGTGTACGCATTATATGATGTATATTTTGAAGGGGATGAGGATGAAGAAGGAACAGAAAAAACAGAAAAAGTGTTGGAAAAGAAGGAAAAGAAGTAAAAAAAAGTTTGCCCAATTAATTTTCTTTAAATTTTTGTCTTGATCTCGTTTTTCTTTTTTCCCTTGTTTTTTAATTAAATTTTTGAAGAAAATTTTTGGGTGTTAATTGCCAATATGGGTTCAAACCCATCTTTATTTTCTCATTTGTAATTTTTTGGGGGATCAATTCCAAAAGTGAGGGGTGACATTTTGTCCCACTTTTTCGGAGTGACATTTTGTCCCACCATTCTCAGTTTTTGTTTTCTCTTAATATTTTTAGTTTTTCCTTCATTTTGTGACGTTTTGCGTTACTTGCCATTTCTCCCGCGGACTAACTGTCATAAATTTATTAAACTTTTCGCCAAGCTAAATTTAAAGGGGGAATTTTTTAAATTTTTACTTTTTTAGCTTTCTTTGAAGAGATGAATCACTTATGAAATGAATCATTCCAATCTAATAAATTTGGATCCGGTGGATTCGCAAGGTTTTTTTGTTTTTTAAATTCGTTTTGAAATTTTATATTTTAGCTCAATGGTTCCACAAGTCCTTGTCTCGTGAAGAAACTGAAAAGTAAGAAAATTTTATTTTTTAATTTTTTTGTTCTTGTTTTTTAAGGCGTTTGCGTCTATGCTCAAACGGCACTTTTTTGATCAGGCGATCTGAAAATTATCCAGGTTTGGGTTTTTATAGGGGTTTCTGGTGGCAGCTGAAAAGTAAGGAAATCGCTTGTTGCCAAAGTCAATTTTATCGAAACGCTAAATAAAGACCCAGGGCTTCTATTATGACATTTAGTATGTCGAACTAGGGTTTTAAAGGTTTTTTGGTGGCAGCCAAATTGACTAGATCGATTTTATAAGGTTTTCTGTTGGCAGTCTATCCGCTGGTTGCCAAAGTCAATTTCATGTTTCCGATACATATTGAAAAATAAAGACCCGGGGCTTCTATTAGGGCAATTGGCGTTTGTCGGGCCTCGCCATATTGATTATAGCTTGATTTTATAAATCTTTCTCGATCTTCTCAATTTTTAAATTTTAGGAGATTTCACCCTTTGTGTAGCCCATAATTACAAAGTTGAGCACTACAGGTTTATTTTTCCTTTTAATTTTTAAAAATTTTCTTTTAGAATCTACATTGTTAATGGCCTTTTCACTTGCGATAAAGAAGAGTAAGTTTTTGTCAGATTTATGAGTAACCGATTTAATCTATTTTTTTAAGATTATTCGAATCCTTAACACAACTTGTTGCTGTGAGTTTTTAATTTTTTATGTAATTAAAAAAATTTTTTTGGACATGTCCGAGTAAAGCGCAGGACAAAGTAGGCACAACCTTTTAATGTAAATTATATTCTATTGCACCTTCTATTGTTCCAGCATAATTTTTGGTTTAACCATTGAGGAGAGTGGTTCAGGAAATTTGATTTACGCCCACTTTGCCTGCGTCTACTCGGTCACGCCAACTTTTGCTGTACCTTTTTTTTAGCATTACAAAAGAGATGCAGATGGCCTTTGTCACAGACTTATTTCCCCGTTACTTTGTGAATCTTCAAAACATGTTTACGAACCCAAATTTTTTGAAGAACGCCGGGCAGAATTTGCTAGAGCTGGAGTTTTGCTTTCAATAAATGAATTACGTCTTGGATCGGTTATTGGACATGGAGAATTTGGAGGTTTTTTTCTAAAGATTTTTAAAGGGGATTTATAGGAATTATGGGGATGTCCGCAAAACTCCGCAAAACATATCCACAAAAAGCCTACAAAAGGTGTCCTCAAACGTCATTTTTCCGGGTACACCCAATGTAACGTGAGACCAACGTACTGCCGAGCTATAACTTTGTTAAAATTGGTCGAATCCGGGACGCCCTTATATGGTTCGATTCAGCTCGTCGAGATGCTCAAACCAACCAAGGCGTCCCAGATTCGACTATTTTGAACGGGGTTATAGTTCTGCGATACGTTGGGCCTGCTCCCCATTTTTCCTATTCTTTTTCTAAATATTTATCTTTTAAGATGTCCTTTCTGGAACATACAGAGGCCGTAAAATTGCCGTAAAAACATTAAAAGATGGAATGGGATATGAATTATTAATTGAAGCACGTTTTATGATGTAAGGGAATTTTTTCTTTGATTTTCTAAATTAAAAAAAAATTTTTTTTAAGAGGATTGGACCACAATAAATTGGTCGCATTAATTGGTGTTGTAATGGTGGAAGATACAAAAGAAGTATTTATGTTAACTGAATTTATGGCAAATGGAAATTTGGTCGATTTTCTTCGTTCAAGAGGAAGGCAACAAGTTGAGAGGGAACAACTTTTACATTTTGCAATGTTTGAATTTTTTTAAAAGTTTTTCTTGGGGTGGGGACTTGGCTTGATTTAACGGTTAAATCGAAATTTCTGGGGGAGAGGGCTTGGTCCAGATTTTTGTTTTTAATGGTTCTGGTGTAGACTAGGGGGATGGGCTGGGTTGAGAGAATAAGTTAGGGCCGGATTTTCGAGAATTTTTTAGGTAGGGTTGAAAAAAGCCGGGCTTGGATAACCAAATTTATCCCCTTTAAAGGGGATCGGGTCCGGTTTTTGAAAATTTATCGGGATTCCTTGTTTTTGTTGTCTAGTTTTTGGTATAACTTTGGCAATAGAATTTCTGAGGGACGGGAGTGATAAAAAATTAAAAAAAATTTCTTTTTTTCCAGAGACGTAGCCGAAGGAATGGCATATATAGAAGCTAGACGTTTTGTCCACAGAGATTTGGCGGCACGCAATATTCTTTTGGATGATCGTCTAATTGCAAAAATAAGCGATTTTGGTCTTGCTCAAGCTGCACAAGAACCTGCAAAAGATTCAGCAAAAGGAAAATTTCCAATAAAATGGAGCGCTCCGGAAGCTTTGAGGCATAATGTATTTTTTAAAATTTTTTAAAATTTAATCTTTAAAAATATTTTTAAGCTTTTCACAAACAAAAGTGATGTTTGGTCTTTTGGTATTTTACTTTGGGAAGTTTATTCGTTTGGTCGTGTTCCTTATCCCAGAATTGTAAGGTTTTTTGATTGTAAATTTTTTTAAAATCTTATGGCTTCCCGTCGGGCTCCCAACATTTTGGGGGACTGGCATTTTTGGAAACTGAATTTTCGGACCAAATATTCAATAAGTCATATATTGTTATCCACACATTGGGGTCTACCAGGGATGGGGCATGTTTAAAAGATAATCAGATCTGGTTTCGAATCGGGTTTCTTGTCTAGAAAAATTAGCAAGGGCTGTGGGTATACCAAAAAAATACAAAACCTTGACCCACCGTTTTAAAGGTTTCCTTGTGAGAAAGAATTCGGGTCGGGTTTTCTAAATTTTCTTAGGATCCGCACGTGTTACCTTATCAATTTCTCTTACAAATTATTAAATTTTCTTTTTTTATTTTAAAGCCAATTCAAGACGTACTAAGACTAGTAGAGAAAGGCTACAAACTTGAACCTCCAGAAGGCACCCCAGCATTTATTGTAGACTTAATGCGGGATTGTTGGCTTTTGTCTCCAACAGCTAGACCTACGTTTGCAGAAATTTTAAATATTTTAACGGAAGAATGTGACATTGGTGGGGAAAATGGGGGACCTTAAATTTTTGTAAATATTTTTTTTTGGTTAGTGTGAGAGTTTTTATATTTTTTTAGTTTTTTGTATATTTGAATATATAAGTAAGAATATATCCGAGGTGGGTCGAAATTCCGACTTCCGACTTTTGAGTTTTTTTTGATTTCTGACAGTTCCGGTTTCCGGCACCTTTGTCATTTCAGACCCACCTTTGGTATATATCAGGTCCGTAGCTAGTGGGAGAAAGGGAAGGCCCCCCACACAGAAAGGGAAGACCCCCCAGAAAGCTATGGGCCTGGTATATTTACTGCATGGCAAAGAGTCCGGCATGTCAGGGAAGTATTCAGTATAGATTGATCCGGGTCTATATTTTCCTTCCGTTCATCTCGGTTATCGAGAATCGAGTCGATTAAAAAATATTTCGAATTTTTCGAGAACTTGGCTGTGCCATGCTGTGACCTTTTTTTAAAAAATATACTCGTTTCTGTTTGCCTTTTTTTAAATTTTTTTCCAAAAATATTTTTCACTTTTATGTATTTTTAATTAATTTTAAAAATTTATAAAATTTTTCCCTTTATTTTTTCGATTTTTCCCTTTATTTTCCGATAATTTTAAGTAAAAATTCTTTATTTTTAAAAAGTAAAAAATTACTTTTTCACTTGGGAATTTTTTTAAAAAACTCAAAAATAAATTTTAAACATTAAAAAAAGCATTGATGAGCCTAAAAACATTAAAATACAACAAAAACAACCCAACAACTCATCTAAAACTTAAAAAAGCCCTCCCATTCTCTACATAATCCATGGGGAATTTCGATGTAGCTTGTTGGTGCAATAACGAGTTAAAGAGATGTTTAGTAGTAGATAATGTTTGACTCTCTCTCGTTTTCTTTTTAATGCCTTTAAATTGTGGGTATGGAAAGAGGGGAAGAATTTTTCTTATTAATCAAACGATTTACAAGAGAGATTAACAACAAGTGAATTAATGTTTGATAAAGCTTCTATTGTTTACAGTTGACCGATTAGTATTAAAATAAGAATTTAATAAGCATCCAAAACTAGATGGAATTTAAAACTAGAGCCCGGAATTTCGTTCCGTACCGTATTCCGTACCGTACTACCGTATAATACCGATACCGATAAATACCGATAAAAATTTATCGGTATTCCGTACCGTATTTAATAAATTAATTTAGTTAAAAATGATTATTTTTATTTCTAAATTGTGGGGATAAACACACACAGACGAAAATTTTGAGAAGATTTAAGTCCAAGAAGCAAGATTTCTTTCTTTTTAGCGCCGCAGGCGAAAATTTTAAAAATTATCAAAGGCCGAGAGCCTTTTTTCGCTTAAAATAAAATGAAACTTTAAAAATTTTTATTGATCGGTATTATCGGTATTTTGTTTTGTTTCCGTTCCGTAAAACGGTACGGAATACCGAAAAATACCGATACCGAAAAATACCGATAAAATTCAAAATTTTACCGTTCCGTATTCCGTACCGTATTACCGATACGGAATACCGATAAATACCGAAAAATACGGCCGTAGTACGGTACGGTCCGGGCTCTATTTAAAACGCTTTAAGAGGCACGGGAATGGGAAGGGGGTGAAGGTGAGGGGAAGGTGGTTTAAGATTATAAGTTGAACAATATTAAGCAAAAAGTCTCTTGAGTGATGCTGAGTGAGCTGTTTGTGCTATTACCGGGAACGATTTTAGTTGCTCTAGGAAAGTTTGGTTGTAGTTTCAACAGCTTTAGGAAAGGTGGTAGATCTTCCGGTTCATCAAAAAATTAAAAAATTTTTCTGTTGCCCTTTAAAGTAGACTTTTCCTTTCATTACTCGATTACCCACACTAATCGCTGCCTAAGGGGGTGGTAAATAGAAAAAAAAAGAGTAAGAAGAACGTTTCCCAAGAGAATTTAAGAGTGTGTCAAAAATGCAAATATTATTTTTATCTATTTAAAAAGACTTCTAAAATGACAGGAAATTAAAGTACAATTCTTAACACTTTTTACTTTAAAAGGGCCGAAAAAGGGGAGGAAGGGCACACCTAAAGGGCGCGCGCCCACAACGGCGCAAAGCCATAACTTGCTTCAAGATTTCTTAATTTTACCAAAATTAGTATTAAACGCTTCCTCTCGTCGAGCTGAAGAGAATGGTACCAAAATTGACAAGGGACAGAAATTTTCCAGCAAGTTATGGCCTTGCGCCGTTATAGGCGCGCGCCGGGCTGTCCCCTTGAAGAAGATATAACCTTTTTTTTATAAAATATTCAAAAGCTTATTCATCCAAAAATTTGTGTTTAAGTAAAAAAGAGTGTTAAAAAGAAGGAAAAAGGAAGGTATTTTGAATATTGTGGCCAATTAAGCAAAAACCTGTGTTATTTGTGTATAATAAATGCGCTTGTTATGAAAAGAGCCTAAAAATAAATGTTTGTGTGTATAAATATTTTTCTTTCTTTTTCCTCTTGTTTGCTTGAAAATTATGAATACATACTAGGTGAAGTAAATTTTGTAAAACTAAAATAATTTTTAATAATAAATATTTATATGACTGGGTTTTTAAAAAGCCAAACTAGGGGAGAGGAGGAAGGGGGTGTAGGCGGGTGTCTTTAAAAATTAAAGACTAATCGAGAAAAAGGGTAGGGAAGGTATCTAAAAATTTTTAAATTTTCTGTTGGTCTATAAATCGAAAGAAATAAAGTTACTATCCAACATGAGATTCCAAAAAATCCTAGACTAAAGAAGCTCATTTATTCACAAATTTTTGTCTACAAATCCTTTTAATTAGTACAAATTTTATTTTTAATCCTTTCATTAATTTCCTTTCCTTTATTGCAATTTTTAAAAATATTTATTCTTTCCCAAAAATTAAAAACATAAAAATGTAAATCTAGGATTGCCCCAAATTATTTTATTTTTAATTTTCTTGTAAATTTCCTTTTGCATGATTTTTCGTAAAAATCCTTCTTAGTTTTATAATCTTCTTCTTCCCTCTTTTTCATAAAATTTAGTGCCAGCCAATTACTTCCCCCTCCCCCCCCTCCCCTTCCCTTCCTTTTTAAAATCATTCTTCCGCTCTTGATCCATTTTTATTTTTCTTTCTTAAAACCTTTCTTTTTAGCCTATTTCCTGTTGTTTCTCTTTTATTTTTCATTTAGTTTGCACGCAAAAATGTAAAAATCCTGAAGAAAACTAAAAAAAGGAAGGAGAGAATTGCACGCTTATTTTTTAGTGTTAAGGCGCCTTTCAGTTTTTTGTGTTTAAAAAACAATTTTTTTGAATAATTTATTGAGGAAAAGGGAAGGGGGATTGTATAGTAGTTTAGTTATCAGGGCAATTTTCTCGAAATTCCAAAACACATTCTTATTTAAATACGATATTTGCACGCGAACTAGAATAGAATCATTCGGACGAATCTCACTTATGTTACATCTTTGTGCCTGAAAAAATTTTGTACATTATACTTATGGGTACTAGAGATCGAGCTGGGTCTGGACCAAGGCTTGGGGTTTTCAATTATCCGGAGTCCAGGTCCAGGAATTTTTTATCTTCTTGGGTTTTTCCTGGGCTCTTGTCCAGTTTATGCGTCCCATGAAAGTATATGCGTCCCATCAACAAAAAATTGGATATTTCTTGGTGTTGCAAAGTAAAGGTATGGTTCCAAATCATTTCTTCATGTTCGGGATCTACGTCCACTAGGTCTGGGACAGTTCCTTACCCTATCCTTCGAAATTTCTAAAAGTTATAGCCAATTTTTAAAAATTTCAGAAAAACGATTTTAACTTTCAGAAATTTCGAGGTATAGGGTAAGCAACTGTCCCAGACCCAGTGGACGTAGATCCCGAACATGAAGAAATGCTTTGGAACCATACCCCTACTTTGCAACACCAAGAAATATTCAATTTTTTGTTGATGGGACGCATATACTTTCATGGGACGCATAAACTGGACAAGAGCCTTTTCCTGTCTCTCTAATGGGTACACTATACTAAGAGGCTATCGCTTGAACAGCCTTCTACCTTCTACCAAGGGTACCCAGTACCTAGTGGGCGACGACTTTATTAAAACTCACTTACGAGAGGGTTCACATAATTGAGGTTCTACTAATTTAAAAAATAACAATGCATTTTTAAAATTAAATATTGTCCAAAGAAAATTTTTTAAAGGACTATTTAAATTTAATTTTCTCTTTATTTTCCCACACAATAAAATTAAAAAAATAAATTTTCTTCCTTAATTGAGAGAAAAAATAAAATTAATTTTTAGACTCTTCCAATTTAAATAAGGCACACTCGCAGGCATTCTTTTCTTTCCTTTTTTTAATTTTTTAAATTTCTCTTAATTATTTTTATTAAAATACTTCAATTAATTTAAAAATAAATAGTCAACCCAAAAGATCACCACTAAAAAGGTCAAGGGGCTTTCCGGAAGAGTTCCGGAAAGACTAAATTACAATGGTGATCTTTTGGGTGTAATTTAATTTTAAGTTGTTGATTTTGTTTGATGCCCCTTATACAAAAAATATTTTTTTAAAAATATTAACTTGAAAAAAAATTTCTGGAGACTTTTAAAAATTTCCCAACACCTCTCTTTTTTTCTTTTTAAAAATATTTTCTTTTTTTTTTCATTAAAAAATGCCGCCTATACTGGAGATCTTTTTTCATTATAAATAGCTCTTATTATTATTATTTATGGGAATTTTCATGAGAACAAAAGAAAAAAAATTTCTGAGTGTTTAAGGGTGTTGATTAAAGGGAAATATTCCGGGGGAGGGACAAAACACCTTCCAGACAAAAAACTTTGAGGAAGTTAGAGTCAAAAATTGGACACTCAGAAATTTTCTTTGGTTGATCAGTCTGTTGAGAATGGCCTATTACATGGTCGTGGATAGTTTAAAAAATTCAAAAAAATTTTTAAAAAATATTTTGGACCATTGTCGTTAGCTCTGATTTTAGGTGGGCATTTTTGTCGGACGGTGTATTGTCCCTACTTCTTTGTTCTTTTGGTAAATTAATTAGCTAAAATTAAAGCTCCCTGGTCTTATTAAAATTTAATTTTAAAAATAGACCTATCTTAAAAATAAAAAAAATTAATTTTCGAGACTCTAATGGTCCAAAATATTTTTAAAAAATTATTTTTGAATTTTTTACTGCCTTTCCTTTAAAGTTAAAAATATTTTTTTTTTATTATTTTTGACACTGTTCACATAACGCCTTTCTTTTTTTCTTTTTAAAAGATGTTCATCCATGCAAACATTAAGAAAAAATATTATAAAAATGCGCGGCCGTTTTTGGCCGTTAATATTCAAAAAAAGAGGAAATTTTTTATTTGAATTATTTTTTTTGTTCGGTTTTTC